TTTGACGATCGCGAGACAAGATTTTACGTTACAGTACCATGAATCAACCCAAGATATTGGATGAGTTATTAAAAAAACATGGCTTCTATTATTGTATTGTAATATTTGAAAATAAGACGCGTGGTCGCGGATGACGGTCTCGATTTTGGAATCGGTTTGTCTTTTCACGCCAATTAATTTCACAGGTTTCATTTTCGTACACTTTTTAGAATCTGAGTAGGTTTTTGTGCCTGTTTGAGTTCGAGAAGGCTTGAAGATCCTTTCCCTTGGCCTCCAATGTTATTTCATTGCTTTTAAGGTGCTTTTGCAATAAAATGCCTCCCAATAATTTTAGACAGAGGCACTGCTTTATAAAAACCTGTGAATGTCGATAGGGACCTTAAGTTTAGCAATCATGCTGAGATTGTTTCAAACAAAGCAAATCGGCTATGCAGAATGATAAGGCGTTCTTTTAGTTAAATGAATGGAGATTTGTTCAACAGCCTTTTTAAGAGTTTGGTAAGACTGCATCTAGAGTATGGAAATACAGTATGGTCACCTTGGTATGTCAAAGACGTGCAGTTAATAGAGAACGTCCAAAGGAGAGCCAGCAAGCTAGTTGAAGGCCTAGAAGATCTAGGTTATGAAGAGCCCTTTAGACAACTGAAGCTGCCAAGTCTTTTGTATGGAAGGATTCGGGATGACCTTATTCAAGTCTACAAATATACGCATAATCATTATGACACTGAAAGCCTGTTTCGTATTGAGGAAGAAAGTAGAACTTGCAGCCTAAACTTAAAAATTGTTAAAGAGCACTGCAGAAAAGACGTAAGGAAGAGGTTTCTCAGCCTACGGATCAACACTTCATGGAATAAGCTACCATCTAGCATTGTAAATGCAGACCTTTGGGCCCCTGGGCCTGCAGGCAGTTATTACAGGGGCCCAAACCCATTGATGATGCTTTGGGAGGCTGCCACAGTGAATTAACCCATCATCTCCAATTCTGCTCCCAAATATGTTTTTCACAGGAGTAAAACAAACCAATAAACTGGATGTATTAATGTGTCAACTTTTAAACTCTTTTCAATCTTCTTCTCCAACATTTGTGGACTTTCTTCAAATCTAATTCTGTGCACCACCAGAGTCAATATGGAAGCCTTTTGTTTGAGTCCTTTAATTGCAAAATGAACTCGAATTGACCAAAAGTTGTGCCACATGATCACAAAGTGTTGACTGGAGAAGCTCTTGATTTAAAAGAAAGTTGACTACAGAGAAAATTCGATACAGAATTTGACAGAAATGACCTTTAATTACATACCTATGAAAATTTACACTGCATTTGAACATTTTCTTCACCATCTACTTCTATCTTTTCTGATCTAAAAATGTTGAAGTTGTATGATCTCTCTCATTTAAAGCTATGAAATGATTTATCAAACATATCCTTTATATTAACCGACCAGTTATCTAGGTGTTGCTAGCATAGATTTTAACCATGTGACTAATATTTTGGGCAACAAAGCGTTATAACAATAGGCTTCCAGCAGGCCTCTCTGGGAAAAAACAACACAGGCTATAAAAAGCCCTTGCCAGTTGGGCGATGTGGGCTATTTAGCGCTTGCAGAAATATTGTTAATTTTTTTTAATATTTGTTCCAGGTTACTAAACAAAACCATTAGCATATAAGGGTAAGATGGTTCTCAGAATGTTTTTCCATTGTCAATCATAAGACTGAAGGTGGTGTTCTCTCATCATTTGAACCATTTATTTTTGGGCTGTCGGTGCGCCAATCGCAAAGACGGCCATAAATAAAACCCCAACCGTTTCGAGGGGGTTGAGAAGAAGAACAATGGCCTTCTTCCGCCGACTAGCAGCACCTTGTTCTTGCAAAAGTCGCAAGCCATACGGCCATTAAATAATGCATGAAGAAAAAGAAATAGAAAGACAAAATGCATGTAAATAAAAACTTGTAGTGACTCTACTTTGGCCATTTTACACGCACTTCCTACTCCTTCATCGATCATGCCATCACCATGACATCCACCTACGTCATTCATAGCATCACCTAGCACATGACATTCCCTTCAGCATTGTACTCACATTCACACATCTATGTCATGCTGACTTCTTCCCAAGTCTAGATCTTTCCTTCTCCATTCCATCATCATTACATCATCCTATCTCATCCTTAGTCAGCAATTTGATTTCTGTATATAAGTATCTTAATTTGTAAAAAGTTCAGTTCAGTTCAGATCAGAGTTGTACAGCAATGCACTGTCTCTCTCACTGGCTCTGTGGTCTCTGCACGTTAAATAAGATTCAAAGCAAGCACCAACGATGGAAAGTCAAAGGCTAAAGATAGGAACTACGGCAATTCTCGCAATGTAATATCGTTCCTATAGACTCCTGAAGATATCTAGACATGGATTGGGTGGGCAGGGTCGCAAAGGAAAACCTTTCCTCTCCAAAGTCCAACTTCGAGTTGTAGTGCAACGTGTGAGAATGAAAACTGTGCTAAGACAAAGTTTATATACCCAAGGCCAATGCACACTTGCACGCTTGTTGCTATAACCGTATAAAAGACACAATGTAAAGCTTACTCGAGCACTGCTACAATAAACACAAACTCTACAATTGTGCAATCTGTGCCCAAAAAACAAAAGCCCAAGGGACACCTAAAAGGTGTATCCTGTCACATATTAAACGTGATTAAATTTCATTTAATCAAGCTTATATTGAAGTATTTTCAAAGACAAAAATACATTACCTTGCAAATTCTCTAAACATTATTCACCTTAAAAAGACATTTTTGTGTGTATTACTACCTTTAAATTTAGTATTACCATTCCTTAAATTGAGACAAAAAATAACTTTTTTGGAATATTTTGTTAGGTTTTGCTGGTCAAATGTAGCTTTTTGGGAATGCCTAGTTTATATGTTATGACTTGAAAATAAATTGTTTCATATTTAAAAGCATGGTGTAACGTTTCACACTTTAATTATTAGTAGCATTAAGCATGCTATATGTCATTCCTTTCATGTGAACACATGTCTTATTCCATTGCAAGTTTTAGCAGATAATACAAACATGTGCTATATAAAGAAACGGAAATTTCCTATTTATAACTGCATTAAGTACAAACATTGGGAAGCTAAACTATGCGGACTAAATGAGACATTGGTTTGAAAAACTGCGTGGGCTGAAAAAAGCCCTCGCTATAGCCCGTACCTCCGGGAAAGGCCTGGCTTCCAGGCCAAGGTTTTTTCTATTTGACTATGGCACCACCATATAGTCTATGCATTTAGTCATTCTAATGTACAGAAATTTCCACCATAACAACTTAATGTTTCCTATTCCTGTTTTAACCCTATCCAGACTAGGCTTTTTGAAACTTTCGGGAGACTAGGGGGGCACAAAGTGCCCCCCCCCTCTGTAATTTCTTTGTTCCTCTAGCTAGGACAATGAACTTTGTTTGGATGGTACTCTTATCTTTTCTCCACATTTTAGTATTATTGTTCAATTTTTAAGTCACATGGTTTCACGATGACGTCATCATAATGGTGGCCGGGTGAAGCAAAAATTTAGAAAATTTTAGAAAATCTTAAAATATTAATTAATTCCAAAGCATCGGGCTAAGATATTAAAAAAAGCAAATTTGATGCATTTTCTAATAGAAACAAGAAGATTGGCACAATTTTAATGTTACTTCTCAAAATTATTAACGTTCCTAACAAAAGAACTCAACATATTTTGTATTTGGCTATAGTTTTTTCTAAATAACTAAATGATCGATACAACCAAATGTCATGTTTGAGTTCATTTTTAATGCCTTAGCAGACAAATTTACCTAAACTTGCAGTTTTATTAATGTAATACCTATAAATCTGTCAACAAATGTGTGCGCATGCGCAGCAGAAAAATCGTAGAAAAGGATGTTGAATTTGAATTTTCTGGTCAGAATCATAAAAAGAGCACAAATTAATGCCTAGATACTAATTTTCATCAATATATCTACTTTTGTTGCGAATCCGTGGCAGATTGAACTATTTTTTACTTGACTAGTTTTGAAAACGCCCCTACACAACCCCCTGATTAATAATAAAAAAATTATCTTTTTATATGAACATGTGTCAGATAGGTTAAAACATAAAAGTCAGGAGGTCTGAGGGGTATTGCTTTCAAACTCCTGAAGTTATGAAAGAAAAACCAACTAGGGGGGCACTTTGTGCCCCCCCTAGTCTGGATAGGGTTAAACTCCCATGATTTAAATTTCCTTCCCAGGCTTTCAACATTTGAAACTGTGCTTGCCCCCCACCTGAGAGTCACTAACAATGACATCTCTGCTAGGAACAATATGCCAACGTACCTGACTTTTGAACATTTTTGATAAGCTCACATGCTGGATGCATGCTTCTCTCAAATCAACAACACCCTCTTGGCTTGGCATATATATATATATATATATATATATATAGACTAAAATAAACAGACTATTGTGACACAACTCTGAGTTTCATGTGTAAACAATCATCAGGTGTACACCTGATCATCGCTCCGGTAAGTTGAGCACTCTAGACAGCAATATGATAATTAATAAATATATATATATATATATATATATATATATATATATATGCTGATTAAACATTGTGACGAAAATTCAAAAGGTTTAGTCATTACAATCTCCATGATAATTATGGTCTGTCAAATATTCCTCCTGTGCATTTTGTCTTTGGTTAGTGAGACACATTTTTCTCAGTGCAGTTATTAGGTTGTTGAAGTGATACTGCGAGGGTGTTGGCATGGGCAAAGAAAAGAGCAATCAACTCCCTAGATAAGGCCTAGAAAGGCCTTCAGGAACACTTTAAATTTAACATTTTCTCCTGTCTCAAGTGTTGTTATAATTGGCAGCTCACACCAGCTCTGTTGATGACAACATAATGCATCTGGAGTGTCAATGGAGAATGAATAAAAGACTATACTCTTCTGTTGTAAAATCATATTTATGTGATTTTTGTAGATGGACAGTCATTCAATCCTGCTGCTGGAACTTTTGTTGATAAGTTTGGGAACAAATCTCAGAGCATCGAGGTTACTTGGACATACGACATTAGCAGTCTTGAGAGTGGCAGTATTTTATGTGGCTTTCAATCAGATTATGTGGTCAGAAAGAAAGGTACTGCTGCAGCTTCTTTGGTTCCAAAATACCAAGGCAGAGCTTCAGCAATTGATGATCCTGGGCAAAGAAAAATTGGATTCCAGCTTCGTAATATTGATTTCGGCGACGCAAAAGATGTTCTTTGCACATTTTTGGCATCAGATCTTACCCCTACTTACAGTGGAATTTACAAGATAAAAATATATGGTTTGTATGTTTGTGTATTAATGTGCTAGAGTTTTTTTCAAATGTTTGCACATTGAAATTAGTTCTTAACAAAAACTGGCCACTCTGTGTGCCAGCTCTGACTTAATTAATTTGCAATGTGCATTTTAATGTTTATGAAAAAAGTTCAAGAAAACCTCTGATTAAACTTTTTAAAGAAATTTTCTCACTATTGTTGTGAAAGTCTCTCGCTATAATTCCATTACTAAAACCAAACCTTGTTCCAGTGTTGGGGTATTTCAATCCCTCACATATGTTCTCAAGCTTAAAAATGATTCAGTAAGGTAAATTTTATTAAGTAGAAGTGGTTTCGTAGAATAGCATCACATTCTCATTCATTTTTTTCTGCAGAAACAGCTATACCCCATATCATCAAATGAATTCTACCTTTCTTCCTTTGGTCTCATAGGCATGAAAGATATCTCCCTTGTCCTTTTCTTTTATTATGGCCTTAAAGACTCATTGCTAACAATGGGCCTTTGCGAGCGTGGCGACGGTCCAAACAATGGCAGTAATTTTCTACGGATTAACCAAAATTGATTTCACACTGTCTAAAAATGCATTATGTGATGCTCACGAAGCGCAATGGCTCATTGTTAGCAATGAGTCTTTAAGTTTATTTCTTATTAGCATTTTTGAATATATCCAAGTTCACCTAGATAACCACAACTTTTCTGAAGTAGATTTTTCTACTCTCCTGGCATATGTGAAAAGTAAAAATTAAAAATGATAAAATTGCATTTTTCGTTAATAGAATATTAGTCTTATACAACCTAAAAACGCACAAGCATGCTGTTCCCAGGAACAAGTTACTAGCAGACACATTTTGCAATGACCATGTGCTCAGGTGTACATTTGCAGACACTTTGATAAAGAAATGTCTATCCCAGAAAAAATAATGTTTTAAGATTTGGGTGCACAATTGAAGTTGTCTTGTTCTGGGGAACTGTTATAGACAAGTTTTGTGCGGTGGAGCCAACACCTTTAAAAAACACTTGCAATTGTTTACACAACTCTTGACTTCTTAACTTTTGATTCCCCTTTATTCCAGAGGTACCAGAGTTCCGAAACTGCTTGACTGAAGGAACAACATCCACTACTGGTCAAACTATTTTTGCTCTGCAAGAAGGCCAGACTTTAAACTCAACTTGCTATGTTTATGGCAACCCTATTCCAAAGCTGACATGTGGCACCTACGATGATAAAAATAATCAAGTTGGGCAAAATGCTGAGGTAACCGGGAATTTTACAAACCTCCCAATAAGCAGTCGTTTGCGTTTTTTCAATGTTCGAAGAGGGGTGACCAAAGTAAGATGTGTTGCTGATGGAGGTCCTACAGGAAAGAAGTCAATGGAAGTAAATGTTCAAGTTGATCGTAAGTAGCACTTTTTTAATCCAAAAGTTTACAGTGCATTATTTTGATGCAACTGTGTAGCACTCCAAACCGAAACACTCAAAAAAATTCAAAAATCTTTTGTCTGCTTTTAGTAAAACCAGTGTAAAAGTATTTTGCTTTGGTCAATTTTTCAGCTTTTCACTAAATGTTTTAAGTAATTCATGCCAAAGTGTATCTTTTTTGTCTAAGAAAAAGCAGTTACGTCCTTTACTCGTAAAAAACCGGTTTTGATTAGCTCTGTAGTTCTCGGCTTCTAAAGTAAATAATTTCGGCTTTGGTAAGGTTGTCATAACTTTTCTGTTCTAGAGGGACGTAGACACAAAATAGTAAAAAGGTCGAAGGGAAACTCATTCATAAGAATTCAAAGCTTTTTGTAAGCGCATGTGCGAATTTATGCGAGGCTAACCAAGTTTGTCAACGGGCAGGAAGCTCACTTGAGGCGAATTTTTCAAAATATGGCCAAGGATGCCTTCACTCACAGGTTGAAGCTAACCAATTGCTGTTTGCCCCACAGAAGTTAGAAAAAGAACGATTACAACGTTTTTTATGGTCTGTAGCTTATTTGATGAAATCAGATTAACAATCGATGATTGTTTTCATTGGGTCAAGATAATAACGAAGGGCCCAGCCCGTGGAGAGTTCCCCTATTTCTTTTCGTTATTCTGCGACTTAGACTAGAACAGGCTATTTGTTTATTTCATAGGCAATAAAACTTTCGCGTGTCTTTTTTAAACGCGTGTGTCAGCCATCAAAGCCAAAATCTTTCCTGATTGGAAACGATTATGTATGTTTGTTTCTTAAAGGGTAAACATTTTAGTAGATTTTTGTAGTTTTTTTTAAATCACGATAACAGATAGGGTAGTACATATACGCATAATATGCTTGCATGTATGCTTGATATGAAAAGTTTATAGAGCTTTTGTAAATCTCAACTGATTCCATGAATGTAAAAAACACAAGTTCGCTATCTTCCGAAAGTAGCAAGTCATTTGCTACTTCCAAAATAAAGGTTTCTTTTCGGAGGCTGTGTCTGCCAATGGTACCCTAGAGTAGCAAAGAAACGGGAAGGAACGGAGGGTTGAGGCCAGTTTACACGATGCGTGTTTCCTTGCGTCTGACTCATGAGTCAAAGTTGCTTGAGTTTTGGAATCGCGAGTCAAAACGTTGAGACGATGATTTTTTGACTCGCGAGTCATTTTCATACCAAAACAAACCTCACGCAAATTATAGCACTAAAGCAGGCCTCACAAGGAAAAAGGCTACAGTTTGCCTCCAAGTTACGGGGTTAGAGAATTCAATAGAAATTTTATAGAAAAACAAGGTTTTGCATTTGATTGTTTGGCGAGGCCAACACGGGGACCACCAGCATAACCCAAATCTTTTGCAAACCCTGCAAATCGCTTCCAGAGAAACTGCCCGTTTATAACCCTAGATATTCGAAGCATGTGACTAATTCTTCTTAGTTGATCGGTTAATAGCGTTAATCCTTCATGCGTTGTCGCAAGGACATAGAACTTGTTCTATTTTCATGAATTGTCGCAAGGGCAATTAAAATTAGACGCAAATCCCGTTTACACGATGCAATTTTGACTCATGTGTTTTACTCACGAGTCAGACACAAGGAAAAACGCACCGTGTAAACTGGCCTTTAGAATTAACAGGAGAGTTGGAAAAGTTTTCAATATGAAAAATGAGGAGCCTTATTAAACGGAATTTGGTAACAGAAAACGCTGGTTATCATTGAGCTGAAATAAAAGCAATTTCCCCCTTGTTCTTTGAATTTATTTCTCAGCGTTTCGCATACCTTTTTAAGATGGCTCTTAGAAACAATGTCACCCAGGTTTACATTATTATATGAATAGTATCATTATCCTTAAACTTACTCCACGAGCCTATGTTTCGCCATGCCTCAATCACAGAATAGGAATTAGGCAGAAGGGTAACTCTCGTCGGTTCCTTTGTTGTTTTTGAAGCCTGAGTCAACAATAGAATTCCTTAATTCCCCTTTAACCTCGATTTCATTAGATGAACTTAGCCATGACAAATTGTCATTCATTAATCAGATATAAACGAATTATGATACATAATTGAATTTGTTCACTATCATGGGGCATTTGGTCTCAAATAAAGTTGTCTACTTTCATTCTTTTTAAAATTTCCCCGACAGATACACGCTAAGCCTCGTATAAGTTAACGCATGCGCAAGTTTTTTCAGGCTTCACCTGATAGGCAGGAGTTCCCCTTCTGCCTAATTCCTATTCTGTGCCTCAATTAACGTCCGTAAAGTGAGGCAGCAGCGAAACAGAGGCTCATGGAGCAAATCTGCATCATCCCTTGATGGTTATATAGTTATTTTCTATTTGAATGGGATCCTATTTCGTCCTTTATTGTAGCTCAAGTATCTTTCTCATTATTTTGGCAAGAAGCCTGTCAGATATATATTTGGAACAAATGGCAGAAAACCATTGGCAATTCTATGCCAAGTGAATGAAAGTTGTCTGAATTTTTAACGGCGTCTTTCTCACCATAGAGTACGTGAAAGCAAGCTTGTGTTTTATTTTGTTTTATTGTGTTTTATTGTGTCTTATTGATAATCATTTTCGCTGTTTCTCTCTATCAGACGTCGCAACTGCTCCAGTGGAAGTACGATTGATTGAATCAACTTATACATCTATAAGAATCGGATGGAAAAAACCTGCGAGTCCGGGCTATTCAGCAATAACCGATTATCTCTTTGAGTTGTATCACCCAAATAATACAGAGACAGTGCGAAATATGACCGTGACAGGCGGAAACCCGACGCTTGAATACACTTTCCTTTATTTGAATCGCGACCAAGAATATAGAATTCGTATCTCTGCATACAACGCTGTTGGCAGAGGGGCATACGCTGAACAATCGTACAGGACGGTCCCGAAAAAACCAGGTGGGTTTTTTTATTCTGTGCAAAAATATTTTGGTCCGTTTGTTTGTTTATCCACTCCGTAGTATGGTGCTTATAGGTTCACGAGAGCCCTGAAACAGTTCCAATGTCACCAAACAACATTTAACACCCAACATCATGCAACTTTTTTGCCATAGTCAACCGTCGTCAACACCATTCAACATCGTCCAGCGAAGTCCAACGTTGTTGGCTAAACTAGTGCAACATTTTATTCCCAACATTGTCTGTTGAACTTGTAGGACAAAATTTTGCACTGGTTTGGCATGGGATTGTTGTGCCCAGTTTTGTATAAATGTTTGGTAACTGTTGTTTAGTTTGCATGACAGAAATTTGAAACATATAACAAATGTAGAATAGGTTTCATAGCATTTCTGAGCAAGTACTTTAAATTTCTAAACTGTTTAAAGGTTTTTCGTTGATAATGGCCTGTTAAGATTAACTAGCCTTGAGAAAAAACGCGAGAGGGTCAGATAAAACAATGTTTTTTGTCACAGCCATTGTCTCACAGAAGCGATAAGATAGCTGGACGAAAAAAGTCCATTAAATGTCCCGTGAAGGGATGGTTTCTTGCCGATGTAGAATTATTCTTAATGTACCGATGTCTTAAAATCATCTCTCCAGTTTTGCAGAAACATTGTACAAAACGTTTAGCTTTCACGCTAATAAGTAAATAATTTCTTAAACTTGACGATGTTTGTTAATTTGAAGTGAGCTTCCGTTATCTCAAAGTAAACTTCAGATTTGTATGCATTTTAATGTATGTGTTTATCCCATTTTTAGGGAACATTTTCTCATTTCTCTGCCCCTCATCTTCCAAAATGTCTGGCTATCATCAAGAGTCATTAATTAAATTAAAGCATGTCTACGTGGATTATTTTTTCAAAATTGAATATTCATCAATGCGTTTTCAAAAAAGCTGACTGTAGAAGACATTTGTGAATGTTCGTGATTTTACCCAAAATGTTATCATTGTCTTGTAGATGGGGGAACGGAAACATATTGTTGTTGGCGGAGTTGTAGCCGTTATTTGTAATAGAACATGCAAAGAATATAGTCGTGTTTCGTTTGATTATATACATTTAGTCTTTTATTGTATCTGTTGCTGAAAACCAGTTTAGCTGTAAACACTCACCAGCAACTCTCAAAAGAACATTTAGACGTGTTGATGAAATGTCATCTACTTGAATCAGAATGCTATTCATGTTGTGGACAGTAGGCCCAAAAAATCATATTTTTGAAATCTGGCTAACCAGCCTTCGGTCTCAGTTGATTTCCTTTGATTTGGCAGCCAAGCAGCTTCGCTATTACTTTCAAATCTGAAATTTATGCAAAGGAAATGTAGGCAGTGCATGGTGGAAGCTATGTTTAATTTTAGAGTTTTTTTCACTTCTGTAGAAGTTGGTGGAAGATCTGGAGATTCTATGAGCGATGGAACTATTGTTGGAATCGTCTTTGGTGTCATTGCTGCCATTGTTCTTATTATCATCATTGTTTTCTTTGTGCTGAAAAAGAGGCAAGAAAGTAAGTCATATTAACTCAAATTTTCTTTCTAGGCCTATATCTCAACGAAATTACAGATATTTTTCTCTTATCGTTTGGTTTTTCTAGAGGTTTTGGCATTTCGATTGATTCATATGATATTCATGGCGGGTTTTAAAGTGGGTTGTTCCGTATTCCCTTGTTTTTTAAGAATGTATTATTAAATACAAATTATTTGCCACAGAAGATTTTATAAAAGTCATCATAACAATCAGCATAATGTGTTGAGCTACTTGGGTGTTGGATTTGTTCTGATGTTCTTTTAGTCCTGTTTCAAAGCATTAAGATGAATATGCCGCAAGTCAAGAAATTTTGAATGCTCTTGCGCAACTAGCATGCTTTGCGACTTTATTTTCAAAACTGGCCTGATATTGTACTGCATGAAAATTCAAAACACAATCAATTTCTCAAGACAGCTTCCGCTAAGCATACAAGTTGCACAAGAGCCTTCACGTTTTCTTGAATTTTCTTGATAAATTGATTTCAAATTGTTATCTGTTTTAAATTAGAGGCTATCAGTTGAGTTCTTTTAAGAGGTAGCATTATGATAATTTCAACTATGTTTCATAAAAGATCAAATTTTTTCGTTTGGTTGACTATTTTTTTGTCTTTTTAGAACAAAAGTACCCGAAAAGGTAAGTGATTAAAATATTAGGGGTTAGCAGAAGTGAGAAAAGCGTATTAAGGTAGGGGGCAATTATGTCCATAGTTTTTTGTGCTGTTTCCCTATACTAGCTTTTTGCTTCTTGATTTTGCGGTGATGGGGAACGTTTGGTTCAACTCCTGGAGCGCAGAGGTTAGGCCAGGTTCCTCTTGCATTCAAGCTTTATTTTTGCATTCAAACAAAACTGGTCCACTGCTTGCGGTATTAGAGCAGCTGATTGGCTGCCTTCAAGCAAACATTCAGCTATTTAAAAGCCTGTTCCTTTTGGTAGGCTTCGGCCCGCATGGTGTCGCAAGCATGTCCATCTGCTAACTGTGTGCTCTTGTCCTTGCAGTTCTTCACAGTTTATGATATTTCTTGAAATCACAAATGCCGCTGTTTTCTCTTCCATTGCTACTCACAACTAAAATAAATCATACATGTGCTGCTTGGTTGATGTCTTGCTATGTGTGATGATTGCAAATTCTCTTCCAGCTATGTCGAGGAGGCTGTTGACTACCCAGCCATGGATAACGCAATGTATTCACGTGTTAATAAGAAGAAACCAATGGAGGTTGGTGTGAACGAATCCACTTCTGGCTATCCAGACATCATTCACCAGGTTTATTCAGTTTGTACTATAATGCTTAGGCCCACCTATTTTTAACATCCAACCTTTAAATGCACGGAAATCTTCGATGCGAGCAAGTTTGTCCCTTGTGTAGATATATTATGACATTTGAGATCGTTTTCCTTTTCGAGTAACAGATGGAAATGTGTGTCATTTGTAAAAAGATATTTTTTTATAAAACTGGTGAAATGACAAAGATTTGCTATTTGTTGAGTCAATAATAGTATATTTAAAAAATAAATGACTATGTGATTATGTATAACACATTTCTCAGACATGGCAAGTCTGTGCTTACATGTCAAACCCTGTAAGCATTTTCACAATTTGTTTACCAAGTAATGGGAAAAACTGATAAATTCATATATGATTCAATTTAATAAACCAACTTTTTGTTATTATATCCTTTAGCAGCTTCACCCTACAAAGGGGAGAAAATAGAAAAAGAACGGGAAAACTTCATTTCATAAATAATTTGACGCATTTACAGGCGCATGCGTGATTATGTTTTCGAGTCAAACTAGGTTTTTCATGGGCGAGGAAGCCCAGTCAATATAATTTGTTTGTGATGCTAGCAAGGATGCCTTTCCTCGCGGATTGCAGCTAACCAATTGCTATTTGTTACAACGATACCCAGGAAAGAACGCGCTTGTTAGAGCCTTTCAATCTGTCCCTGAAACATGGTAATCAAGCGACAAGTCCAGAAAACAGATAGTTTGCCGCAGATAGTTTGTCGTCTGCCCTTTCCCTATTCTGTGGCACAGCGAAGGAATTTATAGGAACCCAAACAAAACGATGACTGCACAGGGGGTCAAAACACCAATTCAATTAAGGGTCTTGTCTCAGCTTATACAAAAGCGGATTCACTCCCAAACTGATTACGTTCGCGGGGACACGACATGATCTGTACCTCTGTGGGTGTGCCTTGAAAGCAAATGATTTTTTGCACTAGCTCCTTTATTGCTCTCCATCTTTAGTGTTTAACTTCGTGTGCTAGAATCTTAAACCAATGCTCAACAATAATCATCTTGATCTGGGACTAACCCCCGTGTAAACGCTACAAAATTCCGCATCCGATCTCCTGAAAAAGATTGCGGATCGTAACCACGTGCCGAGCAAGGGTTTTCGCGAACAATTTGAAATTAGATTTTGGCTCAGCACTGGAAAGTCAACCTAGATATCACTAGCGTAGCAAAGGGGCCTGGGGCGTCCCCAAAACTCAGAAAGTTGGTGTTGAAAAGTGCAAATCTGCAACAGGTTAATGCAAAGTCACTGGCAAGATTTTTTCAAAGTAATTTTCAAAAAGGACTGTTTTCCTGCATCCCAAAGGAGGATGGTGCTATACTCCCTCCATGATGACTTTAATCATATAATCACATTTAGTCAGAAGTTTGTATTGAGCTGTGAAGAATTTAACCTAAATGATTTTTGTGTTCAATTATGTGTTGAGGAGCTCTTACGGAATTTTTTAAGAAGATTCCACAACGATAATTCATGGTCTATCTAGTTTGCAACATAAACTTTCTTTCAACTTTTATCTGTTCAAATTATCTTTAGTTTAAATAAATCCAAGTAAACTCGAAACGATTTCTTGTGACATATTTTAAACTCTTTAAATGTCATTGCTTGCTCTAACTATATCACTGTTGTATGCACAGGCAAAACCAGTAAGGGCTGAAGAAGGAGCAATGCTGCCAAGCCAGGATCACCCGCAGAAAAACGCGGTTGAGAAGTCCAGAAAGGAGTACGTGTAATTCAAGGAGTTATGCGCCATCACATCGGCAGTTGATGCACGTCATGCTTGAACAGAATTCAGCAGCTTTGCTTTGAGATTTTTGAAAACTTTGTTAAAGGAGATTCGCAGTTTACCTTACTGCTCTCAATTCATCGTGGTTGGAACTCGCCTAGACAAGAAACATTGTTTTTGGTATCAACAAGTTTTGACTTCTATTTCTTACGATTTATTTTATTCCTTTTGTCAGCATTTTAGCTGTTGATAGATTTGTTTTAATTGTTAATCAGTTGAATAAGGGAGGTATCGCAACGTGAACAGGCAGTATACGATTTTTGAATCACATTATTTTTGTGTTTGATTAATTAAATTGTTATCGTTTGCTGGAAATTGGGAAAAGAATAAGAGTGGGCGACGTAATTGGAACTGACAAGATATAGTATCTTGCTAGTTCAAGGCTACATATGCTTCCCGTTGAGATGCTTATTGGGATAACTTGATCGTGTCTGCTTTAGAGCTGTTCATTTTTTGCAATTTCGCTAGAGGAATTTCTACTCCTGTTCCAGTGGATTATTAACCTTTTTCAATTGCTCGCCCTGGAAATGCACTTGGTGCGACAGATTTCCGGAACTGTTTTCTCAGTTTCCCAAACCGCTATAATCTTGTTCGCTTTCCTTCAATTCTCAGCTTGGGCAAGCATTTGTACCTGTTCCAGGACTTTAAAACCGCGATTATTTGTAACAGCATTCTCATTAGACCGATGTCCAATCAGAATTTCTGATTTTTGCAGAAAGGATATGAACACCTCACTAGCTTGTTGCTTTTTGCAGGACCTGGACGTTTTGATATAAAGAAATACGTTTTTTTCTAGGAATAGTGCATCATTTAGATTTTTAGACCATTTATTAATCATAACCTTGCTTGTTATTTTAATCAATATTATTTGCACTTTTCTTTGCTCCGTATTTATCAAGTGAGAAACCTAATATTTACAAGTTATTTAATAGCATTTGCTATTGACATCTTCATCTTTATGACGCATTTGACGATGGGCTCGCCCAGTTGGCTGACAAACACTTTGCAACTAAAAGACTGCTCTTTGTGAGGACCACACTTGCAACATCTTTTACTGGATGTCTATATCACTAGCGAATCATTCATAATAACAACAGTACCTTCCAATAACAACAGAAGACTCTGTGCCATTTTTCATACACCCGTAGTATCTTTCGCACAGCGACGAGCTCTAGCAGCGTCATTGATTCCTCATCTTATTTAGAAAATACGTAAATCAAGATTTGGCCCTTCAATCACAATTGTCTGCGAATCTTTAGTCATTTTCTAGTTTCCCAAAACTTGATTCCAAAGCGATTGCCCTTTCAAAGTCCATGACAAGTTTAGGATTCGTCACCTTGAGTATTTTCCATTAAAACGTTGTTGTTGTCTCGTGACAAGCTAAAAATAGATTTATCAGACGTAAATACCTTAGTTAATCAGTAGTCTGGAAACTGTTATGTGATGGGAAATTTCCAGTTTTTGGGTAATGAAGGTTTTGGAGATTAGTTTTGCCTGTCGTAAGTTTCTTGTAGCAATCAATTAACGTTTGTTATTGAAAGTAAGAATTTCATTAAGGACACATTTGTAAATGTACGTATTTAACTACCACGGAACATATTGATCAGTATTTTCAACAATGTTTTTTCACTGATGTCACGCCACTACCATTCTGATGCCCCAGGGGGGTCACTTGAACTTTTTACATAAAGGGAGGTCTATCCGATAATTATGGGTAAACATTTTCCTTGTGGTCTGAGTACCTGATTTAGTAATATGATTCTTTTATACTTATGGGTTCAACTAACACACAACAATATCAAAGCCAGGAATAAAGGATGGGTAAACTGATAATTATATGAAACAGTCTTAATTACTATGACAAGTAGTCTCTTATGCGCACATCAAAAAGATGTATTTTTTATATTTTTGGGTCTCTCATCAAAACTTTTTTAGCTGATAATTTTGGGTCGGTTGAATTTGCTTTTGATACTTTTCGGTGAATTTCGACACGTGCGGATTGACCTCCCCGTTTGTGTTGTGAGTACCCTGGGCCTGATGCACCGCCAAATATCAAATGTATAGAAAAATGAGGAGAATTTTGCAAAAATATCCCTGGTCCTCAAATGGTCACCAGAAGTCTTATCCCCTAGACTTGTTTTCACATTTCATATTTCGTCGAATTTCTATGTCTACGGTCACTGAACATGCGTTTGATGAAAATCATATGAATTCTGATGATCTTGTTTTTTCATCCTAATTCGTAGGATTTCATCACAGAAATTATTCAGGCTGTTAATGAGCATTTTTCAATTGGAATACAATTGTAACAATTTTATGACAATAAGATTGTAAGATAAAATAAAAATGAGACAGAGATGAAAATAATGGATGAAAAGCCTGGTTTCCATATAATCGCAAGGAGTCGCAATGAGTTGCAAATAAAGTGACCCAGTTTGCCTGCGATTCTCTGCGATTATATGGAAACCGGTTTGAAATTTGTGTGCGACTCCTTGCGATTCCTTGCGACAGCTGTCGCAAGCAGTCGCAGAGATAGAAAATTTTCTATCTCTGCGACTCGTTGCAACTCGCTGCGATTAATGGAAACCACTGTTCACAAATTTTTCAACTCCTTGCGATCAGATTATCCACGTTTCTGTGATTAATCTCACTTCCAGACGCACAAAAATGGCGCTTTTTAACGAAGAGAACATTTTATTCCTCGATGAAGTTCACCGCTACGATTGCCTGTTTAATAAATTTAATAAGGACTTTAAAAATAAATTCAAAAAATATAACTGCTGGATTATAATCGGGGAAAAGTTTGGCGTTTCACCCGAAGAAGCCGAGAAGAAATTTAGGAACATTCGAACTGCATATGGTAGGCAGTTGAGGAAAATTAGATCAATCCCTTCAGGATCTGATCGCAGTGCAGTTCCGAAGTTGCGACTCCTTGCGATTATATGGAAACCACTATTTCGGGTCACAAAAATCTCTTTGCGATTAGTTGCGACTCTTTCCGATTCGTTGCGACTCTTTGCGATTCGTTGCGACTCATTGCGATTATATGGAAACCAGGCTAAAGATAAAACGTAAGGAGATGATTTGCAATCTGTTCTAATGAAAGCAGGAAATGATGATTTAGACAATTGTTAATCCGTACAATCATAAAATGTAAAAAACTTTGGGTTTTAAAAGAACAAAGGTGATTTTTAGATGTGTTTTTTGCTTCACTTGAAGGGGTAAATTGTTCCAGGTTAAGGAGCTTTGATAAATTATTGATTTTATTTTATTTATATTCAGTTGAAGTTCATGTAAATGAGAAATTCTTGTTTACAGCTCGTCTTGTTATGAAAGTATGTCAAAAAGAAAATTGCAGATTTTAACTTCGTTGATAGAGAGAATAAAAGTTGAAGCGGTGTATTTTTCTAAAAACTCTATTAGTGAGTCTGTTAGTGACGCTGGTTATAATAAAAACATGTTGTAATTTGCTTATTTCAGGTCCAAGAGTCGAATTGTTTGGTATTAGGCTGAAGCAACATTCACAGTTTTTCACTGAATCTTTAAAATCTTGAGACAAGATTACGATAGAATTCCATAAAATACGATATATGGTTTAGCATGATTATCTTCTCTTTCTGCGTAAAGTTATAAGTTTGCAAAGCTTCAATTTTTAAGGATGCCATTTAGACTTTGATGTTGCAATATTTCAGTATGTGTCCTATACTTCATATGTATTATGTACCGTAAAAGCTCTATTTAGCCCCTCCTCTCTATCAAGCCTCCCTCTCTAATAAGCTCCCCCTTTTTAAGCAGAAAATTGAAATAAGCCCCCCTCTCTATTAAGCCCCCCATTTTCATACAAGAAAGACTACAGAGTAAAGTGCAATGATTTAGTGATAGCTTACGATGTATTTCGTCGCAATATGGCCAGTTTCTAATTTCATGTGTTTGAGAGTGATATTTATCCTTTTAAAGCAATACCAGATGATGATGTTTTGCAGGAAGATATTGCTGATTTGATTATCGATTCAGACGAAGATGAGGAAAGACTTAAAACTTCATTGAATTCCATGATTTAAGCCCGGGGGGGGGGCTTATTTAATTTTCGAGGTCCTAGAGGGGGGCTTAATAGAGAGGGGGGCTTATTGGAAAGGGGGCTTATATAAAAAATCAAGATCAAGGATACAAAAATGATTTTTATTTTCCTGTAGCTTTCTGGTTTATGTCTAAAAACTAAAATGTATAACAGAACAGTGGCTGAAATCTAATGGTGCGAAAGGATGGCTTTCCCGCGTACTCAACAAAAGATGGCAAAAGGCAAAAAGATGCCAAAAGGCAAAAAGATGGCAAGGAAAAATGATTCAGAAATACTATAAGCGTTTTCTTTTTTAAAGAAACTCGTTCCTCGGTGAAATAGTGAATTAGTGGTCCTTTTCTATCCTGGACATAAAGACAAGAAGGCCTCGCAGAAGTCATTTGGTGATCACAACGGATGGTCCCTTGGTAACCATCATAGCAACCAAACTGACGACCATTTAGGCTAGGCCTGGCAGTTTGCCGCGTATTGCAACAGAAATAAAGTCCTTGTTAAGGTAAATTGGTTTTTAGTTCTTGTATTTAATAGCTATGATCAGGCCATCGTTGTAAATTTTACCTTTGTCAAGTTGTGCTTTCTTCAGGAAAAACAAAAGCTGCAACAGCGCTGCTGAGTAAATCATTTCGACTGGCTGGGGTCAAAACAGTGCTTTGGGTAATTTGATAGTTCTAGAGACGTCCTTTAAATTGCTCATATAAAGACAACAGATGCTTTGAAATTGGACATATTGTTTTTCGTCTTAAATCCTTTGCAAAACAACTTTACATGTGTGAAAAAATGTTATTTTATAGGGCAAGTTGTTATATTGTCATTAGGCCCATGATGATGTGCGCCGAGTTGCAAGAAAAATTCAATTTTCAAGTAGTGCATGCAATGATGTTTTGTGTAGAATTTGCTTGGGTCATGTAAAAATGTTCATCCCCAAAAGCAGGTTATGCGCTTTTGTTGTCCATTGGCAAGAAAATGTCTCAGTGGGGCTTTTTTGGTGGCACTAAGGAAATGTGGAAAAGTACTGATTTATGGCAGATCATAAAATATGTCTGGTATGATGATGACCTAGAAGTGCTGATTTATGGCAGATCATAAAATACGTCTGGTATGATGATGACCTAGAAGTTTATGACTGATATCAGACCAAAACAAATCTGAAATGAAAGTTTTAATTGCAACCCAGTTCATAGAAAAAACAGAACATGATAAAAATGAGAAGGAAAAAATGTCCAAAATGACAGGTCTATAAGCATGTTCTGCACATGTCAAATATGTACAGCTTCTGTCTGACAGTAACATGAAACAGTAACATGCTTTTAGTTTAATAAGTGAATGGTTTGTAAATTGCTTCAGTATAGGGAAGGGACTGTATATACATACGTATGAGAGAGGCAAATGCATGTGAGTTCCTAGGCATATGTTTACAGCAGTGGCAGTGCCCACCAAAAAATTTGCTACAGGTCTACATTTTGTGGGTGTGGCCTGCTTTGGACCACGCCCTAATTTAATATTTATGATAAAAAGAAGGTCTAGGCCCAGAAAAAAGGGCCACACATTCTTTGACATGAAATCTCTAGAGATTACATGAAGTGGCACAGTTTCTTAGCTGTCATAGACAATTTGAGCAGATGAATTTCATGGCCCTATTCTCTTGGTCAAAAGCTGCTGCTGTTTTTACAGTACTAGAATCACTGGTCTAGTACTATCCAATGCTAGAAGTGCAAAGACTTCCACTGAACACTTTTTGCATCCAGAGTCTGGATTCCCGACAACAGTAGATCAATGTTATTGTTTAAAATGCAATCAGTCATCTTGTATTAACTTTGGTGTTGCTCATAAGTGAGATGACCCTGTGCTGAAAAGAATAAAAACTTTAGATCGTTATAAAACCTTTGAAGTAAAACCCTAAGATACAAATGATATTAGAAAAGAGAAACAAGTACTGCTAAGTAATCCATCTATCATTCAATATCCTGTACACAGAGCAACTCTTGTCATTCAAAAAGATCAAAAACAATGAGTGATAAAGAAGCAGGACTAGAATTTCAAAACTAATTCCACAACAGCACAATGGGGAGGGATATAATGGAATAAAATTCAAGCTGGCATATAAACATTACTGTCAGCATTCAAAAGGTCTGTCCAACCCAAAGAAAATGGGTATGTGCATCGATAGGCAGATTGAGGAAAAAGCGAAAAAATGGTACTAGATAAATAATGTTAGTAACACTACATGCCACCACTAGTTTACAGCCTTTTGTGAGAGTGACGTGACATAGTGTAATGCAAATGTGTTTGGTCTTTACTTAGACAACATTCTGTGTGTTTGTTAAATTGTTTGCCATTTAATTAGTCCTTTTTCAGTGCTGCTAAGATTTTCCAGTAAAGTTCCAACTTTTATTAAACCTACCAATATGTAATGTTTTGCATATTATTTTCAAATATTTTTATGTGTCTTACTCTATTTTATGCTCTGAGTTGTTTTAAAACTAAATAGACTACTAGTTAGTATTTTATTATAACTGTGCAGCTTAGATATTTATCAACCTCTCCATGCAAAGAGTATTTTATGTTTTAAAGATAAAATTTCAGTTTTGTTAGATGTCGTAGTAGGTGAGAGATTTTAGAATGACTTTCAAAGTTTTTTTATCAACAAGCTTTGCTCATTGTTTAAGCAACAGCATCAACATTGCTGTTGCCTTTGAGAACTACAAGGCAATGGAAACATTTAGAATATCCAACTAATATCAAAATTTCGAATGCATTAGTTGTCTCACAACTTGGCCGTATTATGTTCACATTTCATAAATGAAATTTTGATTTATCCTTAGAAAATATGAACAATCTTTGCTATGGATAATATAAATGGAGTTGAAGAGCAGGTGTCTGACCAAGCTCAAAAGCGGTCAGTACCATCCAGGGGCAGCCAAAGGACCAAAAGTGGAGCTTCTGGTCAGTACTCCTTTACAGATGAAGATGTCCCACCTGCTTCACCTGTTACATTGGCTTCTCTTGATGAAACAGGCAAGATGGCAGATCAAGAAGCTGCAGAGATTGATAATGATCAAGAGATAACAGAAGTTGTAAGTAAAGTTGATATACAAAAAATATTCACCAACCTGAAATAATGTATGATTTCTTATTTGAATTTGTTGATATAGAATCTTTATGAATGCATTTTTATATACATCATCTGTATAAATGTTTTGCTTGTTTATAAATGCACTGAAGCAGTAGATTTAGGAACTGGTGCTACATCTTGTCTCTGTATTGTGAAATTTTTTTTCACAAATAATTTGAAAACATATCATTTGCAGGCCAAGTTGATCCAAAAGAGAATTTCTCTTGGACCTCTCAAAGCTGATAAGTGGAATGATGAGCAGTTTGAAGTCATCAAGGGTTTTGTTAGAGATGTTAGCAAAAGAACACTGATTTGCTACATTGATGCTATTGCTGGTTTTACTGTCTCAACAAGCTGCCCAGTTTTTCAAGTTGATGAGCTTCAATATTTCATTCGTAAAGAAGGAGCCCAACTGACAATTGAAAACATTGGTAAAACATTGCAGTTTGGCAAAATTAGAGGCAACTACATTGAGAGCTTGCTAAGGATGATGACTAGCATCTATGGACCACATTTTTTCAAGAATACAACATGGCCAGAAAGTATCCTTCTCTTTTCAAATTTCTTATCTTATATTGCATTAACTTTTTTATTTTTCATATTTCCTCACTTTGTTATCTCGAGAATGGGATTTCCATTTTACTTAAATTGACACATATTGCCTTTGTTTGGCTACACATGCAGGTGCCCTTGCTTAAAAAATTCTGTTCTATAGTCTTGCACTCTTTTTGCATTTTCCTCAACTATCTGAACAGGCATCAAGAATGATTTTATAGCCCATGTCCACAAATTCATGGCCACCCTTACTGATGCAACTTACAAAATGCAAGGGAAAACAGTTCTTTATGTTCCCAATGAGGGAATTGATACAAACTTAGAAGAAGCTGCAAGAAACAAAGAATTTGTGCAAAGGCTTGAAAGTGAGTAAAATTTTCTCTATTTGAATCATGTTGTGACTGCAATGTGTTTTTCTGTTCTTCAACATACATGATATATAAACGTTGTATTGTTGTATGTTGTTATGCCACTTTGTGTCTTTCTTTATAACACAGTGCCTCTACCTGTTGGCCGATGCAATACAACAAATGTCAAAGAAATCCATGCAGAAGTAACTGTCATGTCGATTCTTATAGATTTTGCCCTTGGTCATGGGCGGTGCAAAATGCCCTTCCAGTGTATGGCTAGCATAATGAGTGCCGAGTGCCCCATACAACCATAACAAATCGTGAAGCATTTTAGTGTGTTTTTCGAAAGTTGGTTTGTTAGTCAAACGATGCTATCAACTGAAGCCACCCCCCTCAACCCCCCAATTTGAAACTGCCCTTTCATTTGGTTTCCCAAAATTTCTTTGTCACAGGGGCAGTTGATGCAGTCAATTTTCCAGTGTTTCTCTAATTATTCATTTTTTGTGATTCATTTTCATTGTTGCTTCGATCAAATTGCATCCTGCCTAATGAAAGAACCAGATTGATTCTACATGTATGAAATATAAGGCAAGATCCTTGAAAGATCTTTTTGGTACTATGAGTTCTTTTCTAGCTGCAATGATACACTGGACACGGCAGATAAAAGAATTGTTGAACAACCAAGATGCTCATGAAACTTCTGAAAATGCTGGCCCTTTGGAGGAGATTGCTTTTTGGAGAGGTAGATGCAATGACCTTCAAGGCATTAGTGATCAGCTGGACAAGCCAGGGGTCAAACAGATTGTCTCAATCTTGACAATAGCCAAGTCATCTTATGTTGGCCCATTTCTCAAGCTATCAAAACTGATTCAAGTTAGTATTTAACCGATTCATAGTCAGTTAAAGCCAACTAAAATCCGACCAGCCTAGTCTAGTTCAACTGAATTAAATTTTTGTTTGTAAGGAACAGACTCTTGAATTGAAGCCAACAGTCTATTGGTCACAAATGAAATCTTTACACCGTACTTCAGCTGCACATCTACCATGCATGCAGGTTCCTATTCAATTTACCCACCCTTCATTCAAGTTCTTCTATATTGGAAGGGTTCATATTACTTTTTTTCATATAGCAAAAACGTGAATAAAAAAGTATCAGAAATTGAGCTTTTGTAACTGTAGCATGCCCAATGACATCCGTTTGCTTGTCATCCGAATATTTATATTTTAGAATATCAAAAAACGCCAGTAAACTCATAGAATGACCTGATATTGGGTTTAATCTGATATTCAAGCATTTGTTTCATTCAGTATTATCTTAACAGGTATTACAGGGGCAACTGCCCCCGAGGTGATATGACTTGGAAAATCAATTCCTAAAGTCAGATTGTTTTGGGAATACTAACGAAAATGCCACACATGCAAATGAGTCAGAGAACTTACCTCTTTGGTCCAACTACTCAAAAAGCTAAATTTTCAAACCTAAAATGTAGTTGTTCTGGTTAGCAAGCAGCATAATGGTGTTGTTTGATCTAAATGTTAAAGTGCATTGTTAATTATTTGTTTGTTTCTTCCAAGGATGGGTCGAACCAAGCACAGAGCAATTTGAAATTCCTTTCAATACTGCAGAAACCTTGCGGAGAACTGGCACGTTCGGAGCCAAAGGACATACCGAAGATCTTACCGGAACTGTTAAGTCTTGTTCGGATTATTTGGACAAATTCCGAACATTTCAGGAGCAGAGAAAGGATAACAGGAATTATGAGGAAGGCAAGAATTCACTTGATGTCGTGTTTTTAGTTTATACTTGCTGTTTTGTATTCAGCCCGTAGAAGTGCATATATATCAGGCAAAAATGGTTCGGTAATCCAAAGTTCCCTTCTTAAGTAAGCTTTCAACTTGATTTCAGCCTTTGTTCACAAAATAAAGCTTCTCTGCTTTAGGTATTTCTAAAGGTATAATTATTTTCCTGCTGTAAAAATCTTCACTAGATATGGAGCCAATATCTTTTCGTAAGCATTTCTTCTTTGGTTTATAACTGATAGACTTTGATTTGAATTTTATTAAAATCCAAGTGCATTTTCTTCTACTCAGATCAGTAACGAAGTAATTCGAAGATGTAGCACGAAAATTTCGCTTGATGACATTTTCAACGGAAACACTTTGACAAGCATCAAAGGCCTGAACGAGAGCATCAGCTGTTGCCTGGCGTGGAAGGACAGCTACCAGAGGGTATGTTGAATTGTGATTTTAAAGTAAAGGTTCGTTGCTTAAGCCTATGGCGTTGAGGGAACTGTGGTATAGGAATTGGATTTACGCCCAATTGGAATTGGGTTATGTAGTTTCATGGGAATTATAGAATTACAGGAGGGGAACCATTGCCTGACAGTAATAGGAGCAAAAAGGGTTTTTTAAGTAGAAACAAGAGATCCTTGTAATTTTTTTTGGGGGGGGCAGAGGAAGGGGTGTTACTGGTCTCTCTAGAAACAGTAGTAGCTTTGCTCCTGTTATGTGATATCATATCTGGCATCGTTTCCAAACTCTTGTGTAAATGCCTGGTACAAAGTTTACTGTGTGCAGATCAAATGGGAGAGAATTAGACATTGTTTTGAAGCCAGACATGGGAAATTCCGACAAACAATAAGGAGGCCTCTTCAGAAACATAAAGTATTTGAAATGGGTGATTTCCAGTAGCCGTCCCAATGCATGTCAAGTTATAACTAATTAATGTATTGTAGCATTAATGACGCTTTTTTTTGTGTTTTTGTTTGGGTTTGAGACCCTCTGCACATAATGCCTATTAGCCCTCTTGTAGTATTTCATGGTGATAGGTGTAGGTAGAATAGTTAATCATTTGAAGCAAAAATTTTCAAACTATTTTGCCAGAATCTTCTTTTCAAAATAAGACAATGTTTTAAGTGTCAAAACATAACTAAATTTAGCCTAGAGGGGCAATTGCTCATTTTTTTGGGGGGAGTCTTAGAGTAATATAAGAACCTAACTTGGGAACATTCAACATGGTAAACATGTTTGCATCCTTCTTGGGGAATATTACTTATCGATCGACAAAACCAGGTTTACTAGCTTAGATATACGGCAAAGTATGAGTGTTTATGAATAAGATTTGACCCAACCACTTGGTCCTCATGCTTTTGTCCCATTTTGTGAGCTGGTAGCTTTTTTTCTTTCTAGGCAAGCAGGATGCACCTGAAATTTTCAGTTTCAGAAAAGTGGGTTTTGGATCAGACGAGCATCTTTGCACAAGTTGACGCTTTTGTTCAGAGATGCAAGGATTTACTTGAGGTAAATCTCACCTTTGCTGTTCTCGCCGATGCAGTTCTTTTTTATTTCTAGCTTTCTAAATCTACTTGAAAAATTTAACGTCTTTTTTTTAAAGGTTTATCAAAATTAAAATCTGAATTAGCTTTGTATCTTCGTATTGGTTGTTATTAGTTCTTTTGGGAATTTACAAAAATCTGATTTTTAAAACCCAGGTTTGTGACGGGCAGATGCATTTCGCAAGAATGGTGGATGGACACAAAGTACCATTGCCAATATTCCCAGGGCTCAAAGGACCTGAAATTGTTCGTGGTCTTATGGAAATCGAAGCCACTTTCGAGAAGAACCTACAGATTCTGAAGAATGTCAAGCATGTTATTCTTGACGTGAAGGTAACATTTGTAGACATAGATGTAATTTTTTAAAGAATTTCACCAAAAAACAAGGAAACGCAACCACCAAACAAAGGCTTTTGATAAGTAGAAGGATTTCTGCTCAAAATTAAGCAATCTCCTGGCCGTCTTCTATAGCTATTTTATACTGACTGTTAATTGTACCAAATCGCAGTATTTAGAACTGCCATTTTAAAGATAAAATTATTTTGGCACATGGTGTGAGAAACGATGATATTTTCGCCAACTGTTTTCGACAGAAAACGTCAAATTCCAGGCTTAACACCCAAAATATTTTGCACAAATATTGCAATTAAATGCCCTGGTGTAATTTATGTTTACTCAGCAAAAGACCGAACGCTTTAACGACTGTTTAGAAAACAGAATATCTAATTCAATTGGCTCAACTATTCTTTATGCTGTTACCCTGAAAGTTGTCTGAGATTTGCATTTTTAAGAAAATTCAGATCAAATGCTGCTGGAGCTGATAAGCGTTTCTCTCTCTTTGTAGGCCGCAAGTTGGCATGACGTATACAATCGCTTCCGTGCTGGTGTCAAAGATTTGGAAGTCATGATGCAGAATGTAATCAATTCTGCATTTGAAACTGTAACAAACGTCCAGCATGGTGCTGAAATTTTACGCAGCTTTGTGCATTTGTCATCCAGAGAAGTATGCATTTAATTTTCTTGTAACTGTCTTTTACTATATAAAATTTATTGTTTTGGCTTGCCGTTATGTATATCTATATGTTGGCAAAAGTCGAAAAAATTTTATTTTAGCATACTCACAATATATATGTTTACACTGCAGCATTGAACCTGGAGAGGGGGCGAGGCAGGGTCATAACTTTGCTTCCAACCTTTTCTATGCAGCCCCCTAGTCATAGAGTTCTTAAGTGTGACGTAAAGAAAAGTAAATTTTTTGAATTTTTGAATTTTGATAATATTATCTACGGAACACTTCTAAACATGGGAAATAAGTTAAATAAGCGAAAAATCTGGTGAGATAAGGCCAATGTTACTTTGGCTCTATTCCTAAAGTTTGATGAGTTTCATGAGGGAAAACCATGTGCTCATTTGGCCTTACCTCAGCCAATTTGTGACAAATTCAACTGATTTTGCAGATTTATTTCATGATGCTCTTTCACGTTATGAGGTCCAAAATTGAATATTCCAAAATAATCTTGTTGACGTCATCACTTAAAAACTGTATTGCCGATATCTTACAAAAAGCCTCAGTTTCTTTTAGATGGAAGAAAGGAAGTTTAGAGCAATGTACATTCAAACAATACAATGCATTTTCTTGTTAATAGGCCATTCGACGTACTATTGATAAGCGAACGGTTGAAGTTTACCATCTCTTCAACGAAGAGCTCAATGCCGTCAAGAAAGAATTCAACACGAAGAAAGTACAGCTTCCGCCTCTACACCCAAAATATGCAGGTCTTGCATCGTGGGCAAAGAGCTTGAAGAAACGCATCGACAAGCCAATGGAGGTATTGGTCAAATGATGCTTCAATGTGCCTTATCACGTTTGCTTAATGTAAAATTATCATCTACTGACTAAAAAAGTGTGCCATGGCTCCATATATTATATTTACGAAAGCACACTTTCTATTAAAAAATATCGAATAACATCATCAGCTATTCAACTTTTTACCACTATCCATCATCTAACTTTACCATTCGTATTCTATACGTATTCAGAAACTGCTGCTATTTATGGCCTTAATCAGGGGCGGACACTTGGTCAAATATTGGGGGGGGGGGCAAGCCTATTGTCTTAATAAAATGACGTCACATTTCTCATTGTTTTAGAACAAAAGACCATTGTCCTCTAAAGTATTGGGCGGTTGCCACCCAAGTGTCTGCCACTGGCCTTAATGTTCCCCTGACAAACCTTTATTGACTTGTTGCTGACATACGCTATAGTCCTATCGAAAACAGTAAAGAGTTTCTTTACATGCAGTACAGAGATTCCAAACATATTAATTTTAAGGCTTCCAACAATCTTGTTCATTCAGGGTTTTTATTAGATCCATAATTTCGCAGTGTTCAAAATACACATAGGCACTGATGATTTCATCCAGAAATAGAGACTGAAGTACATTTGTTATATGTAATAATCTCTTCGAAACCATTTTTCTGCATTTTGCTGAGTTTGCTCCACTGATATTCAAGGTGCTGGAAAAAGCTACTTACTTACCGCAAGTTGGACTTGGTGAAGAAATTAAAACGCAATATCTACAGCTCGCTCAGGTATATATAGACTTTCTAATTGTCAGATACTATATTTTGTCAATTAATCTGGTCTTGGGACATTTTCCCAGTGTTGTTAGGGTCCTTTTTTGTTTGCGAGTCCTTATAAATGGTAATTTATATAGATTTTAAATTGGATGTGGAATCCTGTTTGATGATCAGTTGCATGGCTGCACTGCTTGTATTCGCATATTTTGAGTTACTACTCCAAATCAAGTGGGCTTGTCTAAGATGCTCTGCTCTTCAAAGTGAAGCTTTAAAATATAACAGGAGGCCTACCAACATCAACTTACACAACCATATAAACATCTCAGTATATGTTCAACGTTGACCGAATACAAAATAATGTATTCTTTCGTCTATTTTTAAAAGCCTTCAAGGTAAGTTTGAAGAAGAAAAGTCCTAAATTTGTTCTTTTTATTCAAGAATCTCTCATGATTCATTTAGTGGTGCTTCCCCTTTATATAATTGCTTTTGAAAATTTCCGTGTATTTATGTTGTTGCCAGATTCACTGCCTTTTTGCATGTTTTTAAATTTCTCCTTTTTAGGCACTTGATGAATATGTGAGAAAAACTTTCAACGAGTGGACTGCAACTGTTGATAAGGTGAATTGCGATGATGGTCTTCAAAACAACTCTCACCTAACGTAGCCTTTTATTTCTTCAAATACACAAGGATGTTTTACCTCAACCAGCATTTGCCGGTGAAAGAAGTTTAAGTTTTGTCAGAGAAAGCCCTGCAAAATTTTGCAAATCTTCTGATTATCAAGAAATTGTTATTAAGTCAACACTCTGATTGTAATAAAGCCGATTTTCTCATCCTTCATCAATTTCAAGCAGATTTTTTACTTAAAACATGTCCTTACTAGTTCGACGATATAAAGTTTTCATTGAAAAGGGGAAAAATAAATATAATTATTTGGCTTGACAGATTTTTAGGCCACAGATAACAAGGTAAAAAATGGGGCTATTTCTTTTAATATCAATCATAAAGAAAGAAGCAACTCATTAACAACGAATGACTAGACATTTAAGGTGAATCGCTTAAAAAATTTTGGCCATTGTCTCTAGGTTTGCTTGTTAATTGCAGGATATTGGCAAGCTTTTGGAGATTCCTCTGATGGCTAGGAGTGTGGAACACAATGGCATGCTTGACCTTAATTTTGACAGGTAAGACTTTCCCTATTTACTGTTCACATATCTCACTGTATGGTTCCTTGGCCGAAATTATCTTGCACAAAACTAATTGATTTAGAACATGGTAAAATGAAAATATGTTTTGCTGTGAGGGAAATAATTTCTTTTAACTTTTTCACCAAAAGATTTAAAAGCTATGTTGATTGCATCATGCATCTTACAGCAATTGTAATCAAAAGTTGAGTTTTAAAATCAAGCGTTGTATTGTCTTGATGAAATCTTTGACAATCTTCGACATTTACATATGAAGTAATTGCAGGTTGAGGGTTGAATTCATCTTTCTTCTTGTAGGAAACTGCAGAAACTTTTCCAGGAAATCCATTATTGGGAAAGACTCATGTTTGAAATCCCCCATTATGCATCTGAAGTGCACTCAAGGAAAGAAGAGTTGAGAATTCTCAAAGAGAACGTGCTGTTAGTTGTTCGCGATTACAACAGGTACCATATTCGATTTTTCAATAATGCTTGCTCTAGTAGCAGAGTTCACATCGATGTTGACTTAAATGATGTCCAAAACTAGGCAGTCACATTTTGAAACCCAAGATCAAATTAATCTTAATTGTTACCGTCATAGAGCAAGTTTAAAAACTGTCTTTTATTCGCCGCTTTATAATGCTGAAGAGCTTGCATTTCTTTGCATCACAAAAATAATTCATTCCTCAGGACAATAGTTTTCATTTCCTTAAACTTCACTGCTAGATTGTTATAACTCAAAAACTTTATCACATCTAACTTTTATGACTATCTGTAAAAGTATCCAAGTAGCCGCTAAGTCTCTTTTTCATCTAACTAACAATACAACAGGCATCACTTTAATAAGCTTTGGCATAATGCTCTTCATTGATCAACGGAGTTCCATTCTGAACTTTAAAAAGATGAATTTCATTCCGCCAAAACTTTACGCTCTATTTACGTTGCATAACGCTCCAAGATTCTTTAAGACGTTTTCTGCATCATCAACAATTATGACGTATAAATTTGGCATCCTTTGCAAATCTTAAGGGCTGTGTGCTCTACTTTTCTCTTGAGAAAAAGAACTTTGGTATATCGTTTCTCGTTGCCAAAACGTATCCGGTTGTACTGGATCATCACACTGCCTTCTAAGAGTTATATCATTGCCTTTTTTTAATTTTCGAAAATTTCCGTTCTAATCAGGTATTCTATCTTTGGCTGCAGATATGATCGAATTGTGAGATTTATAATTTTTTTGTTGCAGAATCATTGCCGCACTTTCTCCAGAAGAAAGAGGTCTATTCCGCGAGCGAATCCGCTTCTTGGACAAAAGAACGCATCCTGGTCTAACAAAGTTAAACTGGTCTTTGAAGGGTGCCTCAGAGTACTTCATCAATGACTGTCGCGTTAACTGTGGAAAGGTGAATTATGACTCGTTTGTTTTTATCAGATCTCATTGTATTGATGTTTTTCCAATGATGTCTTATAATGGGTAAAATTGCGTAGCTATAACGATTCAAAGGAACCTCGCCTGCTCATAGATAGTGATGCATTTGGGCAAAACTGCTCTTAGAGCTCCGCGTTGCATTTGCACACATTAGACATTGTTCTAAACCAGAATATCGTAGGTTTGGTTCGACCATTTGGGTTCTTTTAGGGGATTAAGACCCATGTTTCTTTCGTGACACTGCCTTACATGAGAATGTAAATTTCTAAGACATAAAGCCATTAGGTGTTGCAAGTGTTAAGCTTATGAAAGTATTAGCAGCATGTATCTTCTTTGTTATTAAAACCCTTGAATGTCACACGTTGATTTGATTTTATATTAATATCAGTGACATTATATTTTGAGTATTCGATCTCGTCAAAGTCTCATCAAAGATAATGTATCTTTCATCTCATAGTTACACACGTTTATGGCCGTTTTGATTGTCTTCCCTTATGCATCTGATGTTGTTCATCTAGAATATGTAGTTTGATTTATATTCTTGATTATCTCTTTTCTTTGAAATACTGTTTCATCAAGTTGCATCCAGATCTTTCAAATTCAACGGTATGCAGTGGTTTTAGTTTGCAGAGCTGCCCCTTTCTTATATATATATATTTTTTAAAATTTTGATTTTGCAAAGTCAGAATGGTAATTCTCTCTTCCTTTTTGCTTGTTTTCAAATTCTACCATCAAGTGTTTTTCTCAATAGCAACTCAGAACTTATTCTCACAACTTTGAAAATATCTCATTTTCTTTTCAATATTTGCAACAGGTACAAAACATTGTTGACGAATACAAAAGTGCCAACCTGATGGTGGCTAATGATTGCAAGACAATCACGGAAATGCTTCTTGTCAACATTGATGGAAAACGGGTTTATGACAACTTGGAATTCGAAGAAGAGCAAGTTAGTTTTATGTTTTAAGTCAATTTTGTTAATCAGGCTCGACCACTTATCTCATTTTACTAATTTTGTTTTTCTTCCAATTAAATATATCGATCAACTATCGTCATTGCTTCTAATGACGTGTCATTTTTACCAGCTTTTGCGTTTAAGGCTTGTTGCTTCGAGACATAATCTTTTTTGAAAATTTCCCCATATTTTCTTCTTATTTCATATCAAATATATTAAATAATCAGTTCAACTTGCATTTTTCTTAGTTGCTCTGAATGTTGTTATTCAACTTTTTTGTGATTTCTTCCTCTGCTTTTTTCTTTCTTCGTTTCGTATTGATTTTGATTCTTTTATACCTCGATTTATGTTTTCTTTATTAAAGTTTTTTAGTTTTTCGAAAGCCATTTTCTGTTTTGAAATCTGTTTTTTGTTTAAATATATAAGCGGCTACTAGCTTATGGCATAATCTAGATCTTTGAAAGTAGCACCGAGTTGAACGTTTTCCTACTTCTCTATTGCAGCTTGGATTTTTTCATCTATATATTTCAAACTAATAAGCCAAAATGTTTTATTAAATTCTTAGAAAAAGCACAGGGAATTGGTGCAAACTAGGTTGCATTTGGTATTCAGTGAAATTATCTCGACAATGAGGAAAATGTACGATGTATTCAAACTTGACGGACCAGAGGTAAGATTTGCACTGAGCTTATTGCCATGTCTATTGCCAGATCACTCAAAGAATTACAATTTTTGCAATATATGATACCATTACTTTTTAGCGTTGCCAACTTAGAGCCGGTTGGTCACGACCGTCGGGTTTCTACAACCTGTTCATTTTAGCTTTGAAGGATCCGAATGTGCAATTTATTTTATACGCTTGCCAACTTTCAAGCACCACGCACCAGTCTAAAGGTGGGTGTGCTGAGATGGGTGTAACCAAACATTTTTTTTAGGCGACGCCCTTTAGAACGCCGGAGAACACCCCTTTTAGAAAATACTCGCTTCTTTCAACTTGTTCCTTTGAAGCAGTCAGATTCAGAGAAGATAACAGTTACTATGAAAATATATTAACAAGATAGGACGCCAAGAAAATTAGCAAAAAGGCCTCCTAGTCACGAAGAACTGCTGCTACTTAGGATCCGTTAGAGCATAGTGGTTAGTGAAAACTTTCCAAATTCCGCTAGAGTTTCTAAAAAGTTTAACCTATTATTGCAAACAAAGTGGGGGGTGGGGGCTATAGCCCCTGCGCGGTGCCTGCTGACTTTATCGTCGAAGCTCTCTTTGCAAAGAGTTTCTGCATAAAGTGACGATATTGATTTAAAATGTAGCCTTAAATCGTAAAACGATACTGAAAGAAACTTAGAGAGATGCTTGCAGAGAAGGAGCTGCAGTCATTACATTACAATTGACTTAGTCTAATCATAAAAATCAATTTATGTTTCATCCATTTTTGATTAACAATGAAAAATATTTTGCTTCTGTTGTGTGTTGGCGCTAAATAATGGAAAAAAATGATAAAGGAAGTTACCATATTTTCTCTTGTATTCCCTCTACAAGGGTTTATTGGTTATATCTTTTAATTTAAAGCGGCGGGGTTCATTTTCAAAGTAAAGAGAAAAGGCAGGATACTTGGAGAGGTTAAACTATTGGAGAGGGCGGAATTAAGAGAGAATACGGTATTTGAAGATACAGAAAAGTTTATTGTGGAAATTGGTTTATTTTATCTATTTTTAAGGTGCAAAACCACTGGTTAAGATACACGAAGAAAATGGATGAAATGCTGGAAGAAGCTTTCCGTCTAAACGTAAAATGGTCCTTACAAGAACTGTCTCGTGCCATTAACGGCGATGGTAAAAATCCCCCAAATCCTCTCTTTCGCGTCAAAGTCGTCTTGGATGGAGTCAAGGTATGATATTCATCATCAGAAGATATAGTAAAATGTGCTTCTTCAACCCAGAGTAACTATGTCTGCATACTGTTGAAATTCGGGCAATATTCACTAGGATTATTAAAACAACGACTGATAAACACCAGTGATAAACCTTTTCTTTCCTTACTTTTTATCTACGGTTTATTGAATGTAAATTATACTATTAATTAAGGCAAAAGGTTGTCGTCAGTTAGTTTTTAACAATTTGAAATCCAGTCGACAACATGAGTTAGGTATAGCATGTTAGGTTAGGTATAGTTGAAACTGGGCAAAAATAAAACAAAACTATAACCGATTTCCAAACGACTGTGACGTTCTAGGGACTCTGTAATAGAGAGATCACTTCAGGGGTGGATGCAAACTTTTGCAGGGTTAAGGACACATTTTTTTTGTAGTTTTCCAGTTCTAATTCCACAATGAAAATTTATTTGTAATCACAAACACGTTTCAATCAAATTCATCTTCTGCAACACCTGGTTCCTGGCATCAACGGCCAATTTCATGTATGAGGATTATTCCCTGTATTGGGCTAAGGCTGGTAGCCTCTTTGACTTATTCAGGGTATATTTTGCGGCTTAAATGTTCATCAACATGTGGCTCGAAGCTCTAAATTCCCTATGAAATACCCCGTAAGCCCTAAAGCCTGCATGATAATCAATGAAGGGGGTTTCTGGCGGGTAATTAATTAAACTCTAGATAAAGGAGTTGCTGATGTGGGTTAAAAGCCAACCAAGAAAGGTACTGGCTGCCGCAACCCGCCAGGAAACAACTTTTAGGTTCCAACTCGATCAAATCTGGTTCATGTTAATTATAGATATGCAGTGTACCAGGAGACTGGAACTGGTAAACTTGTTGCCATCATAGCGGCTCAAAAAATTTTACCATCGCTTGTTGCATTTTTTTCGTATTTTACTTGTCAGGTGGAATTCTCTCCAACGCTGTCGAAGCTTGCAAGCATCGTGAACAACACTGCCAAGGAACTGACAACATGCCTATCTGTTTTCCCAAGGCTGCCCGATCAACTGACGCCAGTTCGTTCCGATAAAGAGGTTTGTATATCCTCGAGTTTTCACAACATCTGATACGTAGAGGGTAGCAGAAATATAGTAGCAAAAATCTCACGGCCTTTGGGAAACACCCTTGTTTTTTCTTTTGTATACATAAATATAGGATTTCTTGCAAAATACTAGAAACAATATAACGCTACGTTTCCTACATAGGACAATTCACTGAATTGAATCAGGCCCAAAGAACAGTTGCTTAATCATATTGACCTTTCTAATTGGGTGGACTGTTTTTCCTTTTACATTTTCTAACAAACTTTTTTACTTTGTGTTTTCTGCCAGACAATCATTTATCAAGTTGCCGGAGCGTTTTAGCTTTAGATAAAGGTCTATTCTAACGGCTAATATCCTTAAAGAATATTATATTCTTATGGGGGTAATATGAAATTCAAATATTTTTCAAATTTTTTATTTTCAAGCCTATTTATGTGGTTATTGAGAAAGACGATGAAACCAAAAAAGTGCAAGCCAGTATTGCAAGTGGCATTGAAGCCAATGCCAATACCTTAATGAGTTACCTCAGTGTATGGGACAGGTAAGTGTCCCATATCTGCTTTTCTGCTGCACATCCGATACTTTTGAAACTTAGCTACATTTGATATAACAAAGTGTATTTTCTATGCATTTTAATAATTAATCTATCTTGGGTAAGTCTTATAGAACAAAATGCAATTTGAAATTTCAATTTCACGAAAGAATGTTTAAATCTGTTTTATAAAGCTAAGATCTCTAGCGTTATACGTGACCCTGAAAGGAAGTCTGTCCGACTGAACAACGCCTCCGTTTTTCTTTAAATATTCATTAAAGTTTGTCTTCATATGAAAATGTCTTTGACCAATCGATTTTTCTTGATGTTTTCAGCTATCGAGAAATTTGGGAGCTGAATAAAGAAGCGTTTATAAGACGATATGAAAGATTAAATCCCCCAGTATCATCCTTTGATGCTGATATTGCCAGGTAAGGGAATATTCTTATGGAAAAAGTCGAGTTTGTCATTACTGAAAAAGAAGTATGCATCTTTGCATTGGACTGCCTCAGAGTTTTTCGTTGTTTATAGGGAACTTAGGTTTCAAACATTATTTTTCAAGAGATGTTATATGAAAAAATTTGCAATCTTTTCCTCTCAGGACAAATATTTTTCTTACATTCTGATCATCACTTGCAGATACACCGAAGTGGCAAACAACGTGCAAAAAGAAGAAACGATTGTGACGCTGAATTTTGTTCTGCTGGATTGCTCTCCTTTAAAGTTCGCCCTGTTGAGTCATTGCAATGAATGGCAAAATGGCTTCACGCGCGTGTTGAAAGAGATGGCCATTAATCGTCTAACTGATCTACATGCGTTCCTAAAGACCAACTCAGAAAAGTAGGTTTTACACTTCTCGTCATTTCCTTCGTCCTAAAAACAGCCTTATATAAGGATCGAACCCCTTCTTTAAACAATCTTAATTGATTAGATTTTAGTTGAGGAGGGATAAAAATTGCTTTATGTGTACAGTAGGAGGACAAATTTTAGTTTGCTTGCATTTTCACTTTGGCGATTTGAAACCATAGACTCAACAAGCCTTTCCAATATTGGGGAGACACATTTAGGCTATAAAGAGGCACCTCCTTGAGCTGAAAATAGGTACTTAGCCTCTATTCCTCAAAAGTGAGCATGGGCCCCCCTTCCCCCCCCTCCCAGCTACTACGGCTTATGCTTTAACATGAAAAAGCAAAGAAAATTGACATCTTTCACATTCGTACACTGATTTAATTTTTTCTCGATTTTGACATATTGTGCAAGGTTTACTGTTGACCTTTGATACAATTACGAAACAAAGAAAATTTCCCCAACATTCGTCCTCCTACTTTTAATTTTCTCATCCGTTAATTGGCCCAGTATTTGATAAATTACTGATTTTATCCCTCTTCGATGTTGAGACTTATAAAAGACAGTTGCCGTAGCTGTAAATGGGGTCTTTCTTGAATTTTCAAGCAAGATCCATAAAACGAGTGCATTGTGTAGAACTCAAAAGAGACTGGTACTTTCATTTTGTAAATACATCAAAATGTACAAGTCATATTTTTTCTTTATTTGAAGGTTGCAAGCAAATCCTGAAAACCTTGATCAGCTTGGAGCAAGCATACGGCTGCTAGAAACATTGCAAGAAGACTTGCCAAAAACTGAGGCAAGAATACCCCCCTTGCACGAACAGTTTGCCATTCTTGAGAAGTACGAGGTCGATGTGCCTGAATCGGTAGGTATTTTTCTGGTAATGAACACCGAATAAGGCCACATATCTAAATGGTTAGATTGTTTGACTGCACTGTCGGAGGTGATGGGCTCAAATCCAGGCTAGTGCCATGATTTGGATGTTCACCCCTTGTCCACTTCGCAGCAAGTGGGTGGGGGCTGTTAAAAGCCGTAAAAAGAAGAACCAAACACCCCCATCTCTTCATGCTGTCCTCGCAGAACATGTGACCTCTTTCACAAGCACTTCTCCAACGTACGGTCGTTATACAGAACCATTCCCTCAGTTGTTCGCGACAGGTCTTTCAAGTCGCGGTCTTTTGTCCCACCCACTACCTGCTGAATTTTTGTGCACTTCGAAGAAGATATTCGTCGTATAAACCTGGAATGTTTTATTCATTCACCAAAGCCTTCATTCCAGTGCCAAGCCACTTGCTTTCAACGCAAAAACGTTCTTCCAGTTTTCGTCTTAAGAGATAAATTGTTCTTGTATCTACTAGGCTAGCAGTGGATGGTATTGTCGCATTTTTAGCGTCCTTGTTGAGACTCTGAAGTATGCAGCCTGTGCCCCTTCCACCCGTTCCCTATGTCTATGAATTACAAAGTAACTTGCTCATACTGTTTACAGGTGCAACAAATGCTTGAGGCTCTTAGCAATGAGTGGGTTGCCTTCCAACAATGCCTGATCGATAGTGACGCCATGCTGAAGAAGAGCAAAGAGAAGTTCAAAACTGGCTTACTTCACTCGGCGGAGGATTTGAAGAAATCTGTCACAGCTTTGCAAGATGATCTGAATTTGAAAGGAGCATTCAGTGCCAAAATCCCCGTTAACGAAGTAAATCTTTTAGTTTCTGTTAAGTGCTGCCTAGAAAAACATGATCATAAATATTATCACCATCACAATCAATCGTCGCCATCATCGATGCTTTGGTCGTCTTTGTTGTTATCGTTGTTGCTTTCTCTCTTGTCGTCCTCCTACCCGCCGTCATCCTCTTGCTCGTTGCGTCTTCCCAATCGTCGTCGTTCTCGTTGCCTTCCTCATACTCGTCGTCTTTATAAATCCTTTTATTCATTTGACAACGTTCGGCTTAATGTTTTCATTCTGGTTTTTTCTCTCAGGCATTGCAAAATGTAGAGAACTATATAAAGCAAATTGATGATTTGAAGAACCAAGAGCGCACCATTAGGCAGGGTTTGAACATCTTCAAGATCGAGCAGCAGCCATCGAAAGCACTTCAAAGTCTGGAGAAAGATGTTGTAAACCTGCAAAGCGTACGTCTCTTGTTAAGTTCTTTTCTTTCCTTTCATTACTATTGCTGTAATTTTCTTTCGCATTTACAATTAATTTACACATGCTTCCACAGAGATCGAGGAAACTAAACAAAACATTCCCAGTAGTTTCTTTACAAGAGGGTAAATGAGGGTATAGAAGAAATTCATAAAAAACCTCAGTTGCCTGATGATCGCATTAAGCGTGAAACATGGAGTCGCAACTTGAAACCGTGCACACCAAAGTGCGTACAGTTCTCCCTAATCAGCGGAAACCTTTCATAACAGACCGGTAAAACAGTAATTTTCAAAACCCTAAAAAGGTTTTTGTGCATTGAGTCATTTACCAGCTTTATTTTTCTTTCCTTTTCAATCAATAGCATATTTATGTAAATACCGGAAATTTTGATAAGAATACAGAAATATAGAGGGCAGTATATTTTTGTGGGTTTGAGAAATAGTGGTACTGGAGAACGTCAAAAATAACTTGAAGAGGTTGGTGATGGAGAAACTCATCAGAAGCCTGCACGGTCCCCTATTAACAAAAAGCCTTATATATTTATATTTTACTCAACATCTGTGCTCTAGATCTTCGAATTTGCTGTCTCTAATATGCTCAAAAGAATCTATATATAGAAGTATTTTTCAATCTTCTTAAGGTTTGGGTCATCACCAAAGAGTGGGAAGACCTTTGGCAAAACTGGAAGTTCACCACCTTTTCGGATTTGGATACCCGAGACATGGAAACTACGTCCCAACTGCTGTCAAAGAGGCTTAGCAAATTAATCAGGGAAATCAAGGTATACTTTTATAAAGATACGTAATTTAATGCATGTGCATTCCACAAAATTTATGTTACCCCAAAATGTAGATATTCGAATATAGGAAATGGGTTTTAGCAAGGACCCTGCCAAATTTTGGCAATTTGAGAATATTTTCAAATAGGGGCCGATGAATATCTGTCAGGGTGGTTGGAAAATATGAGAAATTAACATGATATAGGAAGCCAGGGCCTGCGCCGCAGATTCTAAAGTGAGGGGGGGCTGGTCAAGAAAGGGTTACCTAAAGTTAAAAGGGGGATTTAATACCTATAGTTAGCAAGAAAAGTGGTGCGGGCCCTGCAAGCCATTCATTAATTGTCGCCTTCTGTTGTTACTCTGCAGACCCTATCTTTTGATTAGATTGGGATACCTGCTGAATTTTTCACACAATGTGTATTTTTTGACGCTCTATGACATGACTGTTTGTAATTGCTCTTTTGCTGAAATGATATAATCTGTAAAAACAGTCTTTTTAAGGTATCAACCCCCGTCTTTGAAATTTTTGAATTTCAATACCAAGAGTTGACAAAGTAACATTTTCCATTTTATTTGGGAATAATATCTTATGTGGTTCTTGAGATATATCCTGCAGACCAGTTTTAACATATTTCTGTCATGACATTACCCCCGTCTAAATAACAGTTTTTTTTCAAAAAATAGAAAAATAATTGTATTTTTCAATCTTTGATATACATACCTAGAAAATTTCGATTTTATATCTTAAACGGTTCACCCAGAACATTGTTTTAAAATAGCACAAGGTAGCAGTGGCGGACACTTGGGGCGACCCCCCCCCCCCCCCTCATACTTTGGAGGACAATGGTCGTTTGTTCTAAAACGATGGGAAATGTGACGTCATCTTATTAACATTATAGGCTTGTCCCCCCAATATTTGATCAAGTGTCTGCCCCTGCGAGGTAATTTTTATAGTGACTGTAGCCGGCCACCTTAAACGATTAAAATTTTGACGTGAAAGCGGTATATTGAAAACTTTGTTCATTGGTACAATATGCTGTGAATTAATAAAAATATTAATAAGCATTAAAGGACTACTTAGTACTGAAACTTGTCTTGCTTCGAGTTCTACAAACCACACACTTTTGTGCGGCTTATACATATCAACTTTTTGCCTCACGAAAAGTATATCCCGTGTGGTCTAGTGGTTAGGATCCGGCGTTTTCACCGCCGTGGCCGGGGTTCGATTCCCCGCACGGGAGTGCTTTTTATTTAAATTGTCCTTGTTTTAATGTATTTTTCCTTTTCTTCTTTTTGAAAAATTCACTCATTTTAGACATTTTGTAATTATTTTCAAAGAAAATGGAAACATTAGTATCGCACTTTGGACTTGACAAACAGATTCTCACAAAGTTGAAAATTTCTTTGATATTTTTCATTCCTTTTAAACACATCATTTTTAGGAGAAAAACTGGGAAATTTGTGAAATAACTAAAGGGAGAATTGACCAGTTCAAAAGAACAATGCCATTGATTCAAGACTTGAAAAATCCCGCAATGAGGGAGAGGCACTGGGCTCAAATTAAGACTGAAGTGCAAAAAGCGTTTGAACACAACGGTAAGAGATTCTTTCTTTCTAAAATTGAATCCCCATTCAAGCGAATTTTTAATGTTTTATAAGAAAAGAAACGTTAGAACCGGGAGTGCACCAGAGTTACGTGCACCCCCAACTTTTGGAATAATGCCCTTTTCTAAGATCAATATATTTTATTTCGACAAGAGCAAGACGTAACCTCTTTGTAAAAGTGCCCCTATTTCCTGTGACTTAGTGCCCTGTCCTGCCGGTACCATTCAAACTTTGAAATGATATGGGCAAGAGTAACAGTCACTTTTGATTGTTAGAGAGATTTTCAGTTATCTTAGGGTGTCCTCGACGATCTGTGATCAATATTATGGTTTTTAGTGGTTAGGCAAAATCAGTCCACTTTCAATTTTTTTTAGAACTGAATTCTGCTTCTCTTATATCTATGCGATTTAAATCGACTGTAAAGCCAGAAGTGTAGTAATTAAATTTATTTTTGTCTGCAATGTTTTGTTTTAAATGTTCTTAGGAGCAGGATAGTTTGTATAAACAGAAAAGAAACCGTTTTATTTGTAGAGAAAGCCTTATTTTATCAAAAGGTTTGAAGAGGCCAATAATGGATACCCCGATTCGCTGAAATTTATACGTGGTATAAAATGACAGTGTAATTTTTTGTTAGGTGATTCGTTTACGTTGGAAAAGATAATAGAGCTTGGTCTTGATCAATACTACGACCAGATAGCAGAAATATCGGCCGCTGCAAGCAACGAGTTGTCTATTGAACAGGTATGTCTCTTCGCTCTGGAAAATTTCAGGCCTTAGTGTATGGCTAATAGGAGAATTTGGCAGTGAACAAACTGAATTATCGTATAGTGAGTGACTCATCATAGATCGTTTAATGCTCATTTTATTTGACCGTAAGAAAGAGGGTAGGGTTTACATTACTCTTTATTAGCAATTCCCTAGTTCACCCCCCAGCAAATCTAGCCCCCAGTATCACGTCAATAGGATCCTGAAAGGTTGGCATCATTCATGTTGTCAATGAACCAAAACCGAACAGTTCTTCATCAAAAAGTTGTTTATCTCCTTATGCTTTTTGGAGAAGGAACACTATTTGTTATGGCCCCGTTCCTTCTTAATTCGTGAGGAGACTTCTATACGATTCGCTTGGGTCTCTGTAAACTTTTAATATAACTATAATAAGAACTATAAAGTAGCAATAAATGTCAAAAAGTACAATACAAAACTTGACACAGAAGGGGTCATCTTTAGTAAAGACGATGTACGTCTTTATTCAAGGTTAAAATTGCAACGCGCTACTTATATCTGTGTCAACGTATCATTTTCTACTCATCATAAGCACTGCTGTTTCGCCTAGGCTCTTTCAAGCATTGCTGAGGCCTGGGAAGGTCTCTCTTTGGAAATCATCCCCTACAAGGACAAGCCTATTCGTCTAAGGTACGTCAGGGGCATATCAATTTTGTATTGTAATTGATTTTTGCATAAAAACAAGGTTGCATAAACGATTTTTGCATATTAATATATGGTGCACTAATATTCGGTTGATATATGATTAATATTAATATTTTTTGTTTTTTACTGTATATTACTAAAAAGAGTCTTTCCTTATGTCAGATAAGAATTACTTGGTATCCTGTTCCACTTCTTTGGTCTGCCACCTTTCACTGAAGTATTTTGCCGCCTTATTATTTTTTAGGGTAACTGACGAGGTCTTTCAGACTCTTGAAGATAATCAAGTCACGCTGTCGACAATGAAAGCATCTAGATATGTTAAACCATTTGAGCAAGAGGTAAGTCTCTGTTAGCAAGGTTCTAAAAGCCGTGTAAAGCTATTGTTTCTTCAAATATTGATGTCATTTTTTGTTACAAATTCAACATCTGCTAAATGAATCTTCTCAACGAGTTTAGGAATTCATGAAACAGAACGAGTGCCTTTGCAGCCATATCTCCTCAAAAAGCTATTTTGCCAAACGCCAAATGTCAAAATACAGCTGTGTCTCAAAATATCGAAACAGTCGAACGTACTGTTTCTGATTTTAGACCTTAAAACTTTCTATTTCATGAAAGAAATTCCGCTTTTTCAGTATGAAACAATAGAGCTTTTCTTGATGTCTCAACTGGTCCTGCTGTTCAATAGAACTGGTGCATTTCAGTAAAGTAAACTCTTTAGCCTAATGATTTCAAAAATATCAATCTTGGCTTATTCCAGGGCCCACGCCACCGGGGAGGCAGGACGAGCCGTGCCCCCCCCCCCACTTTTTGCGAAGCAAGTAGTTTTAAAGCTGCAGTAAAAGGGGAAAAGCCTTGGCCCCCTACCTTTACTAGCCTTGGCCCCCCCTCCCACTTTCAGATTCGTGGCGTAGGCCCTGTATTCTGTTGTCAAAATATTAAGATAATCTTAAGAACTTAGAGATATTCTTAGAATTTTATAGATAATTATAGAAATTGCCGTGAATTGTCAATAACAAGCCTTCCATCTCCTTCAAGGTTGATAAGTGGGAACGAACTTTATCTCATATTCTTGAGGTCACCGAAGTTATTCTAACTGTTCAGCGTCAGTGGATGTATCTAGAGGTATTTTCAGTGTTATTGTTGTTTATTTGAATGATATAACATAAACTATTTCATTCTGAAAGGTACCAAAAAAGAAGTGAGTAAAAGAGATTTAATTACCAACACCACGCTTCGCAATACTTTGATTACACTCAATACTCAAATTTTATTAAAGGAGTTTCTGCATCTTCTGGATTTCATTGCATTTGAGTTTCATCAGGTTTTTACGTGTACCTTTCAAAACATGTTCAGAATGAAGTTAACAGTTCCTGTATGCCACATTGTATCCATGGTTTTTCTAATCGTTTTGAATGCCAAAAGGTTCTTTTTTGCTATTTCAGTTTGTTTATGTCCTTTTTTCACTTATCGCAATTTTCTGCGAACGTAAAGCAGTTTATTTGAATAAGGACAAAATTCTGTCTCTTTAGACGCAATACTTTTTAGGCCCAAGTCTATTGGCAAATTCAGGAAAATTAGGATAAAAGTATTGTTCCTCTTCCTTCTTAATTTGTAATTATTCTTGAGTATACCCAATGAACTTTGAGAAAGTCAGTTTTCCATGTTAGTAAACATGTCTTATTTGAAAAACAGAATATTTTCCTCGGCGAAGATATAAGAAAGCAGCTGCCTCGAGAGTCAGCTGAATTTGATGGTGTCAATGCGAATTGGAAGGTTGGTCTTTTTATAAATTAATTTTCATTGATTATATTATTGCTTGTAAATACTTTTTTAAATACAGTTGTTGCTATCAATTTGCTCTGTTTTTTGTGGACACAACCGGACTTCATACCTTTGAATATTTTTTAAAAATTATAAACTTCCGTCCATGTTCAACTCTAACATTTACTGTCTCATTATCATTTTCCTTAACCGGAATACTTTAATAATCAAACAGTTTTTAGCAGTATTGATTGGACATATGATATAATTGCCAACCTGATTTCCTAAAAAGCTCTTCATGTCACTCCTTTAGTTTTATGACGTTAGTTTCCTTCTGACGTTAGTTTCCTTCAAACGATTCTGACGTTAGTTTCCTTCAAACCTATTTTTAACTTTCTGTTTATAGTATTAAACTGACGCCACCCTTTCTTTTTGCAAGGTTATCATGGGGCGTCTAAACAAAGACAGGAACGCACTGAGAGGAACCCATTATCCTGGTGGGTATTTCTAGGCATTCTTGACTGTTTGAGTCGCTAGTGCATGATTCCTTTGCAATGATAGTAATAGAACATTTTGTAAAAAGAAATATATGCAACATGTATGCAACAAAACAAATATTATATGAACTACACAATTGCTTTGAGTAGTGCATATTCCCGATTTTGTATTGCATTACTTTAATCTCCATTAAGTGTCAATGATAAGGTTTTTTTCACGTGTTCCTTGAAAGGTATGCTGGAGACACTTAGTGACATGAACATAAAGCTTGAAGAGATACAAAAGTCACTGGATATGTACTTGGAAACGAAGCGTCAGATATTTCCGAGATTCTACTTCCTCTCTAACGATGACCTTCTTGAGATCTTAGGCCAGTCGAAGAACCCCCAGGCAGTAAGTATTATTCTGTGCATTGAAATATATGTATACCATTAGTATTCCCTTCGTTGACTGTGCTGGCTGATACCGAATTCGTGGTGTGCGTAGGCTATTATCAAACTCGTCATTTTCTGTCGTATTGTTATCAAGGGGTTTTCTGTCGCATTGTTATCAGATTGCTAAATTGGCACCAGGATGCCTTGTTGGTGTGAAGATGCTATCAACTTTTTCCTCGATACACTAAAACTGTTTTCTCCTCATTTCACAAAATTTTTATGTCCCTTTTTTGTTACAGAAACATTTAATATATCTAGAATTGTTAAATATTTTAACGGATGGGACCTACCATATCCTTTTATTCACACATCCAATGCATATCAATTGCCAACATAATGATAACTATCATTGTGAAAGCCGTGAACCGAAATTGTTTGTTACAATAAACGCGTTTTCAACAATGTAAAAAGATGAGTAGGTTTTGTGTATATGTTTGATTAAATAGAGCGTTGGTGTCTTTTCTTGCTTCTTTGGTTTTTCCGCAACATCGCTGTTTTGAACTAAAGACGTTTTCTGTAGACGTTAATATTTATAATGCTTATACGGTAGTCTTTATATTGAACATTGTTTATATAACAATATTGTTAAAGAGCCAGATTCATTTTACATTGTGCCAAACTTCTTCAACAAGGGTTCAAATTCGGAGCTTCAAACCTGTTCTTCAACTATTATGATGTGCTTTCAAAGTGTTGCTAACCCTATGTCTAATCAGAATTAGGAACCCGTATATTTACTTAATAATTTTGGTAATCACATATTTTACCAAATGAAACCAAGGATTTGAACAAAGGGGGAATTTTGGTCTTGAACAGCTCCCCGGAGAAAACTTTGTTGAGTTGAAATTAAAGGTTTAATGTATATTCAAAACAACATTTGTAGCATTTTTTAAAATATGAAATACACATATGTGACCGGTACACTCTCACTTTTTTAGGTGCAACCACACTTGAAGAAATGCTTTGATAACATCAAATCCTTAAAGATAGCCAAGGTAGGTAATCTAGTACGGAATAGGAAAAATATTTTACTTTATAAGTTTGCCTTGTTACTTTGGAATCGTCTGCATCGCTTTTCAAAGTTTTTAAATAACAGAACACCTTCAGCATCCGATTATAGTATACATTTAGATGAACCCGGGAAAGAGGTTTTTATTGACTTTACCATATGTCCGCAATTGCCAACCTGGGTTTATAGCTTCTGGTAAAACTGTCAATACCAACAAGTAGGCCAAACCCAATGCTTTTAATAACTTAAAATACCAACAGTTACCTTTGGATCCTCAGTATTTCGACGAGATTAGTTCTTACCTCAATACCTACAAAAGTTTGGCAAGCTATTCTAGATATTTGCAAATCGCTAAACATTACTTTCTTTCTACCCCCTCTCTTTAAGCAGTTTGCTTCATGATAACTTTAGTGATTCGATTTTATCTAATTACTGTTTCTACATAGTCATAATAGCTTTGCAATCATTTCCTTGAGCGAAATCGTGATGTTTTCATTTCCTTGAGTGAAATCGTGATTTTTTCAAACGTGTGCTCAAGTAACATTGCGTTCAAGGAACTTTTTCCAGGGATAGTGTTACTTTAAAAGAGCTCTTTTATCTCTGTCACATTTTTGAGTTAGCTGTCTTGCTTTTGCAGATGGGCATCACGCAAAAAACTGAAGCCCTTGGAATGTACTCAGCTGATGGAGAATTTGTAGAGTTCAATCATTCAGTGCTTCTTGAAGGCCCTGTTGAGGTAAAATTGTCTGACAACATTAACTCTTTCCATTTCTATTGGAACTTGAATGCTAAATAAAAGCTTACAGTGTAGTCTAGCCTAAGGATATCCATCTCATTTCCTTTTAGTCTTTTAGAACACAGCCAAGGAAAAATTTGCCTATAAAACTTAGTCACCTTATCATGTATGTTGTGCATAGGGTTCGTATGATCCAAAACATTTAATCTTAATATGAATTGCATTTTGCGTTATACATCTTTAACTGACATCTTTTAGGCATGGCTTTGTGACGTTGAAAGAGGAATGCGCTGGACTTTGCAAGTTTTATTAAAAGAATGTAGACTCGCTTTGAAAAAGGCTGGAACGAAAAGAGAAAAATGGCTGAAGGACTGGGCAGGGCAGGTACGTTGCGTCACTGCTGAAATTATTGAAATTGATGGATGGTTATTAGAGAAGGTCATTTAAGACAGGCACACTTTTTCAATTGGTTCGTTTGATTTATCTGTTTTTCATCGTGTTATGTTGTTTGTTTAGCTACTGATAACCTCAGACCAAATTCAGTGGACATCTGATTGTACTAAAGCACTGTCTTCGACAAAAGACAAACAGGACAAAAAACCTTTGAAAACACTACGCAAGAAGCAGGTACTTATCTGGCAATTTTTTTCAGTTTTTCTTTTCTTACTTTGGTTTCTTTTGTGAGCTTAATACTAGAGCTCCTTGTTTTCATTGTCTGTCCTAGAGGTGTAACTACCCTTTAGAGTTAATCGTCATTGGTGCCGAATCCCCAATATTTTCCAGAGTAATTAAAAATCTTGCCAATCTAGCTTATAACAGTTAACTTGGATCATCTTAGGTGGTGAATACTTAATGTTTCGCAATCCTGGTTCATTGTATTTCTTTTCCTCTAAAATTGCCATTACCCAGGCAATTTCTGGACTCCATTGCAGTTTAAATTGCTATGATTTTATGTGACCTAAGAGGGGTTGGTATTTTCAAGTCCAAAGTCTGCAAGGGACCGAAAAGCTTTTGCCATTCACTTATAACACGTTGCTGGTCTCTCTCTCAATTAGGTTTCAATGCTGAGCAAGATGTCTGAGACAATCCGTGGCAATCTATCGAAGCTCCAAAGACTGAAATATGTTGCCCTGGTGACGATTCAGGTCCATGAAAGAGACGTTGTGGACAAGCTTCTAAAATCAGGCTGCACAGATGTGACAGCCTTTGAATGGCTCAGCCAGCTGCGACTCTACTGGGACAAAGTAAGCATACTTTCATAATCCTCTGACTTTCATAACTCCCTGACTTTCATAACCCCCTGACTTTCATAACCCCCTGACTTTCATAACCTCGGATGTCCCTGTTTACCCCTTATGCTGCAGAACTTGAATACTTTTAATTATCTATACATTGTTCTTCAAAAACAATTCAAAGTCCAACTTGAAAACTACGGAAAGTCACATGTTAAAAAATTCTTGGTAGTTCGTGTATTATTCTTTCAATCGCATCCTTATATCCTGTTTTTATTCTGAAACGCTTTGAATAGCATTTAGTAAACTAAAAGCTGCCCAGGAATATCGAACAATTTTTGTTAATGTTTTTTTTTACATTTGTTAGTTATTTTCGTTGCAATCTGCTTAATTTTGACTCTCTCTAAACAGGATGTAGACGATTGTGTTGTCAGGCAAACCAACACGCAGTTTCAATATGGATATGAGTACCTTGGAAATTCAGGACGTTTGGTTATCACACCGCTAACTGACAGGTAAGCATTTGATACTATCATTTTAGAGTGTAAATCTGTCGTGAATGTATCCAATACCTTAGAAAGCAAACTATATATGATATTCATTATAGCAAATCGGTCATGAAAGTTCCATAACGTTTATTGACGTTTTAATTTTTTCAACTCGACTTCCTCTTGTTTTCACTCTATAAAAAATATTTTATCTCCTGCTATGCCTGTTCTGTCAGCCTATATGGATATCCCGTCCTTCTTTACTATTTGAAACACTTATCCTTTCATTTTCAATTGCAGATGCTACATGACGCTGACTACGGCTCTTCATTTACACCGCGGAGGAAGCCCGAAAGGCCCCGCAGGGACTGGGAAAACTGAAACGACCAAAGATCTCGGAAAAGCATTGGGAAACTACGTCATCGTTGTCAATTGCTCCGAAGGCCTTGATTATAAGTCAATGGGTCGAATGTTTAGTGGACTGGCACAGGTAGGTGTTTCTGATCTAAACTTGCTTAAAGCCAATTAGCGCTTTTGATTTTTAAGCCTTGCTAAATCCGTTGAGGTAGCTACAAGGACAGTGTCTTTTTGCTACGATGAATTTTATAGTAGTGGTTGTTTAGCCATTTAGATAAAATTTTATGGCTATCAAACAAGCAATTCTTTCTGCAATAAAGATGAATAAAGATATAGGCTTGTTTACAATTGGAAGTCACAAGTTTACAGTTTCTTAGATTACAGTTGACAGGAAATTATTCCTTATCTCCTGTATAGAATCTATCTAAAAGAATTCCTTAATTGTCTATTTAAATTTTTGCTTTTGCACAATGCATTGCTGTTTGATGATTCGGAATCGGCTAAGGTTGGTCCATGTTTCATATGAACATTAACCCCTTTTGCTAGACTGGTGCCTGGGGCTGCTTTGACGAGTTCAATCGAATCAACATTGAAGTATTGTCTGTGGTCGCCCAGCAGATTCTCTCAATTCTTACCGCTCTGACAGTTGGTTCCAAAAGATTTGTATTCGAGGGCCGGGAAATCAATCTTGTATGGTCATGTGGAATTTTCATCACAATGAACCCTGGTAAGATTCTCCTTTGTTCTGGCTTCGTCCTTCCCCCTTCACCCTTCCTGTTGCTCTTCGCCCCCAACCCATCTCTCTTGCATCTGCCTGTCTGCCCCGATCCATTTCTATTACCCTGTCTTTGCTGATGTATCTTCTCCCCCATTTATTTCCTCTTCTCTCAACCTTCCCGCCCTTTCTACTATCCTTCTCCTCTACCCACATCTCCCTTTAATGCACATATAACGCACCTCTTGTATACCGACTAACTCATAAAAAACCCAACTATTACCTTAATACAATAAGCACTCATCTAACAGAATACATAAACATGTGAGTTCCATAAGGTAGGATATGTCCAGTAAACTTTTTCTCTTTCCTCTAACATATTTTAGCCACTTTGTTTTCATTTAATGCTCTTGCGGTATTATGTTAATTTAATGCATAGTTACATGCTTTTATATTCTATTTCCTCGGATATTTGCTTTTTCAAAACCTATGAGTCAGATTATATTCACATTATATCCACAGTTGCAATTTATTCGTGTGAAGAAATGAGACGTCAAAATACTTAAAAGTCTGCAAAAATTTACCGTAGTAACATCCAATATGCTACACGCTGTAAACTTGGAATGTTTTGGCCTAGGCAGTTCTTAGATTCTTAATATCCACAAAATGTTAGTAATGATTTTGTCCTCAATCAGTTGATTGAGTATCATGCCAGCAGTTTTTGAAATTGATTAACTATTAACGTATGGTAACCTAGCATGATGCGACTGCTTTTTTTCTCTTCCAAGGATACGCTGGCAGAACAGAACTTCCTGACAACTTGAAAAGCATGTTCAGACCGATCTCAATGGTTGTGCCAGATTCAGCTTTGATAGCAGAAATCATTCTTTTCGCGGAGGGTTTCAACAACACAAAGGTGTCAGCAATTCTCAATTCATTTGTTATGTTTCTAATAACATGCTCACAATCATTCCCAAGAGTCTCAATCTCTTATTTGCTTTGCTCTTTGGCTTTCTTCTTTATCATTATCTGTTGTTTTATTATCATATTATATGTTCTACCATATTACATATCTAACACCCCCCCCCCCCTACAGTCTAAGTACACGCTTTCAACTGAAAAAAAAATCCTTTCTTTATTCATTTTTCACGTTTCTCCGTTCCTGTTTCTTTCAGCCCGTTTTTTATCGTCTTTGCCCTTAATTCCAGCACTTTCACTACCCTTCCTTGTATTGAAATTGTTTGTTGTCTTTCCAGGTACTAGCCAAGAAGGTCCACACTTTGTATTCCCTGGCTGTGCAACAGTTATCCAAACAAGATCACTACGACTTTGGTCTTCGTGCACTTACGTCTGTACTTCGCTATGCTGGCAAAAAGAAGCGCGCCAATCCAAACATGAGTGATGAAGAGGTATTATTTCTTTCTCTTTATTTAACATACAAGCTACCATTTCAGTGTCCCCATGTGCAAAGTGTACCAGCGCCTTACTAGAGGCATGACTACTCGATTGCAATATCTTCGTAGAACTATGCCGTGTTGAGAAAGCTCCTGCAAAACGACAATTCAACCTATAAATTCATTCTTGTTGCAAAAACAAAATGTGTGGTTAAAGTACTACCAAGACTTTAACTGCACATCTTTGGCTCCACGTTCACTTTTCAGCTTCAACTTTCTTTTTCAAATACTGAGCGTCGTAGGAGTACAATTGAGTTAGATAGCTGGCTCAATTTTCTGATATTGTAAAACGATATACATTGAAGGAAACTAACGATCTGACCATAGCGCTATCGATGTGTCTCATATGGACATAGTTTGGTCGCTCGTATTTTGTGAGTAGGCTTTCAGATAGCATGATCGTATCAATATCCCAGGCTTTCGTTGTCCGTTACCATCTATCTGAAGAAAGAGACAGTGCTCCACAGAACCGCTTAGTTTTGTGTATTTATTTGAACTCTAAGAAGTTCACAGTATTCCTTGGTAATTGGAGAGAATTTCAATTTGTTCCACACTTAAATCATACATGCTAACAAAGCTACGCACACATTGCTTTATTCTTTGACATCACACAGTAAAAAAGCGTGGCTCATTTGCTCTTTAGATTCTTCTTCTTGCCATGAAAGACATGAACATTGCCAAACTGACGTCACAGGATTCGCCGCTCTTCATGGCGATCATACAAGATCTTTTCCCTGGTACCGAGACTCCTGTAATTGACTATGGAAAGGTAAGGTATTCTTGAAACACCTTCTCATAATTGCAAGAAAATTATAATTTTTTTATTCTTTGTAAGGACAACAGGTTAAAAATGGAATAAGCATCAACTATGTGCCTAAAATAATTTCAAATGTCATGAGCATAGGGATTGTCCTCTTTTTCTAGTTTTTCCAGCATGCCCTTTTTCTAAAAGATTCTCTGTGATAAAATGAAAGACAAATGCAGTAATGCTTCCACAGTAAACAGTACTGCCTAAACTTCATTACAATGAAGTCTAGACAGTACTGCCTACTGTGCAAGCTTCAAACGCTATGCCTAGTTCAAATTAAAAAGAGTGTATCAATGTAGTATCATCGATTGTTCCGAAATCATTACACTGAAATTTAGGTTAATGACACTATGTCCAGTTATTTAACAATGCAGAGTAAACTGTAGGCTCAGTGGCGCGTTTTTGATCGAGAAAACACTGAGAATTAGCTGTGCGTTGCCGATTGGATACATAACAATAGGTCTATTGTGTATTCTAACCAATGGACAATTTTAATGGCCAGCGAAATGCATCGGGACATTGCCTTTAAGTTGGTTTAATAACATATCTTGTAATTGAAAATTCCGCTTGTTTCTTTTACAAAGCTAAGGCAGTGCATCGAGCAAGAGCTAAAGGAAGCAAACCTGCAGTGTCACCCAACAACAGTCCTCAAAGTTATTCAGACATATGAAACTAAGAATTCAAGGTATTTTTATGCACTTAATATCTTCTCAAAAGCACTTTCAACACCAAACTGTGTTTTGCCTGTACACATTTTAGTGAAAACTTAACTTGTATTACCACACGCAAAAAGCATTTCAATTAAAGAAGCTTTCTATGAGGTAGAATCTCGCTCTTTGTAATAGTTTTACTTAGAAAATTAACGTGTACAGCATAAGGGTTTTGCAAAAGTGAGTTTTTCTGTGCAAAATGAGTATGCAATCTGCTCTATACGTAATCTCTCTGCAACAACTTTTGTAAAAAGGTTGCTTCTTTAATGTAATATGGTTTTGTCCCAATAGGCAGGCCATACCAGGTTCCATTTATTCACATAGTCAATATAGCAATCGTGCCATTTTTGGTCCCCAAAAACTTCTTTTTAAACTCTGTCCAAATTCTTTTTAACTAAGGAAAATACTTGGAATACGATGGTTTTTTATAGCCTATGAATTTTCTGGCTTCGCTGGCATATCAATGGAGATAATTTCAAATGTATTGTGTTTTGATCCCGTGCAAAGATCCCAACTTGTGTAGACAAAACGAGTTCATTTTCCCGCTTGGAATCTTCAACTAGATGAGAGGCTAGCTGTTGCTGATTGGTCAAAAACAAGGAACCAATCAACAGCGTCACTCTTCCTCTCGCGTTACTTTCGACCCGCTTCTGGATATAAATTTCTGCTTAAATTTTGTCAATATCCGGCGTTTATGCTCTGAGGAGCTTTAATATGCTACCTTTCTGCTTTTCCGTGCTAACTTCAATTTTTTTAACTACTTCGTTTCCTAGACATTCTACGATGATTGTTGGACAGACTGGGTCAGGAAAGAGTACTGTTTGGAAGATTTTACAGTCAGCATTGTCGCAAATGAAGAAGGAAGGCCAGCCTGGCTACAATTCTGTTAAGGTAAATTTCACTTTTAATAAACAGAAATCTTAATTCTTAGCTGTTTTATTTTCTTCGCTCACACTGCATTTGTAATTTATTTTGCTATATATATTTACTTGTTTGGCGACTGTGTATCCAGAGGCTATTTCTTCTTCAGATTAATTTGTTCTACAGATTGTAACTTTTCAAAAATGATTAACTTTTAAACCTTTTCAAAATTGAAATTGGCCAATAGTTTGGTATTTTTGTATCTATTTCTTTGCTTTATTTTATTGAACTTTTCTATAAATCATTGTATAATGCTAAATAAAATATCATATTCTGTTAAGTCATATTGAGATACATCTGAGTACCAGTTTATCTATAGGGTTTGATTGGATCTCAATCTTTAACAAACTTCTCCTTTAATCTCCTCATCGTCTTTTCTCCAGGAATACCCGATTAATCCTAAAGCCTTATCTCTCGGTGAGCTGTACGGTGAATTTGATCTTAATACCAACGAGTGGACGGATGGTGTCCTTTCCAGTGTCATGAGGCAGACTTGCTCTGGTAAATTATTTTTCATGAATACGTCTTTTAATACTGAAAAATACTGTTTTACCGGTCTGTTATTTAGTGTACGATTCCGGATAGGCAGAGGTGTACAGTTTTAGTTTCAAGAATATGACTTTTGGTGTAAACAAAAGGAGGCTTTAGAGTATATTAAACAAGACGATTTAGAGTGTATAGAACAGGACGGTTCTAAGTTGCAACTCCGAGCCTCTCGATTAATGCGATTATCTATCCCACCTTTGCGTAAGTCTTTTCAAATATGATAGACAAGGTATGTAATCCACTAAATATGATCAGACATAAAATCCTGTTTTTCTTGTTTATTTTCCTGGTTATTTTTACTTAGCGTTACCTTTCTCTTTATGTCCAATTTTATTTTTGTTTTTCAGTCGACCCTCTAGATTTGAATTTGTCTACAGAGGAGTGTTATGAAACCGCCATGATATAACCAGCCTTGATTGTGACCAATTCGAAACTAAACTGATATTTTTCATTTTTTCAAGATGAAAAACCTGATGAAAAATGGATTGTATTTGATGGCCCAGTCGACACGTTGTGGATCGAGTCAATGAATTCTGTTATGGATGACAATAAGATCTTGACCTTGATCAACGGAGAACGTATATCTATGCCGGATCAGGTACGTCGTCTTTCTTCAATACCGTATTTCCGCTAATAAGCGCCCGGGCGCTAATATAATATTTCTCAAAGTTTGGGTGGGCATCTATTGGAGGAGGTGCTTATGAAAGGGGGCTGTTATTTCAAAGTTCGGAAAACATACGAGACGGTAGTAACCAGTCTGATAATTTCCTAATTAACGCAACGTCTTGTTCTATTCTCGAAAATTGCAAAAGTTTGTGTAGCGTCCTGCTACAGCAATGTCCGGTCTTCGTGATTGTTTGATCACCTTTACTCGACCTAATGCAGTACGGAATTTCTGATGTAAAATCAGCGTCCAAGATATGTCTGAAATGACGTGTGCCGCAGATTGATAATGTGTAAATTTTGATAGTAAAGTGTTCATGTTTCGCATAACCTGGTGCTAAACAATGATCAACTGAATTTTATAGGTTTCCCTGCTGTTTGAAGTAGAGGATTTATCAGTCGCGTCCCCTGCAACAGTCAGCCGTTGCGGTATGGTGTACACCGATTACACGGACATAGGATGGCAACCGTATGTGGAGTCATGGATCGCAAAGAGAAATGATAAGGTTTTTGATGAATCATGTATTGTAATAACTTGATTAAATGTAATCTCGTGAATCGAAGTCAAGAGTGACTGTCATTTGCTACTTTTTTATATTGGTATGGAACTTTTGGTCAAAAGTCGAGTAACAACTTATTAAGGATTGAAGACAGATTTAACGGCTCAAGCTAGCTTTAAAGTAATCTATCGGTCCTATGCTTTTAAAATTAACGCTACGCTGTCACTGAAAAACAAGATGCAGTACAAAATAGTAATAGAGAATACTGATTCTAAGTGTTTTTCATCTAAGCTCATCTTCAGAATAACAAATACTTTACTTTTTTCCGTGCCTTTATCTATAAACAATTGATGTAATATTAAAGGGTTTAGAGAAATGTTATCTACTTTTTATTTCATATAGGATGCAGCAGAAATTCTGCAGAAGCTGTTTGAAAAGTATGTGGAGAAGGTGCTCACGTTCAAAAGGCATAATTGCAGCGAGCTGGTAACGACGTCAGAGCTGAACGCCGTGTCGTCACTATGTATGCTTTTTGATTCACTTGCAACTGAAGAGAACGGGGTTAGTATTTTATAGTAACTAGTTGCCAACAGTAGCGACATTACTAAACCCGTTGGATTCTATTGAATCTTCCTAGCTTACGATCACAATTGAAACTTGTGGCAGCTTCTCTATATAAAATTTTCTTTTTGTCAGCAAATGTAGCTACTTGCCTGATTTATGACATTGTTCCAGGAACTTTGCCTTCAAACTTTGGAAAATCTTGGTCGTAGTGCCAAAGTCTTTAACTAGAACATTAAGCACCTTATGAACCAAACTAAAGATATTCCAGGACATGGTGCAAAATATAACGTATAATAAAGTCAGGACATCTTTTTATTGATAATATAACTCATTGTAATGCTTCATGACAGAATGTGTAGGCAATCTAGTCTAGCGTTTTTATAAACGATATCCAAACAATCTTTTGGTGGTACAAAACTTGTAAATGGCTTTGAAAAAAGCAAACATTTAGTAAACTAAAGCTTTTCGTCTGACACTCTTCAGAGTTTAAAACGTCAGAACATAGATCGAAAACTCTACGCTAGGAAATATATATACCCAGTTGTGAATCGAAATAGGCCAATCAGAAACACGAGCACATGACTGTAAAGGCTGACCAATCAGTGCCGCTTGCCTATTAGAATGTTACCAATGGAGTCCAGCCACCTCGGTCTTGCAAATCCAAAATTACTAATAAAACCTGCGATTCTGCTATCGGGCAGCATTTGCTAGAAAACCCAGATTGTGCAAAAAACTATAATGGCGACATGTTTCGGATTATTGGTAAAGCCCGATCGTCGTTCCACCTAGCAGTTTTAGAATCTATCTACATAAGCACGAAAAACCGCTACTGTGTAGACAAAAGGAGTTCGTTTTCACCTTAGGACTCCACTGGTAACATTCTAATAGGCAAGCGGCACTGATTGGTCAACCTTTACAGTTATGTGCTCGTGTTTCTGATTGGCCTATTTCGATCCACAACTGGGTATATATATCTCTTAGCGTAGAGTTTTCGATCTATGTTCTGACGTTTTAAACTCTGAAGAGTGTCAGACGAAAAGCTTTAGTTTACTAAATGTTTGCTTTTTTCAAAGCCATAAACGATATCCTTAAATGTTCTACAGCAGTGCACAAATAGCAGAATGCTCGCTTCAAAAAGTTTCAAAATGCTCTGGTTTTTAATCCTTGTCCCAAATATTTTTGGATTTTTCTCTTTTTCAAGATTAGAATAATAGATAATCCGTTCTGATTATTGATTTTTTTGTAGATCATTTCTTCTTTTTGTAGATCTTTACTTCTTTTTGTAGATCATAACTTCTTTTTGTAGATCATTACTTCTTTTTGTAGATCATTACTTCTTTTTGTAGATCATTACTCATTAAAGCCTCCAAAATAAATAGCTGCGTCATTACCTATTCTTGAGTCTTTCAAGATACAGGCTAATTCTCTTTTTGAAGGAAATGGCAACACTCAGCTATTGAATATTTTATTAACATTCCGATGCTCCTTTTTCCAGGTTTCCAAGAATGATCCTGATAACTACAATCGAATGATGGAATTATGGTTTATATTCTCTCTCATCTGGTCTGTTTGCGCTTCTGTTGATGAAGAGAGTCGAAAGAAAATGGACAACTTCTTACGAGAATTGGAAGGCCAGTTTCCTGCAAAGGTAGAGTAGAAAAATTTTTGCGGATTTTTGAGACATAAACACTTCGCCTCAACTGCAGGGCTTCCTGGGATAATTGTTAGATTGATTACTTGGTTAACGGTATAAAATGGTCATAAAAACGAGTTAATGTCTTTTGGTGAATCAATCTTCCTTTTAACAGACCCTCTCTGCTTTTCGCATTTTCTTATTCACATTAGAGCAGAAAATTACTTCAATGTGCAACTTGATTTTCACCAAATGAACGTCCCATTATTTATGCAATCTCCACTACAGTCTTTGTTTATCTGCACGGGTAATGCAATTTCATTCTTTTCTCATTTCCTAGGACACAGTTTATGAATATTACGTAGATACCAAACAGAAATCATGGGCACTTTGGGAAGATAAATTACGTGCTGGCTGGCGCTATTCAAAGTAAAATAAACACTTATAACATCTTTATTCATTCTTTGCGGCCATAGTCTTATTTTGTATTGAAGATGTGCGATGTAATGTGTTTTTCTTGATTTATTTCATATTGGCACAGCGATAAGAATATTTAGCTTCTATAACCTGTTTAGCAATTCAAAACCATTGAAAAACTTAAATTCGAAGAACCTTATATTCGACATTATTTGTTCAAATGAATACATCACTTCAAAATTCTTTCATTTGAATATTTTTTAATATCCTTTAAAAATGCCAGGTTCGATGTATCTTTACTTTCTAGTTTCAAAAGTGATTATGACGAAGTAATTGTTTTGAGTAATTCCCTTTCAAGAACTTTTTCAATTTCTTTGGTTCTTACATTGTATTTGTAGGTTTCGCTAGCTATACAGCTGCATTTTCTTATAAAGACTTATTTCAACGCTAGAAATGAAAAAGAAAATGTGCATTTTTACATTCAATCTTGATTGGTTGTAATGAAAATGTTTTTTCGATACTCTAGCAATGTTCCATTCTACAAAATTGTCGTCCCGACTGTTGATACACTGAGATACGATTTTTTGGTGTCAACATTGGTCAAAGCAAACCGACCTGTATTGTTGACTGGTCCGGTTGGTACAGGGAAGACCTCAGTGGCACAAAGTGCTCTTGAAAAACTTGATCCAAAGATTTTCAACATACTTACCATCAACATGTCAGCTCAGGTAAGAAAATCATCGACTTAAAAATACATAATATCCTTAATTTCATTGTTATGTATTAAATTATTTCTTTAATTTGTTAATTAACAAATTTTGTACAAGTTTGAGTATATCAGTTTATCTGATAAGGATTTTACTTCAATGTTTTTCTTTGCAAAATGTTTAGTTTCGAAGTGTCTCATTCGATAGATACCACATGCCTCTCGTTCATGTATGGTACATTAGCATAATCAAACAGTTGAAACTTTCAATAAAATGTCTAAAAGGAGCTGGAGAAGGCTATGGCCAAGTGACCGAGTATAAAAAATATTTCAGGTATTCATTTGAGTGTGCTTTCAGAAACTCTCGAAGTATTCAATAATTTTCAATAACTTTCAATATGTTGAGAGTGTTGCTGGTCTTTCTGATAAAAATCTGCATCTATTTCGTCACGTTAAAGATTCTCACTCTTTACCCATTTCAGACAACATCGAATAACGTGCAAGAGATAATTGAAAGCAAAGTAGAGAAGAGAACCAAAGGTAAATGCTGATGTAATTTTTTTAAGGCCAATTCTTTCAGCTATAATTATTTAGTTAAATAATTTAGAGATAAATAATATAATGCATCGATAAACATATTGTTTTGTAAATAGACGTAAATTTCCTATTAACAACGATGTTTCACTATTTTCTACTTTGCTTGATGATTCACGACAGTATTCTGGCAAGCCTGGCCCCCCTCCCCCTCCCCTGGCATTTACACACAAAATATTACGTTGTGAAGGTATGTTGTTTAAGCTTAGATCAGGGTACAAGCCTTTCCCCCCTCCCCCTCCCCTGGCATTTACACACAAAATATTACGTTGTGAAGGTATGTGGTTTAAGCTTAGATCAGGGTGCAAGCCTGACCCCCTCTCCCCCTCCCCTGGCATTTACACACTAAATATTACGTTGTGAAGGTATGTGCTTTAAGCTTAGATCAGGGTACAAGCCTGACCCCCCTCCCCCTCCCCTGGCATTTACACACAAAATATTGCGTTGTGAAGGTATGTGGTTTAAGCTTAGATTAGGGTACAAGCCTGACTCCACCTCCCCCTACCCCTCCCCTGGCATTTACACACAAAATATTACGTTGTGAAGGTATGTGGCTTAAGCTTAGATCAGGGTACAACTCATAGGATGAACGGATTTTGTACTCTCCATGTAAAATTTAGCAGAAACCTTAACATAAACCTATTGCATTTGCTCTAAAAGGGGTCTATGTTCCCATTGGTGGAAAGCAGCTAATTGCGTTCATGGATGATCTTAACATGCCTTCAAAAGATTTGTTTGGCTCCCAGCCTCCGCTTGAACTCTTACGTCAATGGCTAGATTATGGCTTCTGGTACGACAGACAAAAACAAACAATCAAATACGTAAAGGTTTGTACAATATTATTCATTCAATCTTTTCATATTGGCTGAACTATTCTCTTCACAAGTTTCTAGAAAATTTATCCCCATTGTGTATTGTCTTATTTCGCTCATGTTTGTGTTTATGGCAATTTCTATATTTTTGTCGTTGTCTGGCCACATAACCTTGACACGTGTCATTTCAAATCAACCTTGTTATAATTAGTCGATTTATGCTTTTCCAATCCACACACTTTAAAAAGTGTCTATCTTAGTATAGATCTATCAAACATCAATCCAAAGTAGATACTTTTGAACCCCAAAAGATGAAATAATAGGATATGGAATATAATATTGACTGATTTCAATAGTCAGAACTCATAGTGCTGATTGGTGCAGCGAATCTGAGATTGTATTTAATCACCTTGGACATCAACTTGTAATAATTTTATTGGCATGTTTTTTTGCAGGATATGTTTGTTGTTGCTGCCATGGGTCCGCCTGGTGGGGGACGATCAGTAATTTCAAAAAGGTTGCAGAGCCGCTTCAATATGATAAACATGACATTCCCACAGGTATGTCGCTAATACTGATATTGTGGTGGCTTAAGTCCAAAAAAATTTAAGATTTATCAGATCCGTGTTTAGGCAGGACTGTTTGCATTCTACTGGTTTTTCTAATTTTGATTTCTATACGAAATACGGTATCAGTAGTTTCCTAGAGAAAACCTTTAAAGATTTGATGCCGACTTATTTTTTTTATTTTCCATTTAAAAAGCAGATCTAAATACGCTATATCCTCGAATGTGCACCTTATTGTATTTTATAATCTTGTAGCAGGGTGCTTATTCAAGGAAGAGGGGGGTTTTTCATTGTTTTCCCAGATCGCATGTAACCAAAAGAAAATTAGATTATTGGGAAAATCAATTCGATCGAAACTTTATTACAAAAGTGAATGTTAGCTCTCTACTCAGGGTTGATATTAACTTTCAATATTTTTCAATATTTTGATATTTCAATTTCTTTGTTTTCATTATAAACCTTATTCTCACCATCTTTGTCATAAGTTGTCAACGTTCATTGTCTTAGTCAATACTTATGTCATGTTAGTATTCTGTAAAATACACGTCATTGATCTCAATTCCTTGCTTCATATATTTGGATGCATTATGGAGATTTACAAGCGATAATAAGCATTTTTTTAAAAATCAGGAGAGTCAGATCAAACGAATCTTTGGTACTATGATCAACCAGAAACTTCAGGATTTTGAAGAGGAAGTTAAAGCCACCGGTGACGTCATCACACAGGTACTTATTTGTGCTCCGTTTTCAATTGTTTCGTCGCTCTTCTTAACTTGGTTTTTAGTTGTTTTATCACTCTTGTTGTTTTTGCAATACAAATGATCCTAGCTGAGAACCGTTCTATTCATATGGGTATATTTTAACTTGAACTGCACATTGCAAGACAGCCTGTTATGTAGCCATCCTTCTTTAACTTTCCGTTATAAGGTCCTGATATCAAATGGTTTTTAGCTTTCTTTGATTTATGATTATTTTCTCTAGGCTACTATTGACATTTACAACTCAATCGTTCAAAAGATGCTGCCCACTCCTACCAAGATTCACTATCTCTTCAACTTGCGAGATATTTCAAAGGTATTTAAATTGATCTTTCCTAATGCATATATCCTTGCCCTTCTACGTTCATATATGCAGGGCCCGCACCACAGGGAGGACCGTGCCTCCCCACTTTTCGCTGGATATAAGATTCAAATCGTTCAAAACTATTTGTTTATTTCAGCTAAATCAGCTACAGATATTCATTTATAGTTCAACATGAGCCGATTAAAACTATGCTTGATCAAGCCAAGAATAGTGATACGTGTCTTATTGGCCTCATTTTGACGTTAATTGTTGGCAGTACTTTGTGTTAAGTACACGGACTACATGCATGATTAATTCGACTGGAAATTTTTTGTAGGTTTTCCAAGGTCTCCTGCGTGCTAATAAGGATTACCACGATACCAAAAGTGGCATTGCCCGGCTTTGGGTGCACGAGTGTTTCAGGTGATTAGCAAAGTTAAAGTTTTGGTTGTAAAGTGAATTTGATTAAGCCGATAGATCATTTGATTAATGGAATTTAGAAGTTCACAATAACAGCATAATAGCACAACGCCTCAGGATAAAACATTGAACACGTAAAGATCACCTGTGTCACCTACCCTTCTACAAATATACCTAAAATGTAAATCTGTGTCTCAAATGTAAGGATATAATCAAAATTATTATTTTTAAATTTTCAGAGTTTTTGCTGATCGACTTATTGACGAAAATGACAAAGAATTGTTTGTTGGCTTTCTCAGTGACAAACTGGGCACAATGCTCGATTTTTCTTACCACAATCTTTGCCCCAATAAAGTCCCTCCAATTTTCGGTGAGTAAATTTTTAAAATCTAAAGATCTCTCAGAGGAATGTGTTTTTTATAACAGTGTCTGGGAAATTACTATCATGTGCTTAGTTGAAAGTTTGACCTTGTGAAAATTGAAGTCTCAAGTTTTTTGTTGCAAGTTCTTAGAATGTTCCTCTTCTTTATTTACACTTTTTGCAATAAATTGTCAAACCGTTGCTTGTATTTTACCTTTTTAGTATAAAATTTGTGCAACCGTAATTTTTTATCACTGCAGTGTATATCTTTTGAACTAATGTCCTCAGAATATTGCACAGTTTTTTCTAAAAACATTAATGGTTGTTATACAAGACTATGCCTTCTCTGTCCATTCCTAAGGTGATTTCATGAAAGAGGACGGTGTGTATGAAGACCTTTTAGACTTTAAAGCCTTGAAAACGCTTATGGAGAATCAACTAGAAGATTATAATATGGAGCCCGGCATTATTTCTATGGACTTGGTTCTATTCAAAGACGCCATCGAACATGGTGAGATTTTCGTGACATTGGCATCAACTTTTTCTTGTATTTTTATTGTTTTGTTTGATTTTACTCTGCTAGATGGCTTGTGTCGGCTGGCGGGCTGATTAAAATGACAGAGATTCTCTCATAGAGACCCTTTAGTCGTTCCCCTTCAGGTCCCCATTTCTGTTTTGACAACGAATATTGATGTGTTTAGAGGCGCCTGTGAGACCATTGCATCTCTTTTTATCTACCTATCAACTTACAGCTTGAATGAATATGTTTTAATATTGGTAAAATCTAGTAGATTTCGATAAAACCCGTGCTTGTATATTTCTGCAAGTAAGGTCTTTAGAAATCCAGGCTCACATCCTTAAACCGATTTTCACGTCTTCTATTATCTTTCTAGTGACTAGAATAATTCGCGTGGTTGGTCAACCCAGAGGCAATATGCTCTTGATTGGTGTTGGTGGAAGCGGCAGACAGAGTCTCGCTCGGCTGGCCTCGTATATCCTAGAGTACAAGGTTTTCCAGATCGAGGTGACGCGGCATTACAGGACAAATGAGTTCCATGAAGGTGAGTCTTCCTGTTTAAGACATTGGAGTTTCTTTCGTAGCTTAGTGGTGATAAAGGCTGGTTAATTATGGGCCTGCTATCTGCTGATCTTCTCAAGTTCTATAGTTGTATTGATCCCTAATTGAACAATTAACCTGAGGTGGAACATATATTTGTACCTGGCTTGGCATCACTACCTTTTGTTTGATTTGCTTCGTTCTTAGTGTGCTTTGATTGAAATTATTCTGATTCAAGATTTATATCTCCTTAATCTATTTAGATCTGCGAAGGCTCTACTATCAAGCTGGAGTTGAAAACAAGCCGAGCGTGTTCTTGTTCTCCGATACTCAAATTCTGGATGAATCGTTCCTTGAAGATATCAACAACATTTTAAGCAGTGGTGAAGTTCCAAATTTGTACAAGAAGCCTGAAGATTTTGAAGAGGTAAAAATGAATATCATTTTCTGTGATTTTACTTGTTTGTAATTTATCCAACTAAGCTCTCCACTGTATTCCAAGATTCTTCGTAAGTATGAATTTCTTTGAAGCTAGAACAATAGCGCAGTGTCATCTCTTCAAATAAAAACAATAGTTAAACAGAGAGGCTCTAGTTCTTGTACCTAACACCTTACCTATGTTTTTCCACAGGTTAGGACAGCCCTTGCTCCTGAAGCCAAAAACCACAATATACCGGATACACCAGAGAATATTTTCAAGTTCCTTATCGAGAGAGTCAGAAGCAACCTACACGTGATTCTTTGCATGAGTCCAGTTGGTGATCCCTTCAGGTAACTTTGTTGTTGTTGAGATCTTCTTCAGACTTCTTTTGAACTTTGCTATCGAGTCCAAACTCTTTACACACAACCTCCATACTGCATCTGAGGAAGTATTTTATCATGAAACTAAAAAATAAACAATAGCTTCTTAAGCACAGTTTTCCTGTATTGTTGTGCTGAACAGGAATGATTTTGCAGAAAGAAATTTTTTCCTGATGTTGTTTTGTATCTTTGCCCCTTCAAGAGGAAATTGATATGTTATTTTTCAATTAAAAAACAAAACCCTTATTCGTCTTTCGCCCGTCTGTAAATTTATTTACTAAATATCTGCTCATTTTTGCTAGGTGCGAGTAGAAAACTAAAGTGAATAATGCAGGAAAATTTGTCTTTCGTGGGTTAATTAATTCTCTAGCTATCAGAAATGTTTGTAGATGTATTAGTTGTATTCTACGTTTTTCCGTCTCCTTATTACAGAAATAGACTCAGGCAATACCCCGCACTTGTCAACTGCACTACCATTGATTGGTTCAGTGAATGGCCCGCCGATGCACTTTTAGAAGTGGCAGAGAGATATCTTGATAAAATTGCGCTAAAGGATGAGGAGGTCTGTACAGTAGAAATTATGTGTACCTTTTGGACATTGTTCACCGTTTTGAATTCTAAGTGATGGCGAAAGAGAATCTTTTAGTATTAACTGCTCTATTTCTGCTTCGCGCTGTTTCGAAAGTATATATTGTATCTCTATTCACTCTCAATTTATTAAACCATTGACGTCATAATATTGTAGGAGAAGGGAAACGTGGCAAAGATTTTCGCAATAATTCACCAATCTGTTGTAACGATGTCAAAGAAGATGCTTTTCGAACTGAAGAGACACACGTATATCACACCAACAAATTATTTGGAGCTCGTATCCGGATATAAAAAGTTAGAGTTTTTCATTTAGCTTTTTTCTTTATATCGCTGTTCTTTCTATTTAAGATTTTTTATCTATTTTTGATTCAATTCTTCTTTTACTTTGTTGCAGAGCTTCCTTTTTCTATTCTTCACCTTATCTCTAGCAAAAGTCTGTTCTGCTTCCTCCTTCTTGCTTCCTTCGATTATTCTATCAGAAGAGCTTAGCTTATTACGTTTTTACAAAGTGCCCATTGTAATGCTTACTGACATTTTCTCGATTTACAGCTTGCTTGCGGAGAAGCAAAAGGAGCTTGGAGATGCAGCCAATAAACTGAAAAACGGTTTGGAGAAGATAGACGACACACGAAAAAAGGTCTCAATTTATGGATATTTTCACCTGTAGCAGTTATTGTCGTGCTTTCTTTATGTAACAATTGAAAATTTTTCACTCGATTTGCTTTTTATAGTTAGCCCTATGGCATGGAATGCTTACAAACTAAGTCTCCCTATTTTGCTACATCATCTATCATTACGGAAGGTATTTCGAACAAAGCACGTAGCAACTTGTTACAATAAGATAAGTGTTGGTGTAGAAAATTAACTGACTGTGTCTTTTCAAGTTCAATCGATGAAACAGGTCGAAAGCCTCATTTTTTCTCTTTTTGGAATATTTAAATGAAATTTATGACCCTGATAACAAACCAAAACTCAGATTTTGGGATAGTTGGAGGGTCATGGTAGCCAACCTTCTGATAGAAGATGGTACCTGATGATGATAAATGAAACTTACCCTTTTCCTTCAGGTATAATCTTTATATTTCACATCATTCATTCGTATTATATAGGCAAAGACTAGAGATTTTGCTTGATTCTTGGCCTTGATTCATTATAGATTCATCAATTTTTCTTTCCCCTACTTTTCCCTATTTAAAATCTATACTGTGTCATTGATTTCTGTCTTAATTTTCATTGCTAAAGCGCGTATAATTGTGTAACATCCTTAAATTGATCTGTTTCTGTATCAGGTGGAGATCATGTCAGTAGAGCTTGAAGATGCCAAGGTGAAAGTAGCTCAGTTTCAGAAGCAGTGTGAAGACTTCTTGGTAGATATTGTGCAACAGAAGAGAGAAGCTGACGAGCAACAGAAGGTACGTTGTAGTATTGCCTTCCTGTTCATTAACATAAAATATTTAATTAATTTATGTCTTATCGAGTATTGAGATCTGTTCGTCTTTATGAAACAGGGAATTGAAGTGTCCCTTCATTAAGAATTTACTCGTGTTAAGAAAAGATTTTATGAGGTATTTTCGAAGAATGATGTCTCGAATTGTTGCTTTCAGGAAACGTTTCTTAGGATTTTTTAGGAAAAAGGCTGCTAACAATGATTTAAATATGATATCTCTATTTAATAACATAGCATAGGTCATGGCTTGATAAACATCTTCTTTACTCAACGAGAATTAAACCTTATACTCAGAAGAATTTATATCATATACCGTAAATCCTCGAATTGCCCCCCCCCCTCGAACCCCCCCCCCCCACGAATAAGCCCCCACTGCTACTGTAAATTATCGAATTGGACCCCACCATTTGTTGATTTTTGCCATCTGAGGTTGCCTATGGCGTTTTATTGAATTACCACAACAAATTCATACTTTTGGTAGTAATTAATTAAATGCTCATAAAGAAATTCCAGCAAAAATGAACGCGGTCTTTTAATAATGTCTAAAATAATTCTATAAGCCCCCTCTCGTATAAGCCCCCCCCCCTCGAATAAGCCCCCATCCAAAAATATCAAGAATAAATAAGCCCCCAGGGGGCTAATTCGAGGATTTACGGTAGTTAAAATAGAGAGCTTTTATGGGAAACCTAATTTCAAAATAGTTGATAATAATTTTTTCTAGATAATTGCAACAAGAAGTGAGCGAATTGGTGAAGAAGAAGCCAAGTGCAAAGCGATAGCAAAGAATGCACAGGAAGATCTTGACGAGGCCTTGCCTGCCCTAGCGGAGGCTGTTAAAGCACTGGAATCTTTGAATAAGAAAGATATAACAGAAATCAAGGCATATGGACGACCGCCACCACTCGTTGAGAAGGTCATGGAAGCTGTGATGGTACTTAAAGGCAATGAACCTACCTGGGCAGAGGCAAAGAGAGTTCTTGGTTCGTTTTCAATTTTATAGCTAACGTTTTAGCAGTATTGGTAACTTGAATATATCTATAAGTAACATTTTACGAATTTTCTGATCCTTTGTTTTCCTCAAAAAACTTGATAGATAAAAGCCCTCTCCAAAATTTGTTTTTTCAATTCAAGACAGTCTTTACTGTGTGCCAGGCCTCAAATCGTTCACAGCTCATTCTTTCTTGAAGGTTCTCGTTTCGTTCCCTACAGGTGAGCCAAACTTTATCAAGCAACTTATAAACTATGACAAAGAAAAAATGAGTGACAAAGTTTTGAAGCAGATTGGAAAATATTGCTCGCAGCCTGATTTCCATCCAGATATTGTCGGCAGGGTGTCACTAGCCTCTAAGTCGCTCTGTATGTGGGTACGTGCAATGGAGGTTTATGGAAGAATATATAGGGTGGTTGAACCAAAGAAGCAGCGATTGGCAAAAGCCCAATCAGAGCTAGAAGAAAAGCAAAGATCTTTAGCAGAAGCCAAAGCAAAGCTCAAAGAGGTTTGTCAAATTGTTTTTATCTAGAGATGTCTCCTCTCTTATTAGGTGCTTTGCAAAGTTTTTTAATCATATCATTTGTCGGTTGATGCTTCTGCTTTCTTTGCTGATCTTTGAATTTTAGCTAACTTGAATGTAGATTATGAGAAGGTGTTGACGTCCACTCTTATACAAAAAAATATAAAATTTTGAAGAAAGAAGCTAAGACAACAGTTTCTACTTGAATTTTATCCGCCTCCCATAAAATCCTTATTTTTTGTTTTCCTTATCGTAACATTTTAACGCAAATTTTATTTCAGCATTTGACTAGCAGGTAATATTTTGCTATTCACGTCATGGATCTGCAGCTAAGACAAATCTTTATCAAATCTTTTAAGTTCTTCGTAATCGTCTCTAAATTTGTCAAAGCTGCTTAAGATGACACCAAGGGTAATCGGCAGGGAATATTAGTTTTTCAAAGGTTTACAGTGATAAGATTCATATTCATTCTCGTCTTCTCCACCACGGACTCTATATTTAATCCTTTTTATTCAAATTAATCAGGTCAATGACAAAATTGAAACTCTGAAGGGTAATTATGAAGAAAAAGTTGCGCAGAAAGAAGAGCTTGGCAATAAAGCAAAACTGCTACAGCTGAAACTAGAAAGAGCAGGAAAGATTGTTTCTGGTTTGGGAGGAGAAAAAGATCGATGGGAGGCCAGTGTTGAGGTGTGCTATCGTCCTAATTTCGTCAAATATTGCTTAGCCAAATCATGTTATCTTTTGTCAAGTCATAACTTCTAAACTGAACGAAAGTCAAATTACGAACTGTTTTATATGTAAAGAGCATCTCTGCTTTGCACTTGGAGGTAGGCTCTTGTTAAAGTACTTTTCTTGCATCAAGTGTGAACGGTTTGAGGTAGCACTATTCGAGGAAAAGTTAGATTTTGCTCAAACGCTGTGGCTACGAAGCCTTGTCTGCACAGGTTAAAGGTATCCAGAGTAGAAACCAGGTGTATTAAATATAGATTAATGTTGTGACTAGGCTGCAGGAGAAATAGTTTTTGCAAGCGTTGCTTTTGGATCTGTTTGCCTTTAAGAATTGATACGGAGTACATGTAGCAACGTAGAAATTAAGTCATATCTTGAAATTTGTAACGCAATTACGTCAAGAAAATTAGCTAACCTAGAGGTCTTTTGTTATGCTTGCTTTCAGTAAATTTTGTTCTTGCTAAACAGAAATAGAATGTTCGGAAAATTCTTCCATAACTATTTAAGCATTCTGTATCGTAAATTCGTAACTAAACGAAATTGGAATTTACTGTTCAGAATATTGTGTAATTTTTGCTTTTTGTTTTGAAAGGTTTTGGAACAGAATATTGGGTATCTTACTGGCGACTGCCTTGTAGCCGCTGCATTTTTATCGTACGCTGGCCCCTTTTTGTCACATTACCGAGACGAGTTGGTGCAAAAGACCTGGCTCGCACAAGTTCGTCTTCTCCATGTGCCCTGCAATCCAGAATTTTCATTCGCCAGTTTCCTTGCCAAGCCGACTGCCGTTCGAGAATGGAATATCCAGGGACTGCCTTCTGACTCGTTCTCCACCGAAAACGGTGTCATTGTGACCCGAGGGAATAGGTGGCCACTTATGGTCGATCCCCAGGGACAGGCAATTAAATGGATAAAGAACATGGAGAACAAGCAAGGTCTCAAGGTGATTGATTTACAGCAGGCAGATTATTTGAGAACATTGGAAAATGCAGTCCAGTTTGGCAATCCTGTTTTGCTGCAAAATGTGCAAGAAGAACTTGATCCATCTTTGGCCCCGATTCTAAACAAATCTGTAGTCAAAAGAGGTAAGAATTGTCAAAATGTCATTTTCTAACTTGAGACCTGATCGTATATGTTAGAAATACCTGATCGTATATGTTAGAAAAATATGATTTGTGGTATACCTGAAATCTCATTTTTCCCTATTTTTACATCGTCGAATTGAATCTGTTGTAAAAATTCAAGGGCCATTGTAATTTAAAGTCTGCTTTGAATATTTTTCCGATATTCTTTTTAGGAGGGAGATACACCATCAAACTTGGGGACAAAGAAGTAGAGTATAACCCAAAATTCAAGTTCTACATTTGCACAAAGTTGTCTAATCCACACTACACTCCAGAAATATCAACGAAAACGACGATTGTTAATTTTTCAGTGAAAGAACAAGGTATGTATATCACAATAACCCAGATGCATATTTAACTCACTGAATATCTTTGTTTAAGAATATTTTCCTTTTAAATATCTTATTGAACTATCCTCCACTTTATCAATTGATGTTTCATTCATTCATCTATTCATCCGTTTATTCAACTTTTTATTCTTATTCATTCATTCATTTATACAATCATTCATTCATTCATTCATTCATTCATTCATTCATTCATTCATTCATTCATTCATTCATTCATTCATTCCTACATTCATGTTTTTCATTCATCTGTTAATTCATTCAGTCGTTCATTTGTCTATCTTTTTCATTGATTAATTTATTCCTTCTTTATTCTTACGGTATCTTAACTCTAACAGTAAAAGGCAATGCAGTTGTACCAGCGTTTCTTAAAAGGGGTATAATTCATTTTTGGTTTCAACTTCCGTTTTAGTTTTCGCCAAGAGACCACTTACTTGGCGTTGGCTTTATTTTCATAAAATTTCTCTGTTCATGTCTATCGCCATTTCATTCCTCTTATCTATTGATATATTTTTAATGTAGGCCTAGAAGCGCAACTACTTGGTATCGTAGTCAGAAAGGAAAAACCTGAACTTGAAGAGCAGAAAGACAGTTTGGTGATAAATATTGCTAAAGGAAAGCGAAAGCTCGAAGAGCTGGAAGACGAAATTCTCAAGTGAGTAATTTTATATCCGAAACACGAAGAGCCCCGTTTCTCGTTTCTACCTCCTAGACAAATAAAATATTATTGGCTTAATCAATGAGAGGGAGTGTGCACGTGATGACCATGGCATCATTAAGTACAGCGCAATCTTGTTGTAACTAAGATCATAAATGCAATGTCATGACATTTGCTTTCAAAACGAAGAATTTTTATCAATCACTTTTTAAAAGTTTCAGCCTTAGAGACCACTCCACAGTTACCTTTCTTCTAATCGGAGATAACCAATGAAAAATTGTTTACTTTCTTGAAAGTTTTCTTTTCATCGTGTTCTTTCGGGACCCTTATTCTTACATTTTATGCTCTGAGGAGAGTCAGACGAAAAAGCTTTTAGCCAATATGTTACAAAATTTTTGGTTTTTTTCAAAGCCATTTTCAAGTTCTGTACCGCTAAAAACTGTTTATACTTTCAGACTGTTAAGCACAGCTCAAGGTTCACTGCTAGACGATGAGCAGCTGGTGGACACATTGCATTCATCAAAAACAACTTCAACGGAAGTATCAGTTCAACTAGCAGACAGCGAGCAGACTGAAATAAAAATTGATGCCGCTAGGGAGGTGCGTTTATTATTCATTCAGTACCCGTCTTTTCTTCATTCTAATACTGTTTTTTCCATCAATTAGTGTTGGGTAATCACGACTGATTTACTTGGCTTTTGTTAATATCTACTCCATTATTGCACTAAGATATAAGCAGTTTTGTATCGATTTGTCCAAGTACTTTTATGTTCTAATGAAAAATAATACTAGTTTCTGTATATTATTCCCTGTTGTAAACAGTAATATGAATATCCTCCTATCAGTTGAATGCATTTTTGTGCTAGACAGCAAGAAAAAGTATACACGTATTATTTAGCGAAATCTGTTATAGTGTCAAATTCAGCTCTGTTTATTCTAAAATTATATCGCTCTTTTGCACGCTTTATGTTGGACATATAACACTTGATTGACTTGAGTTTTTCCACACAGGGCTACAGACCATGTGCACAGCGGGCGTCTATATTGTTTTTCGTTCTGAATGATCTCGGCAGAATTGACCCAATGTACCAGTTCTCACTTGACTCGTACATTGACTTGTTCAATAATTCTATTGATAAAAGCAAACGCAGCTCAAAGTTGGAAGAAAGGATACAAAATCTGAATGAGCACCACACATATGCTGTATATAGGTAAGTGGGACAGTCTTATACATAGCCGTCTATGCTTGGCAACACAAGCTATCTTATTGCTTAAGAAACTAGTGCTCTTAGAACAAAGAGTTTCTAATTACCCATTTGGTGACTGACTTGGCTTTTCTTATCATCTTGTTGGACGTTAAATGCTCATATATCAAATTCACCCACTCTAACTGCAAACCATTTCTGAATTAAGAAGCAAATGAGCTAGAAAACTCTCGCACTGCAGCATGTTAAAGAAGGGTTGTAAAAAAACAGTTAAAAGCCAATCCAGTTTTGGTTACTTTAAACGTACGCTTTCTACCACTTGTGTATACAGTACGGATCTAAGTTGCAACTTTGAGTTTCACGCTTGACGCAATCATCAGGCTTATGTGTACAGCCCTGCCCATAAGGGCATCGAGTGCTATATGACAGACCGATAGAAGAGTAATTTTCATTGGTTTATTTTTAAGGTATACTTGCCGTGGACTGTTTGAAAGACACAAGTTGCTGTTTTCGTTCCAAATGTGTGCCAAAATACTAGAAGCGGCTGGAAAACTTAACATGGATGAATACAATTTCTTCTTAAGAGGAGGAGTGGTAGGCCCAGTTTTCATTCACAATGGATCTTTCTTTCATTATTTTTCAAAGTGTCTTAGCCGTTTAATTGCCCTAGACCTAGGATTTTTATTTCTTTTTTATGTGCGTGTAATTCGCAGATTTGCTGCAAGTAGTACCGTCATTTGCAGGAAACGATATCCTGAAATGAATTTTGAATTTTTTTATGGGTATGTCTTATCATTTATCATGAACTTGGTCAGTAAGAAAAAGGAACGTAATAATACAGTTGTTAAATCTATTTATTGATTCACAGGACAATGGTCTAATCTATCGGCCTCTTACGATGAGAAGTAGGCTAGAAATATAATTATATTTTTGAATATGAACTTTGACAGGTTTTGGATAGAGAGGAACAAATGGATAATCCCTGCTCAACCTGGCTCTCTGACACGGCATGGGACAATGTGACCGAACTTGATAAGTACGTCCAGCTTGTTAATTTTTCAGATGTTATTTTGATATTTTTTTGTTAGAAATGTTATTTTTTCAGTTCTGTTCAGAAAAGATTCATGTCGTTATCATTGGAATGTAAAGATTGAATTTTGACAAAGTTTTAACCGATGCTTAGCACTGTTTGTCACTTTTCTAATGCTTTAAGAGGCAGTCGCTCGTCTTCTTACTTACTCTGAATTTCGCTCTGAGATGCCTTTTATTTTATTACTCTAGGCTTGCAAACTTCAGAGGAGTCGTTGCCTCATTTGAGCAATATCCGCGTGATTGGAACATTTGGTTTACCAATGCAACACCAGAAACTGCACAGTTGCCAGGTTTGCAAGTTCATTGCAAAATCATTTTCGTCGTGGTTATATTTTCAATTGACTGGCTAGAAGAGACCCGTTGATTTAATGTTAACGATTGGTTTTGTAATACCACCGTTATTTCTTTGACCTTGCCTCTTTCGGTGGTCGTTTATATGTTCGTAATTATCTCCGAAATTCTGCGGATGAATTGTATTGTATTCCTAACTTAAGGTTAAATATTATGTTGTATTTCCTCAGATATTAGTGAATAAAATTATTTTGCAGGAGAATGGGAGAACGCGTGCAATGAGTTGCAAAGAATGCTGATCGTCCGTTCCTTGCGACCTGATCGTGTATCGTTCTGTGCTACCTCATTCATTGTGAACAACCTTGGGTCCAGGTGAATTTATATTTTAAAATTGCATACTTGTCTTGTCAGGTACACACAGGCAAAAGTCTGTAGACACTCAATCAAAAACAATGGCCTCCGACCGACACAGGTTTGAAAGCGAGAGGAGGGCCAACGGAATATGTAACACCGATAACAAAATATTTTAAAAAAAGAACTATTGTTTTGCAAAAAATTGGGAGGGCCATGCCCCCCGGTCCTTCTTCGTTGGAGGCACTGAAAACCTCACTATAGTGCCTTCAAATTGACTTACTTCGAATGTTTATCCTCAAAAATTTTATCTTGACAACTACCTGTACTGGTTTAAGCTGATCAAATCTCTTCTTTATGCAGATTTGTTGAGCCGCCAGTCTTAGATATGAAAGCAGTGCTTGAGGATTCTACTACCAGAACGCCTCTTATTTTTGTCTTGTCCCCTGGTGTGGTAAGTTTGATCATCTTTTTTAAACTTGCTTTGTTTTCAGAAAGTATATGTTTACCATAGAGGCATGAAAGTAGCAGGTTGAGGGTAGCAATCTTTCTACCCTCTGCAAAATGAAAACATTTCTTAGAGCTTCTTAGAGCTCAACATGCCCAAATTTGTGTTCAATTTTCTGAATCTTTTTTATGTCTTCTCTTTATGGTTCAATATGCTCTAATCTATTCCTAATAACTTGACATCTATACATAGTGTACCAATCATTGGCTCTTATAGTACTTTGTTAACTTCTTTTCTAACAAAGCAACTTTATTCTTTGTCTTCAGGATTATAAATTAATTCAAGAATAAGAGACAACTGCCTTTCTTTTTACAGGATCCGACGAGTGCATTGCTTCAGCTGGCTGAGACATCAAATATGAGCAACAAGTTCCATGCATTGTCTTTAGGCCAAGGCCAGGCTCCGATCGCAACGAGAATGATCAAAGAAGGGGTTCATGAGGTATCAACTGCCCTACATTCTCAAGCCGAATTTCTATGGCAGGCTTACTTAGCCAATTGCTATGCATAAAACTCTTTATACTGTTGAATCAGAGACGTTTGAGCAAGGAGACACGAGGGGCACCGTGGCTTCCCCAATTTTCGCAAGTACACTTTTAGGTTGCAATCATACGGTCTCGGTGCCCTTTTTGCCATAACACTTTGTGACCTGACCGACCATATTAAGTGATCTTCCAAAAGCCCTGCCCTTTAAAGTTATAAATACTTTAATATGTGAAATTACTCTTTCTACGATTTTTTAATCACGTTCTTGGGTATTTGCTAGAATTTTTGTATTACTATAGATCGTAGACCAAACTTTCGAAGATTACACCCATTTATTTCACCATAAAAAATTATCTAATTCATCTTTATTTTCAGGGAAACTGGGTCTTTTTGGCAAACTGTCATTTGTCACTAAGCTGGATGCCGCAACTGGACAAGCTAGTCGAGCAACTGCAAGTAGAAAAACCACATGATGACTTCCGTCTTTGGCTTAGTAGCAGCCCACACCCTGATTTTCCAATATCAATTCTACAATCGGGCATCAAAATGACCACCGAACCTCCAAAGGTAGCAAGTTATTCCTCGTTTTGAAATGCTGTGTTGAAATTGAATATGAATTCAATTATAGAGCTGGGGAATCATTCCCCTTTGCTTTCCACTTTCCCACTTTCCCCCTTTTTTTATTCTTTTGAATTTTTTTCAAATAACGTTTTACAAAAAGTGTCCTTGATCTTTCGTCGTGAATCACGATGTTCTAAAAATCCTTGCATAGAGCAGTCGTTTGTAAATCTTTATTGCTATTAAAGAGCCGGATCTTTTAAGATACTATTAAACTGCTTTTTCAGCCAAAGGGTATCCTCCGTTCCTAAGAGTCTACCAAGGAGAATTTCGTTGCATTCGTTTTTAAAATACCCTCTATGCTGGAATAAGGAAAAACATTTCCGCGAAACGTCAAATTAATGTTTAAATTTAGATTTGAAAGACTGTTGCTTTGGAAAAGCAATATTTAAGAGTGCTGCTTGATCAATATGTAAAATACGAATTTTCTTGGAAAAAGACACATGTGCCGTTCCCATACGGAACTTATAGTTTTGGCTCTCTAGACTGACCTTTTTTCATCCAAAGCACCGTTCCATTTAAAGAGAAGCTAAAGAGCACTCCTAGGCAATTTTTCTGAGTCTTTAACAGCTATTTTGCCTCAGCTTTTCCATCCAAATAAAATTACACATTGCCATTTCTTCCAGGGACTTAAAGCAAATATGAAGCGTATGTACCAGCTTGTCACTGATAATCAGTTCGCAAGATGCCACAGGCAAGACAAGTACAAGAAACTGCTGTTTGCACTTTGCTTCTTCCACAGCGTTTTATTGGAACGGAAGAAATTCTTAAACCTTGGTTGGAATATCATGTACAGTTTTAATGATTCTGATTTTGAGGTATTTAGCACTCTTGATTTCTCATTGCACCTAGCTTAACAATTGCTTGCTTTTGCAGAAACTTCCAAAAGCTGATAAAATAAAGACGTTTTAGATGGTTTTAGGTTGCGACTTCATTCCAAATTATGATTTAAGACGAGACTGTACAGTTTCCAATACACGATTACGTTGAAATACGTTAGCTCTTTTTGACACTGACATTACTTCATTACAATGAGGGTGAAAGGCAGTAACGGTTGGGTGATCCAAGTATCTGTGAAACAATTATAATTATATCACGTTTAAGCAAACCTTGTCGGATGTGTTCTGCATTCGAGTAAATCAACTTGTTTGAAAGAAAGAAGTTCTTTTGTTTTTTTTGCCTTTTTATAATTTTAATATAAGTCTTAAAGAAAACAGTTGTTCTAGATGAATTTGCGACCATTAATCTCTGATGAATTAATTGGCAGTTTTAGTCGCTTCCAAGCCATTGTGATACTTCTTGTCAAAAAACTACTTTGAATATTCATTGGCAATTTTTCTTCAAAGATTATATATCTGTTTTTCTACATTAAGTCTTTTCATTGCTTAGGTATCAGAGAATCTGCTCAGCATCTATTTGGATGAGTACGACGAAACACCATGGGATGCGCTGAAATACCTGGTACGTAAGCCAACAGGATAAGTTATAAAAGGAATAATATTTGCTGAAGTAGAGTAGATGTAGCTGCCTGATAGTGACACTGGTAAGGATAAGAGCTGTTTTGTCCAAGGGGTCTTTTGTTTAACTTCCAGTTTGGCTAATTATACGACAAATTTCTTCCTGTCTAAGAAATAGAAAATGGGTCGTGTTAGAAACACGGAGGAGATGCCATGTAACGAGGAACTTAGCTGTAATCCTTGCCAAAACACTTGCAAACTTCTCCATAATTTCCAGGCAGCCCCCCTTCCTACAAAACAAGGTTTAATATTTTTATGTTGAGGCTTTATAAACATGCTTCTTGATGTGCCAAGTTTTCCTGCAATCAAATAAAAACACAAATTTGCTAATCGACAAAGGGGTGGGAGGGGGCTTGTGCTGCGTTAGAGGTTTGACGTAGAAAGAGCGCCCTATTGCTGTTTTCATGAAGTTTTGGCAAGGATTGTGGTTACACAACAGCAAAATGGAACTTAGCTACACTTGCATGCTTTCCCTTACGTTTGGATTTTACAAAAAACGATCTTTGCTTGATAAGTTCATTTCGTAATGATGAGATTGTTAGAACGGTTTCTTTTAAAGTAGGCATTCACATGATATTATATTGCTTAGTCCACCACACACCCTGAATAGGCAATTATTTTGTCAGATTGATAGTATCATCTCCTAACGATTGCATTGATCGTCTTTGCAGATTGCGGGGGTTAATTATGGTGGACACGTTACTGATGATTACGACAGACGTCTCCTACTTACTTATATAAATGATTCCTTCCACGATGGCTGTATCAACACACAGTTCTACAAGTGAGCAATTTTTGCAATTTAGATAATTGCCTTATATATAGATATAATTTTTTTATGTTTAAAAAGGCTTTTTATTCAAAGTAAAAAAGGAAAAAACTTATAGGCTTAATAGATGTATGTCTTTTATTGCCACTATTTCCAAAGTTTCAAAGTTTTTCAATTTTGCTAATTAATTTGATTTTTTTCTTAGATTATCTGGCTCGCCACAATATTATATCCCAAAAGATGGTCCACTCCAAAGCTACAGAGTAATATTTATTCTATTTTCTATCAACCATGCCTATAATTCTTGTTGTTCTGTTATTTCTTAAAAAATTTAATTCTGGTTTCCATCAACATCTGTCTTTTCTAAGGTCGCTGTATGATCATCTGAACAGTTTCTACGAAACTAGGCCTATTAACTCGCACTCTTTCAAACATTGCCTGGTATGCTATTGCACTGACTTAACACATTGCATTGCTGTCAAGAGGATTCTTTTGCAAAGCATGCGCTATACGTAAAAAACTTCTTTAAGAGTAGTAGTGTGCTAGATAAATGTGAAATTTGGCTGAAATTTGATATCTTTTAATTTCATCTATTATATAATGTTAATTTTAACACTTATTGATTTTTTCAGGAATTCATCAGTATGTTGCCTAATGTTGACACCCCAGAGACATTTGGGCAACATCCAAATGCAGATATTGCCAGTCAGATAAGGGAGACCCGGTAATCCATACAACAATTTTTTATTTTTCAGTAAATTTAATAAATGCTATTTACAAGTGAGGCCTTTTCTGTTCCGTTCCTAATTACAGGAGAGAATCTTTTCATGCTTCTTGCTAAAAAGCTAACGAATTTGACCGATTATTTACTTAAACAACCGAAGTATACAACAAATAAATTTAGTTCATTAGTGTCATTTAGGCCATTTTTTCTGAGAACATACGAAGAGTTATACGTCTTTGTCTATTTGAACCCGTTTTGATTATGTTTAAACATCGAAGAAATAAAATTTGTTATTCAAAACCAGTTCGTTCAAGTTAGGGTTTTTGCAATTCTAAAATTGTAGGTCAGGGAAATTAATTAAAAATGGTCTAGATGTCATTGTTAGAAGGTAGAGATTCTGGTCTGGAGTCTGAGTTTCAGAACAAAAACGTGATTTATAACCTGTGAGGTCAATCAAAATGTCAACAATGAATCTAAGAAAATTCCCGGAAAAGCAATTGAGGAAGGATGCTCTTAGAAAAGGAAAGGCCTTTTTATTTGATTTTGAAATCAGGATATTTTAAACGTATTCGGATAGCATATCCAAAAATATACTAGGGTCGCTAAGGCAGGGAGCAATTCTTGATAAATATCCAGGGACATTACAGATTTAACATCATATCCACTTTGTATTTGATTTGGACATTTCATGACTATTCTTATAATTTCCAACCGATAGGAGGTTTATCTAATATTACTTTGATTGCAGAAATCTCCTTGAGACATTACTGTCATTGCAACCAAAAATAGCCACAGGTGTGCAAGGTGGTAGTAAGGAAGACAAGGTTTGTGTCGTTATCTTCGAAGTCGAGTATTTAAAGGAAATTCTGTGATGTTGGTTATAGGTTGAGACTTAAAGTGGTGTCAATGATATGTTATTTATATCAAAGTAAGGATCTTTCACTATTTTCACTGGATACATGTGCTTTATCTTAACATGGGTGATAAATGCAAAGAGCTTTATCAGTTCTTCTGAAAAAATTGCAACAAGCCATAATCTCTTGTTTATTTCTACTGTTTTTAAAGTGAGAATTTTGTTTTCATTCACTTCTGGTCCTTTTCTATTCAGGTCTTGGAGCTGGCAGCTGATGTTGGAAAAAAAGTGCCAGATCTAATTGACTACGAGTTGACCGCGAAAATCTTGTCTGAGGATCCTTCCCCACTCAATGTCGTACTTTTGCAAGAGGTACACAATGGCATTGATATATACATGATTACATACTTCACTGTGCATCTTATCTGTTATAATTCTTTAGTTCTTCTATTATTTTGATTACTAATTTGATTATTGAGATTCAATTCCGGAGGTATAAAGTTTTCTATTTTCATTCCTGAATAATGACGTTTTTTCACGTTGGAAGGTATGCGCTTTTTCCTTCGACAATTTCCTCTACATAGTAAACTTAAGTTGTTTTTGTCCCCAAAAGATTGCTTTATTCTTGCCAAGTCATCGTAATACTTTAAATCTTACACGTAGATAACAAGGTATAACAATCTTCTGAGCACAATCAAGAAATCGCTTGAAGATTTGGAGAAAGGCATCAAGGGATTGGTTGTGATGTCATCAGATTTGGAGAACACTTTCAACTGTATTTTCGACGGACGCGTTCCACCTCTCTGGGAAAAGGTTGTCATATTGAGTATTTAACCATTACTTTTTAGTTTGCTTGCAGTCATGCTTCAGTGAACGCTTCTAGGTTGCAAATAAAAATCCAGGACACAAGCAATACAGTTTTCAGATGAATTTGACGAACCGGCCAACTCAGCTTGAATTAACCGACACTTTTTGGCAGAAACTTGATTAATGCACCTTATAAGCTCATCGTACAGTCTTTTGATGATCACACTAATGAAATAATTAATGGGAAAATATTTTTTCATTTTGTTTAATTTTGAATCACTGTCCGCTTTCTGGTTACCATAAATTTTTTGCATTCCACCACAATTGGCGCGGCGAACCATCCATAAAGAGATGGAAACCATAACAGCGAACTCGTCACCTTATGTTACCATACGCAGTTTAAAAGTGACCTTATTGCACCCAAGTGACATAGCAAGCTTCAACGGCCTTGCTCCCTAAATTTTCTCCTATAATCTCTATCATGAGTGATGCATAGTTCATTGTTGATGCTTGTAGCTTGCTTTAAGTAAATTTTGAATTTCTTTTTCTCGTTTCCTCAGACCTATCCATCCATGAAGCCTTTGGCGTCATGGGCACGAGACTTGGTTTCGCGTGTTCAACAGTTCTCAAAATGGGCCACGACAGCGCACCCTCCTCTCATATTTTGGTTGTCTGGTTTTACGTTCCCAACTGGATTTTTAACTGCAGTTTTGCAGACTTGTGCTCGCCAAAACAACGTAAGGACTATTTTATTCAAAGAATGATTTTAACAGGCTTGAAATATTCTATGGTCTAGGAAGTATTAGCTGTTTCCATTTCTATGATTTTGACCAGTTTTATTGCCTTCCTTATAGCAAATATTGTAAGTTTGGACAAAGCCTACTGAATCTGGCTGTTTCTAAAACTAACTCTGTTTTCTAACTATTTCCTTGCTTCTTGGCATAGAGAGGGCGAGGTTGCAAGATTTGCATAATCAACACTTTTAGATGGGCGAAACTGATCTGTATTTTCATTACACAATTCGAAAATCTTCCTTTTTACACATTTGTTTTTTATTATTGCAAACGATTCATCCTACTTGATGAAATTCAGAAATTTTACGCTACCTCTAATGCTTCAAAGGTATCTGTGGATAGCTTGTCTTGGGAATTCATTGTTTCTACCGTTGACGATGGGAACATCACCCAGCAACCGACAGATGGAGTCTGGGTCAAAGGCTTGTATCTAGAGGGAGCTGGCTGGGATAAAAGAAACGCTTGCCTCATTGATGCAGAGCCCATGCAGCTAGTCTGTCAAATACCGACTATCCATTTCAAGCCAGTAGAAAACAAGAAGAAGACTGGTAAAGGAATGTACAACTGCCCTTGCTATTACTACCCGAACCGAGGCGGGGAGTCATTTGTTGTTGCTGTTGATTTGAAAGCAGGAGCCGTAAATGCGGATCATTGGATAAAGAGGGGCACTGCGCTTCTTCTTAGCCTTGATGAATAGGGTTATAACAGACGTGGCATTTTGTTTTGACTTTCAAATGTGGTTTTGGATTTTATATCTGTGGAGTGCCTGCAGATTCAATTTTTTTCTTGTAACGTTTTATTCTTGGCTTAATTAGTGCACCTTCTGAGACACACTTGAAACTAGCACAAAAATATTGTTCAGTCAAGCTAGTTTCATCTATCTTGCTTATGCATCAACAGGGAATATTTTCTTTAGTGTTTTTCATCAAATTTTCAGAGATAGCAATCACCAGGTTTATGATTAATTATCTTCAAATCTAAAAAAGCCAGTAGATATTTAAAACTGTATCAATCTGAGAATTTGCTATCACAGGCTCCAAATTATTAGACCTCTAATATATTCCAAATTTATAAATTTGCCAACAGTATTTTTGTGCTAGTTTTCATGTGTCAACAATCATTCTTCGACAGTTTTTGTAAATAAAACCAGTTATATCTTCCTTTTGGCCATTGTAAGTACTTCATGTAAGGTTAAATCGGTTTATATGATCTATCACCAAATTCTACATTACTTTCATCTTAGTTGTCAGTCCTAGGTTTCTACAGAGAAACAGAATCTGTCTGTAGCCCTTTGCTAGCCTTAAGCAGTAGAAAAAGCCTTGTATCAGCTGGCAGATACTGTGTCCATAGATCTGTCAGTTCGGTTTTAGGTCTTACTAAAGACAAGATTAATTAGTTATATGTAAATAAAGGCAAGGCCACGGTAGCAGGCTGCTTGACAGACTCCAATGGAACATAAATTAACACAAGCAAATCAGTAGCAGCTATTATTCACCTTAGCATACGGGGCTTCATCAGAGCTTCATACATTAATTAGTTACTTGTGGAAAGTGTGACTTGTTGATCCAGTCTTGAATACAGCAAGTTTTTGCAGGTCATGTCAACTTTGCTCGTTCGTCAGAGAATGAAAGATAGCATGATCACTTGTCATGAAGTTTTCAAAAAAAAATTCGAAGATATTATGAACATCAATCTCTGTTTGATTTCAAATATCCGTGAAAGGTTTCAGTTTATGTTAACCATATCTCAAACTTTCAGAAAATGAAACAAATTTCGGATTGGAGAAAACTCTAGAACCTATTTATCATAGAATGTTTTGAAGAAAATGTTGAGAAAAATACACAACACTGTATCGAAACTCTTTTGCTCAGAACTGCTTATTCAGAACAAAGTTTCAGAAGTTTCAGAAAGATCAAATTTGTTTATAATGTTTCCGTTATCATCAATGACAAGTTTCAGATCTGAGAGCCCTTTGCGACAAAATAAATGTTCCTGTTGGAGACTTGGAGTCGCTAGGACTATTGGCAAAAAATTGTGGAAGCTTTTTGCTACCAGCAATTATAGAAAGAACGCCTACGAGTAACTTTGGAACTACGGAAGAAGTATGGCCAGGCCAAAAAATTTTAAAGTTATCCTGCTAGATGTACATGCCTTGGAAATAAGCAGCAAAACATTCACACATGACAGACATCAAGGAAAAGAATCTTGCTACAGTAAATTGAGCAAAGTCACAAGCAACAATCAACTCGCTTGTTACAAACACATTGTTTGCAAGGAGCAGCACAACAGACCTAGTTGTGATCGGATTACAGAATCCGACGAAATAATTGCCATGTTGACGATTCAATTTTTTGCGATTTATCGGATTACTATCAGGCAAAGTAAGTCATATGTAACGTTGCATATTCTTTATGAAGTTGACTGTAGTGGTAATTTCAGGAACTAGCCTAGAGACACCCCTCAATAACAATCCTCTACAACAGCCGTATCAGCTCTTTGAAGTCTTTTGATACCCTTTCCTTTATTTCTTACTAAAAATTGGTATTCGATATCATGATATCATGAAGATTTTATTTGAAATAAGTTAACTTGTAAAACATTCTACTGTCGCCATTAAACATTTTACATGCGAAATAGCTCCTAGGCTTCGAAATCTGCCATGCACGTAAACCGTCATATTCTCGAAACAACTTTGTTTTAAATGAGTCCCATTAAAAAAATCATCATTCTTTTTTTATTCATCAGCGAAGTGAGAAGGCATGCGGGGGCCATCATGTTTTTTGTTCACTGCGCGCCAAAAAGTAACGCAACATTGACTAATGTATTCATTTGACAGATGCAAGCCTGAAGCAACGTTGAGGAGCGCAGACAGAAAATTTTCAATTCTGCCGAGAAAAATGCCAGTACTCTTCCTAGATTTAGTGTAGAGCCTGATTCATTCACGGGCACAATGCTGTATGGAAGGCAAAGGAAAATCCCTTCCCTCAATTGAATTCGAAATTATATTGTTTGCTGCGATTCTTGGCCAAAGTCAAAGAAGAACTCAACGGATAGCTGAATGTTCATATTTTGTAAGAGGTTCAAAAGTCAAAGTGTTTCGTTTGATGTAATAGTTGCAAAGAAATTCATGGGAGGAGTCTTGCATACTGTAAGTTTAGTTTATCATGTTATAATATTTCCGCACTTCTCAACCTACGAATTAGATAACAACCTATAGCATTAATTATAGTACATTTATAACCTTTTATGATATCAAATATGAACATAAGCATACCATCCAATTTTTACTCTACTTTTGAAAATTCTGCTAGAAATTTCCGGCTTTCTCACTTCAAGTCGCAATGAAGTTTTAGTATCGAGTTTTCTTCTGGAAGAAGTTTTGGTCCTTATTGGCTACATCAAGGATGATATTTCAGACCCCCCCCCCTCCCCACCCCCCAAGTCATACTTCCTTTAAGGTAACGGTAAATTGTTTCTGAATGAAAACATTCATTTTTCGATTATTTCACATTCAAGTAGCCGAACATTCAAGGCACACAATGATACCAAATTTGAAACTAACAGAAATTTTGAAAATGGAAAAAATCCCCTGTAAACGAAGGTTTCCATAATTTCTTTATCAAAACTTTCAGTTTAGGTCTGAAAAGTCTTTTGACATGTTAACCCAAATATCGTTGCTTTGCGGTTTAGGTCGCATATCTCATTTACAATATCGCATGGCACATCCATGTATCCAATGTATGACTGTGTTTATTTAAACAGGCTTATTGATCTTAAAGCTTCAAATGGCTTGACCCGGATTACACTGCGGTTTACGAGTGCACCTCCTTTGCAAGTGCCATCAGTAAAATCCCGTTTTCTCCGGACTTACAATTCCTCTACATACAGGCATTCCTCTACAATCGAATGGCTCAAAAATTTGTACACAGCAAGGACAGATGTCAGGTAAGCAAATTGTATCTCAAAATTTTTTTACTTGCTCTGGTCCGTCTTTTATAGCCAAATACTGCTATAAGAGGGAAGAAAATTGTTTGCCAATTTTTGACAGGGTATAGTTTCAAGGGGAGGAAGAATTTGAAAAATATAGGATCTGCGCTTTCCGCTGATATAAGTCAGATTTTGTTACCTCAAATGCAAGGGTACAAAATAGCTTTTGAAGGTGGTACACTAATTTAGGCAACAAATTTGCCTGGAAAGTGTTATTTTACGATATTTGCCAATTATTTTGATATGGTTGGAATCGCCACATTCTTGTTCATCGAATGATGTATAGTCTAATCTGATTCCTTTGATAGTTTAGCTTTTAGAGAGAGAAGACCAAATATCGTGTCAAAAACGTTTAACCGTAACCTTAAGCGAGACCCATTTCCGTGCGTCGTTGCTATTTTCTGTTTTGACTAAGTTTACTTCTACCATAAACTTTGGCAAAGTTTATAAATTTCTTGTTTTACCCTTTAAAATTGATTCTTCACGGACGATTCAGCCGTAACTACTCCTGTTCTTAGGAAACCAGGACCCCTCAAAAAATTACAAAAATTCTTTGTTTCATATGAACAGCTTCTTTGCTTCATATATTATGTACCCCCTCCGTATTCATATGAGTTTTAAGCTATTTTAGTGCCATAGAAAGAATAAAATTTATGGGGGGCACTATCATTTGAGAACAATGGAAAGAAAGAAAATGTTCATTGAAAACAAGGAGTTTTTTATATTTTTTCGGGGGCACTTACCCACGCAAACAGTGACCACCCAGCTTTGGTACCCTCCACTCCACCTTTCTTTACGGTAGGTCCTTGAAATGAGCCCTCCAGGTGGCCCATTTGCAAAATGCATAAATAAAATCAAAATAAAAAGCTATAAAATAATTAGTAGAAGCTAGAAAGTTTTTTTTTCAATTGCCCTTTTACTAAAACCTGCCCCTTCCGCTCTGGTATCCCTAAAAAACATTTTGTGCATTTATTAGGAAAAGTCTGTGCAGTTCTAAAATTGTTTCATTGTTACTTAGTTTTCATATTTCCAAAAATATCAGAAATTATCCGACAAAATAACCATTTAGCTTTACAGGGGATTTTCGCCCCTCTCTGACCCCCTCAATCTACACCACTGAAACAAGAGTTTGGTCTCTCGAGATCCTATATGACCAGGAACTCACAGTGGTCCTTATGTTTTCTACTATAATGTACTTCATAATTTTATTACCAAATTGAGTTAGAACAAATTGAATTACAATAGCAACAATTCTCGTCTAAAGCAGCCACGTAGCTGCAGGGGGCACGGGGGGGCTGTGCCTCCCAAATGAAAATTTTGACAACAGCTTGCCCCCTCTGGCTACAGTTTTTCCAAATGATATTTTGAAAGTTTGGCATATTTATAATTCCATTACCTTGATTTTGTCCAAATATGTCTGTTTGTTATATATCTGTTTTCTTGTTTTAAAGCCTGGCCCCCTGAGGTATAGTTCTTGCTCGAGTTTGCCCCCCTAGCTGACACCTACAGCTACGAGGTTGGTCTAAAGACTTTAAGAAAAAAATGGACAAATATAAGAATTTTGGAATGACGTTGGACATGGACAAACATTTGAAATAATAAATACAGATACGTTTGTGAATGTTTTGTGCAATTGATCATTGGGTTGACTGACAACTTTGATAGATGAAAAAATAACGATATAAATCTTTTTCTTCGGATTGGTTAACCCTCAATGCTGAGGGCTTATTTCAGAAAATATATTTTATGCTCACTTCTGTATCCATTAGTCGGTGTCAAGGTTCACTTTTTTTCCGGACATTTTTAGAAAAATTTCGTAATTATTTCGTAGTGCATTTCTTGCCTCGTCTTCAAAACGAACCCCAAAGTCCATGTTGCATTGAATTGTCGGGCCTAAGCTGGCATCCTGTTACACGTTTTTGCGCTGGACGAACGTATTCTACGTTATTAATGATGCTTGGAAGTGCTATTTCAAGCCAAGTAGTCAGGTGTGCCTGGAACCGTTTCTCACCACGAGCAAAGCCGTTTGTGGGTGTTCTTCGGAACTCCTTTAGCACACTGAACAAACAAACCCATCAAGGAAAAGAAGCAAGGTTGCGATTACTTTCTAGGCCATGTCAAAACACACAGGGCAATAGAGGGTTGAAAGAGTCTGCACAGAAGGGTGGAGACAATACCGTATTATTTGTTGGACTTGGTGCTTTAGGCCTTGCTACTATCGTAGCAGTTCAGTCGAATATATTTACACTTGATAATAAAGTGAAAAAGCCGTCAGAAAGTGCTTCAGCAAGTCCAGTCGTGACGGGAAATGCAGAGGTAAATAAAGGATACACAGATGACTCACATAACCAGACAGAAATTGCTGTGGTGGAGAAGAATCAGAGTGAAGTAGAGGATGCTCAAGCAAATGAAGTCACAGCTGAAGAACAACCAGAAGCTGCTGTCACGGTCACATCAGAGGAGCCAAGTGAAGCAAAACAAGAAGAGAGCATTGCTGAGGTGGCAACAAAGGAGACTGTACCTAGTTCAGATGAAATAAAAGTTGAAGACTCTTCAGAAACAAAGCAGGAAGAGGTGATTGCTGTTGATGAAGCTGTAAAAAAGAATGCATACAAAGATCTGCCAAAAGTTCCAGAGTTTGTTCCTTATGTTATAATAGGTGGTGGGACTGCATCACATGCTGCTTGCAGGGCCATTCGTAAACATGACCCCAAAGCTAAGATACTCGTCATTGGAGAAGAAGAGGTTTTGCCTTATATGAGACCACCTCTTTCAAAGGAGTTATGGTTTAGTGAGGATGAAGATTCCGCAGATACATTGTTTTTCAAACAGTGGAATGGAAAAAGGAGAAGTGTTTTTTTTGAAGATGATACCTACTATGTAAAACCACAACTGCTTCCAGTACAAGATAATGGTGGTGTGGCTGTTCTTACTGGCCATAAGGTTGTAGACATTGATCCATTACAGCATACAGTTCATCTTAAACGAGGAGAAGGTATCAAATATGAAAAGCTTTTAATTGCTACTGGAGGTTATCCAAAGAGTCTTGATATTTTTACAAATGCTTCTGATGATTTGAAGAGCAAGGTTACCCTCTTTCGGACAGTTGCTGACTATAGGAAACTTGAGAAGCAAGTTGGTTCACTTGATTCAGTTGCAATAATTGGTGGTGGATTTCTAGGAAGTGAACTTGCCTGTGCACTTGGTGCAAGAGGAAAGAAAAGTGGAATGGTTGTCTCTCAAATCTACCATGAAAGTGGAAATATGGGCAAGGTCCTTCCAAATTACCTTAGTGAATGGACAACAAAAAAGGTTGAAAATGAAGGGGTAAAGACATATGCCAATGTTCACCCAGTTAATGGTGAACTTAACAATGATGGGAAAGTATCCATTCATTTGGATAATGGTGAAACAATTGATGCATCACATGTTATTATTTGTGTTGGAATTGAGCCAAATACTGATTTGGCTAAGTCTGCAGGTTTGGAGTTGGATCCAGAGCATGGTGGATTTAGAGTGAACTCTGAGTTGCAAGCCAGATCAGATATTTGGGTTGCTGGTGATGCAGCTTGTTTCTATGATGTTAGACTAGGACGCCGTCGTGTTGAGCACCATGACCATGCTGTTGTTAGTGGAAGGCTAGCGGGAGAGAACATGACTGGAGCAAAGAAGGCTTACCTGCACCAGTCAATGTTTTGGAGTGATCTAGGCCCAGATGTTGGGTATGAAGCTATTGGTATTGTAGATAACACACTGGATACAGTTGGTATATGGGCAAAAGCAACTGAAGCTGACTCTCCAAAAGCCGTGGTTGAAGCAACAGGAGAGAATTTAAGATCCCAGACTGAGGAAGATGCAGAAACAGGTGAGTCAGTTTCAGTCCCTGTTGACACTGTTAGCAGCACAGAGGGGGCATCTGAAGATTTTGGGAAAGGAGTTGTCTTTTACTTGAAAGATCAAGTCATTGTTGGTGTACTGTTATGGAATGTATTTAATAAAATGCCAGTTGCTCGTAAGATCTTAAAGGAAGAAAAAAAGCAAGACAGTCTAGTTGAAGTTGCTAAACTATTTAACATACATGAATAATTTAGTTTCTAGAATTGCTATTTAGAAAAGTGGCATGTAGGACATTTTGCAATATAGATATGACCTATGTATCTTGTTCAAAAAGGCAAGCCGTCTGTGTGAGTTGGAGTGATTTACATTGCTCACATTCAATAATATTCCCTATCCTGGTGCTACCAAAATTATGACAGAATTGATTTTGATAACAGTTAATTTCTTTTCTGTTCTGATTTAGTAAATACCCACATAAAATAACAGTTTAAATACCCACATCCCTATCCTATAAGATCCAACTCACCCGAAAAATAGAGTTATTTAGTGTGACTTACAAAATATCTATTTTTGAATTTTTAAATTTAGACTACTTAATCTAAAATAGCACCATAAAATACTTCTAAATATCCAATTAAAGATATCAAACCTGCCAACAGATTACTGTTATTTTGGCTCTGTTCATGGGGAAAGAGCCTATGCTTATGTGGCCATATCTCAGCCAATTCATAACACATTGACTGGTTTTGCATGTTTAGAGGTATTTCAAGGTGTACTTTTATGCAATGAAAGCCAAATTCAAGAACTCTAAAAATAGGATTTTGTGATGTCATCACTTAAAAACTCTATTGGAAGAAATTATTATCTGCAGATTGCTATATTTAGCAATGGTAGAGAACTGTTCTTTGAGGAAAGCATTTCAGATATGTTTTGACGGTGGATGGCTATTCAATTAAGAAGCCACTGAAACATCTAGTATATAAGAATCTGTTCAGCCTGCCAAGGCAAACATTTCAAGATCTTATATATGGAGTCTACTGGTATTCCTGATACATCTATTCCATCAGATTTTGTATCTTTAATTTTCAAAGTTACTTAGAAAGAATTTTGATGCTTAATTACTAAATATAATATTTCAATTTTCTGCTTTGTATCTTAGCTTTGATTGTTATTCCCATGTGCATTAGAGTTTGAGTGTGTTACAATGAAGTGAACAGTTAAACAATTGAAACTTCTGCAAACTTTATTATGTTTTGCTTCGCTGTGTAGTAGATGATAGCTCTAAGAAAATCATATCAGTTAAGCTTCAGATCTACTCCTCATTCCACAATCAAACTGATTTATTTAAAATTTTGCAAGAGTATTAAAATTATTATTTAGTTGACTAAAATACTCTTTGTTCTATTAATTTCTAAGGTTTAAGTGGAAGAGAAAGATTTTGTTCCAAAGTTATAAAATTGGTGTTTTTTCTTTATTCAATGAAAAGTCAATTATTTCTACTGTGTCCAAATCTGAAATTTTGAAAATAAATATTGATCATGATTGATGATTATTCCAGTTGCACAGGTACTAAATTATTGGGTAAACATTTTTTATATAGGCTTGTGCTGCACAAAATATAGTAGATTTGAAAACTTTAAAGAAGGGTTGAAAGCTCCAGACTATGCATGTCAAAGCTGGCATATGTACACAGTTGAAAAGATGTATGAACTTCTCTCTTTTTGATACAAGAACTTTTAATACTGATAAGGTTTACCCTGTGTAACATTTCCTCTTATTATTATTATATTATTATTATTATGACTGTTTCCTATCAACTATCACTTGAAATGTATTGGTTTAACTTATCAAGTATAACTTGAAGATGCATTTAGGTCCAGTTTATGCAGAATCAAATTTTAGCAGAAAAGATAGACATTTACTGGTTTTATTTTGTAATTACCACTTTTAGATAACTTTTGACCACTTTAACGAAGCTTCAAATTTTACCAAAAAAGTAAGGCTATAGGCTTAACAAATTTGCAATTTTTGATGGATTATTTTTCAGCCTAAAATGGGTCAAAATTACCATTAAATAAGTGAAAAGGTTGGAATTCACTGGTTTTATTTTGTAATTACCACTTTTAGATAACTTTTGACCACTTTAACGAAGCTTCAAATTTTACCAAAAAAGTAAGGCTATAGGCTTGACAAAATTTGCAATTTTTGATGGATTATTTTTCAGCCTAAAATGGATCAAAATTACCATTAAATAAGTGCAAAGATTGGAATTTACTGGTTTTATTTTGTAAATACCACTTTAAGATGACTTTGGACCACTTTAACGAAGCTTCAAATTTTACCAAAAAAGTAAGGCTATAGGCTTGACAAAATTTGCAATTTTTGATGAATTATTTTTCCGCATAAAATGGATCAAAATTACCATTAAATGAGTGCAAAGATTGGAATTTACTGGTTTTATTTTGTAAATACCACTTTAAGATGACTTTGGACCACTTTAACCGAGCTTCAAATTTTACCAAAAAAGTAAGGCTATAGGCTTGACAAAATTTGCAATTTTTGATGGATTGTTTTTCAGCCTAAAATGGATCAAAATTACCATTAAATAAGTGCAAAGATTGGAATTTACTGGTTTTATTTTGTAAATACCACTTTAAGATGACTTTGGACCACTTTAACGGAGCTTCAAATTTTACCAAAAAAGTAAGGCTATAGGCTTGACAAAATTTGCAATTTTTGATGGATTATTTTACAGCCAAAAATGGATCAAAATTACCATTAAATAAGTGCAAAGATTGGAATTTACTGGTTTTATTTTGTAAATACCACTTTAAGATGACTTTGGACCACTTTAACGAAGCTTCAAATTTTACCAAAAAAGTAAGGCTATAGGCTTGACAAAATTTGCAATTTTTGATGGAATATTTTTCAGCCTAAAATGGATCAAAATTACCATTAAATGAGTGCAAAGATTGGAATTTACTGGTTTTATTTTGTAAATACCACTTTAAGATGACTTTGGACCACTTTAACCGAGCTTCAAATTTTACCAAAAAAGTAAGGCTATAGGCTTGACAAAATTTGCAATTTTTCATGAATTATTTTTCAGCCTAAAATGGATCAAAATTACCATTAAATAAGTGCAAAGATTGGAATTTACTGGTTTTATTTTGTAAATACCCGTTTAAGATGACTTTGGATCACTTTAACGAAGCTTCAAATTTTACCAAAAAAGTAAGGCTATAGGCTTGACAAAATTTGCAATTTTTGATGAATTATTTTTCCGCCTAAAATGGATCAAAATTACCATTAAATAAGTGAAAAGATTGGAATTCACTGGCTTTATTTTGTAATTACCACTTTTAGATAACTTTGGACCACTTTAACGAAGCCTCAAATTTTACCAAAAAAGTAAGGCTATAGGCTTGACAAAATTTGCAATTTTTGATGGAATATTTTTCAGCCTAAAATGGATCAAAATTACCATTAAATAAGTGCAAAGATTGGAATTTACTGGTTTTATTTTGTAAATACCACTTTAAGATGACTTTGGACCACTTTAACGGAGCTTCAAATTTTACCAAAAAAGTAAGGCTATAGGCTTGACAAAATTTGCAATTTTTGATGGATTAATTTTCAGCCAAAAATGGATCAAAATTACCATTAAATAAGTGCAAAGATTGGAATTTACTGGTTTTATTTTGTAAATACCACTTTAAGATGACTTTGGACCACTTAAGCTTCAAATTTCACCAAAAAAGTAAGGCTATAGGCTTGACAAAATTTGCAATTTTTGATGGATTATTTTTCAGCCTAAAATGGATCAAAATTACCATTAAGTAAGTGCAAAGATTGGAATTTACTGGTTTTATTTTGTAAATACCACTTTAAGATGACTTTGGACCACTTAAGCCTCAAATTTCACCAAAAAAGTAAGGCTATAGGCTTGACAAAATTTGCAATTTTTGATGGAATATTTTTCAGCCTAAAATGGATCAAAATTACCATTAAATAAGTGCAAAGATTGGAATTTACTGGTTTTATTTTGTAAATACCACTTTAAGATGACTTTGGACCACTTTAACGAAGCTTCAAATTTTACCAAAAAAGTAAGGCTATAGGCTTGACAAAATTTGCAATTTTTGATGGATTATTTTTCAGCCTAAAATGGATCAAAATTACCATTAAGTAAGTGCAAAGATTGGAATTTTCTGGTTTTATTCTGTAATTACAACTTTAAGATGACTTTGGACCACTTTAACGGAGCTTCAAATTTTGCCAAAAAAGTAAGGCTATAGGCTTGACAAAATTTGCAATTTTTGATGAATTATTTTTCAGCCTAAAATGGATCAACATTACCATTAAATAAGTGAAAAGATTGGAATTTGCTGGTTTTAATTTGTAATTACAACTTTAAGATGACTTTGGACCACTTTAACGAAGCTTCAAATTTTACCAAAAAAGTGAGGCTATAGGCTTGACAAATTTGCAATTTTTGATGGATTATTTTTCAGCCTAAAATGGATCAAAATTACCATTAAATAAGTGCAAAGATTGGAATTTACTGCTTCTATTTTGTAAATACCACTTTATGATGACTTTGGACCACTTTAACGAAGTTTCAAATTTTACCAAAAAAATAAGGCTATAGGCTTGACAAAATTTGCAATTTTTGATGGAATATTTTTCAGCCTAAAATGGATCAAAATTACCATTAAATAAGTGCAAAGATTGGAATTTACTGGTTTTATTTTGTAAATACCACTTTAAGATGACTTTGGACCACTTAAGCTTCAAATTTCACCAAAAAAGTAAGGCTATAGGCTTGACAAAATTTGCAATTTTTGATGGATTATTTTTCAGCCTAAAATGGATCAAAATTACCATTAAGTAAGTGCAAAGATTGGAATTTACTGGTTTTATTTTGTAATTACAACTTTAAGATGACTTTGGACCACTTTAACGAAGCTTCAAATTTTGCCAAAAAAGTAAGGCTATAGGCTTGACAAAATTTGCAATTTTTGATGAATTATTTTTCAGCCTAAAATGGATCAACATTACCATTAAATAAGTGAAAAGATTGGAATTTGCTGGTTTTAATTTGCAATTACAACTTTAAGATGACTTTGGACCACTTTAATGGAGCTTCAAATTTTACCAAAAAAGTAAGGCTATAGGCTTGACAAATTTGCAATTTTTGATGGATTATTTTTCAGCCTAAAATGGATCAAAATTACCATTAAATAAGTGCAAAGATTGGAATTTACTGGTTTTATTTTGTAATTACAACTTTAAGATGACTTTCGACCACTTTAACGGAGGTTCAAATTTTACCAAAAAAGTAAGGCTATAGGCTTGACAAAATTAACAATTTTTGATGAATTATTTTTCAGCCTAAAATGGATCAAAATTACCATTAAATAAGTGAAAAGATTGGAATTTGCTGGTTTTATTTTGTAATTACAACTTTAAGATGACTTTGGACCACTTTAACGAAGCTTCAAATTTTACCAAAAAAGTAAGGCTATAGGCTTGACAAATTTGCAATTTTTGATGGATTATTTTTCAGCCTAAAATGGATCAAAATTACCATTAAATAAGTGCAAAGATTGGAATTTACTGGTTTTATTTTGTAATTACAACTTTAAGATGACTTTCGACCACTTTAACGGAGGTTCAAATTTTACCAAAAAAGTAAGGCTATAGGCTTGACAAAATTAACAATTTTTGATGAATTATTTTTCAGCCTAAAATGGATCAAAATTACCATTAAATAAGTGAAAAGATTGGAATTTGCTGGTTTTATTTTGTAATTACAACTTTAAGATGACTTTGGACCACTTTAACGAAGCTTCAAATTTTACCAAAAAAGTAAGGCTATAGGCTTGACAAATTTGCAATTTTTGATGGATTATTTTTCAGCCTAAAATGGATCAAAATTACCATTAAATAAGTGCAAAGATTGGAATTTACTGGTTCTATTTTGTAAATACCACTTTATGATGACTTTGGACCACTTTAACGAAGTTTCAAATTTTACCAAAAAAATAAGGCTATAGGCTTGACAAAATTTGCAATTTTTGATGGAATATTTTTCAGCCTAAAATGGATCAAAATTACCATTAAATGAGTGCAAAGATTGGAATTTACTGGTTTTATTTTGTAAATACCACTTTAAGATGACTTTGGACCACTTAAGCTTCAAATTTCACCAAAAAAGTAAGGCTATAGGCTTGACAAAATTTGCAATTTTTGATGGATTATTTTTCAGCCTAAAATGGATCAAAATTACCATTAAGTAAGTGCAAAGATTGGAATTTACTGGTCTTATTTTGTAAATACCACTTTAAGATGACTTTGGACCACTTTAACGAAGCTTCAAATTTTACCATAAAAGTAAGGCTATAGGCTTCACAAAATTTGCAATATTTCATGGGAGATTTTAGGACTAAAACGGATAAAAACGCAATGAAATGAAGGAAAAGACTGGAATTTACTGATGATAATTGATAATAATCACTTTAAGTTGCATTTGGACCACTTTTACGCAGCTTTAATTTTTGATGGAAAAAGAGGTTATAGGCTTTAGAAAAATCGCAATATTTTAAGGGAAATTTTTCAGTCCTAAAATGAATGAGAACACAGTAATTTACTGGATTTATTTTATAATCGCCATTTAGGGATGACTGTGGATTACTCTAAAGGAGCTTCATATTTTAGTAGAAAAGGAAGGCTATAGATTTTTCAGGCTAAAGTAGGTCAAAAACGCATTAGAATGAAAGTAAAAAAAGGAATTTACTTGTTTTATTTAATTATTTTCACTCTAAGATGCATATGGAGCACTTAAACGCAGATTCGAATTTTAGTAGAAAAGTAAGGCTATAGGCTTGACAAAATTTGCAATTGTTGATGGTGGATTTTTCAAACGAAAACTGATCAAAAACGCCATAAAATGAATGAAAATACAGGGATTTGCTGGTGTTATTCAATAATTATCATTTTAAAATGACTTTGGACCATTTTTAGGCAGCTTTAAATTTTGGCAGAAAAGTAAGGCCCTAGGGCCTAGGCTTTACAAAAAATTGCAATTTTCTGACGGGCGATTTTTCAGCCTTAATGAAATGAACTTGATTGATAAATTGATTTATGAAACTAATAGATGAAGCATGATTGGAAAACTCTTTGAAGACAGCCCTGTTTTAATGCCCTTTTCAAAATTTTTTCAAAAGTTAACGTATTGTCGCTGAATGGCTTGATTATGGTGGAAAATTGATTTTGAGAAAAAGAAGAAGGCAGGGACCAGAAAATCTGTCCTATTGGATGTGAAATTTCGTATGAAACAAAAGTGGTGAATGATAAATATGGTTGTAATATTAACTCAACTATAGTATTTCACAACAAGAGCACAATATAATTCTATACTTAACAACATTGTAAAGCGATAAAAAATTAAGGACAGAAATCTAACAACCGTTTTTACATAAAATACCTTATGGTAATACAACTATGCCGAAAATTCGTTCACCTTTTTAAATACTTTTGTCTAAAGTAATGTGAACTCTAACTTCAATGGTTAAACCTTATCATAATATAAAATTTGCTCAAAAGATTGTTGTGGCATTTGTTTTAATAGGAGACCACTATAGCGCTTTATAGCAAGGCTTTTCAGATATCCTGCTAAATTAAAAGCTCTTTCCCTTGTCAATGAAAAGGCTGATCATCAGCTCCATATTATTGTCTCTGATAATCCAATGAATTGTTAAAGCAAATTATTTTCTAGATGGTGTGGCCACCCCGTCTGAACTGTAGAACTTGCCTACCTGGTAAGAATCTGGTTTTTCAGAGTGTTTAGAGAGAGAGGAATAAGTAGGTGCTGAAAACCTAATACTGTTGAAAACTGTAACAGAAGGTTTTTCCAGTTCATGAAAAAAGTTGGAAATAGATCGCTTTGACTACGGAATCTGATTTTCAAACAAATAAAAGAAAACGCCTTCGACGACAGAGCTCGACACTGTGATGTGCTATGACATATTCGGCTATCAGTTCCTGTCGGGTGGAGAAAGTGCGTCTGGTTTTAAGCTGGCGAAGCCTTTTTGTGTAATCTTGACTGAGTAACTGCTTTTTTCGTTTCTTCAAATGATTAAAATGGGCGTCTATATTTATTCAGGTTGGGTAAACAAAAATGATAAAATTTAATAACCTTGATAAGAAAGTATGCCATGATTTGAGAACCTGGCAAGCTAAAAGTCATTTTATGATATTATTTAAGGAATCTTAAAATAAATAGGCTTTTGTTCTGTTGAGTATCATGTCTATATTGTGTAAACATGATGGCTGAAAAAAACAGTTCACTGTAGCTGAATCAAGTGAGCAAGGAATGCGCGTTGTGCCTCACAACCCTAAATCTAGATGGTTGATATCTTTAAAAGTATCATTAAATTAGTATTGTTTACGTAAGTATCATTAAGTTTTTCAACATCGATAAAATCATTCACAGATTTAAAACTGTGACCTTGATAACATTATTCTTTGTTTAATCTGCACTAGTCAACGAAGACATATATAACAAAACTAATCTTTGACAGGCGTAAATGTGTAACTTGTGCTTTGAAATGAGTTCTTTTTGCCATCGTTACTCATACCTGCGCTCTGCATGCCTGCAGCAAGGGGTGACGGAGGAGCAACATATCTTGGTTTCAAAAAGGGGAAACCTTGATGATTTTTGCTATCGTAAAAAAATGGCGATGCTGTGCTATTTACAATAATAGGGCTGATTGTTGTTGGTGTCATTGTGCTGGAGTTTGACGTGTCACTGCCCGAATCATCATCAAATGACAACGGTAGCGAATCGAATGTGTGTAGGTCGGGTGATGAGCAGGAGGAGGCGCTGCTTGTAGATATTTGTGTACATAATTTCTTTTGAGGCATCATTGGCTGGTCGTCGTCATCAGGATCAACTATTAATGTAACGGAAACCAGCAATACATTAAAACGGCCACTGAACGTATGAATGTGCCCCTACTTCCGGATCACTTTAAAACGGTACACAGAAAAGGTTTGCACGAAAAAGAGGCGGCAATGTGCTGATTTCGCGCCGGCAAAAAACGTGGACAACATCCTGCGCTGAAGCGACTTTTCTGTTTTCTATTCTTTATTGGGTGATTTTTTTCCAAAGAAATGACTATTTTCCACACCAACTATACAATACACTAACAAATATATATCACAAATGGTAATATTGAATTATAAGTAAAACAATAGGAACCTACTTTTTCTCTTTGAAGTGAAGGCGCTCTGCCTAAGACCGTTTGGGCTGAGACTTCTCCTAAAAATACAAAAACCGTATTTTAATATAAACAGGCTTGTCGAACAATAACAAAGAGCTTTGGTGGTAATATGGGCAACTCCCTCTAGCTAGAGCAACCCTAGGGCAATGCCAGTTTAACTCAAATTACGTCTTGGAAGTTTGATGGAAGACATCCTTCGCTTCCCATCTTGGAGGGGAAACCCACAGGGTGCCATTGTCAGTAGGCTAGGCAGATATAACAACCTACAGGATTGACATAAAGAAGAAAAGTTGGCTTGTTCTTAAAAGATATTTCTATGATACTTCCGTGCAACGAACCATAAATTAGGTCATCGGAGGGTATTAATTTAATGACACTTTTTGAAATGACAAGCCAATTTGAAAAAGGTCCAGACACAAAAAATGACTGTGTTTTGTACTATCCTATTTTAATATATTTATAAAAACCATTCTACAATATCTTTAGTCATAAGAAAATCTATATCTCTCTGAATAAAACTAGCCTGGACAGATAAAGAAAAACACTTGGTACTAGCAGGTAATACAAGGCTTGATAACAACAGATAAAATAACAAGACAAAACCGAAGTAACTTACCTGAATGTCCGACATTTGGGACTGTTAGGAAGAGGTCCCGGACTAGGTGTCAAACTTCGGGCACGTGTAAGCTGCAGAAACAAAAGTAATACTTCATCAGTATGAAGTTATTTTGGGAAATATTGTTTGTTTTCAGTAAAAATCACAGATCTCGCAGTCATTCTCTACAGAAAATGATTGTTTAAGAAAAAAATAATTGTACCTTTGCTTTAAGATTAATGTATAGTAATTTACAAGAGTGCAGTCGATAACAGTGTAGATAATATGGTATGCTGAGATACTAGGATGATTGTTTACTTGTCTGTTGTACAGTGCTTGGTGCCGTGAAGAGATAGCTCTACATGCAAAGCTGGTGTGTAGAACAAATCAGTTTTAAGTTGCTACCCCATGTTTCGGGCTTAATTCAATCATCACGCAACACGCTTAACGCGATCATCACGCAACATGCTTAATGGGATCATCACGCAGCTTGAAACTTGTAGTAGCAACTTAAGCCTCTCTTGTTGTACACGATAGTGCTAATAAAAGATATTGCTAAGCTTGAAAAGTCGATAGCATCGGCGGTCACTTCGTCGGACTCTTTATGACGGGCTAATGAATTGAGATGGATCTTTTGACCAAGCTTTTAGAAGGCCGATGAAATTATGCCTTTAAAGGCAGATCTATCCGATGGGTAAAATTTCCTTTGAAACAACAAAAATATAATTGCTACTGGCTAATGTGATTTGCAGAATATAAGCATAGCACCATTGTGGATAAAAGAATCTGTCGTACTTTTCAGAGATGCAAAATTAACGAAAATATTACCCTTTGTTCGCATGGCAACCGATTGGGTGAGGGTGAAGCGACAGGAGAAGAAAAAGCACTCTTTGCTTCCTCGTTGTTGTCTCTTTTTTCGTCAGTCAGACTGAACGATTTTTCCGTCTACAAGGAAATAATTACCATACTCTAAAGAAATGGTTTTGCACGACTGCTAGGTTGAAATCTGAGAATCCTCGGAAAATACATGTTCAAACAAGCAACACTGGTTAAATCAATCATAGGTATGACTTAATGTTCATTAAAAAGAATCATTTCATAAAAGGGAACGTTGAAAAAAAGCCCTAAAATCATGCGGAAATATTGGTAGGTTTTCGAAGAGTAGAAGAATAAACAACGAGAAAAAGCCAAAACAGCCTAATTCTACATATCTCACATCCCTCCGCTTGGCATTTTAGGAAATTAAGACATTTAAAGATTGATATGAGTAAGAACAGGGTGGGGGATGGTGGGAATTTAAGGGGACAAACCATTTTAAATTGACAAGCAATCCTGTCGGTAGAAATTAATTTAGAAAGTCCAGCGACGCGAATGAATAAACCTTAATCACCAGGAAAACATATCTAAATCATCACAAGTAAATCTCAAAGGTTGATAAGACATAAAAGACATTATAATCACAAAAATTAACACAACAATGACAAAAACAGCGCGAATAGAACCGTACCAGTAAACTCATTCCGCCCCAACTTTGGCTTAGCTGAATTTCTGAAGTCACGTTTCTGAAAAAAGAAATGAAACATGCAGATTGTAATCATAAAATTATGCAGATAGCTCTCAGTAGTGCGAAAATAACATTATTATATCAGTCGGCGATAAAGATAGATATGTTCATACAATGCAAGGAAAACTAATGTGGTTCTGTTTTACTCAAGGTTCCAAAACCTAAAAACCAATGGCGCGAAGGTCATCTAGGAAAAAGAGGAGAAGGAGGGAAGAAGGCAACAATCCTAGCTCCGGTCAACCTTTTTACCGACTACTGTCATTTTATGTTTGACGCAAAAAGGAACGCGAAAGTGATCCAATGGTGGCTCTAGAACCCAGAGTACCTCCTGCCAATAAAAAAGGGTAGCATTTTCCTAGGTCCTTTAGTACATGTGAAAATGGTCAGCAGATTGGCACGGGATGGTTCAATTTGAATTCAGACACTATTAAACGGTAAGAAAATACTTCTAGAAAATATGTAAGTCTAGAGAAGCGTGGTGACATGTGTTCGATATAATCTGAAATATTGATACTAATTCAACACAACAAATCTTACTGAAAGCTCGCCTTATGAAATCTGTTTGTTTAAGCATTTTGATGTCCACAATTTTGGTTGAATATTCCCCCAGTTCGGTTAGCTAAAAGATGAGAGGGTAAGGAGCGATGCTCGGCAGCCCGATAGGATTTGTGACGTCAACTTTTGGTTACAACTACAAAGCGCAATTTTCACGTCCAGCTGAGTAAGAAACGTCTAATTACAAGTGTGTTAATTGTGAAAGAATTGAATTCATTGTATGACTTGGTTGAAAAGTAAATAAAAAGTAGAAGATACGGGTGGACTGGCCTGTGTGCGGTAGCCAGGAAAAAACACCAAAATACGTCCTTAAACATCCAATCATGGATCCGATTCAGGAAACATTCTGGGCGCCTGGTAATTCATAACTGAATAAATTAACCCCAAGATTCAAGTAATTTTAGTTTCAGGATGTAGGATTCAAGCTGCTACGGGATCCTAAATTCTAGATCGTACAGAGGTCAAGAAAGCCCGTAATTAGTTTTTGTTAATCAACAAAAAATTGAGTTTTGTGTGTCACAGAAACAACCCTGTTCATGTTTCTTTACGAAAAATAAAGAAATAGGTTCAGTGATAGCTAAGCCAGCATCCTTAGAGACCAAATGAATAGCAGGAAACTTGGTTTGAGAAGGTAAAAGCATATATCGAACTATCAGTGTGGGTTGCTCGTTAAAACTAGGCTGGCGGAAATGATCGCACTCTTGACCGAAAACTGCACCAAATGTGAATAAATACACACAAGTAAAAGTTTTCTGTGCGAGTAATACAAGTTGATGATGCTTTAAAGATTCGCTGAGGTCATGAAGCATAGAATGATAAGTAGGCATGGATTTAGATTTGGTACGTTTCCAGGGGTGCCACATTTTGCTTATTAGCATAGATGGGCGTTTCCCAAGGCTAGCACGTCAGTAGCCACATTTATTGACAGCCAAATGCCTCGCTGGACGTAAAGCCACAAGATAGGCTCGACACCGGTATCGGCAGGTTTGGCTAGGCAGAAAGGCGAGAATCGAGCGGCATTAACTCGCCAAACGGTTGATTTCTAATGATTGATCTCTATTTTTTTCATCTGTAACTGACATTTTCCGAGCTTTTCAAGGGGCAAAGTAAAATTCCTTCGTTATTCAATAAAACAGTATTTAAGGCAGGAAAGTGGATATGGTTCCCCTTTCTTAAACAAAGTACTTAACTCCGAAGAGTTAGAAATTGCCACATCTGCCTTTTCGTTTTAGATTCCCATTCTTTAAGAATTCCCGCAATTGGTTGCGGGGGAGCGATAGCCATGTCCTGTCCTTTGATGTTTCTTGCAAAGCTAATTTGCACCACTTGTTCAACCAACGACAAGAAGGGTGATAACCATGTTGAGTAATATTCAAAGCCTCTTTAAAAGGGAATCATCTTGGAGTCAAGCCATTGTTTGTATCAGGAGAAGGACAAAAGTCTATTGTTTTAAACAATGAAAAATCACAGGGGGTGGAGTGGCAACTGTCCTCTAGTTTCAATTTTGTTAAAAAGAGACCCTAGCAATAATATTTGAGCTTTATTTTGTAGAATTGTCCCTTAAGAAAATTATCTTTGTATTAAGTAGGTTGCTTGCAATGAATGGTCGTTTCATTAGGTGGGCTATTTGATAAACATATATTCAAGCCCACATTCTTATAAATATTCAGCAGTGCTAAAAACCCACCTTTAATGATACAATGTTTAACTTGAATGGTATTTATACCACTTTTGACTCACAACGGTACTAGATAAATGACAGTCACAAATGCAGAGCATAATTGTACATGCAGAGGAGCTTTCCCTAACAGCATTGAATCGTGTATAAATTTAGCAATATCTCAAGTATCACTTTCTTCTCTTGGCAATTCTTTGAAAATTATCTAACATTGCTTTATTGGACTAAAATAAAGGCAGTGATTTTTATAGGTTGATTCGAATTGAGCTTGTTTCCTAACAAAGGTTATACTTTGTTACAGGTGGTCGTTTGAACAGATTTCACTATGCATACTTGTTCAGCTTTGATTTCAGATAATTTAGATTTAAAAAAAGGCCTATTCAAGACGGATGCAAAAAATAAATAAGTAGATTACCTTTCACTAAGAGCTTCTCGTGTCATTTCATCCATACTTTCTTCCTGCAACATAAAAGAGCTTGTGATAAAAACGTGCGCTAAATTGGGAAAAAGGACAGCTTTAAAAGGATAAAAGAAATCACAAAAAAGATTATATTTCTGGACGATACAAATAGATACGGTTCTGCAGTGCAGAAAAAAAAGTTTCGTATAACTCTTGACATAATGTTATGGGCTTTTGACAGACTTTAGAAGTTTGCATATACTTGAATCTTAGAATTAAAACCAGGGACAACATGCGGCTTCAATCGAGACTAATTGGTATTTAATACGTTTGCGCTACTTGTGATGGGACACATTTCAAAGGGCCATTCATATCTCAAAAAATGACAATAAGGTTTCAGTCAAAAGAAACAAATTATAATATACTCAGTTTTAGAAAGCAATTTTTGATCTGTCTAAATGGTTTATTTAGAGTTAAAAACATTTCGTAAACGATATCAGAACATTAACTAGAAAACAGATTTTTGAAAATAGTGAGTTGATAGTTTTGTCCCAGGCTGCCAGACTCTCATTCATATTTTCTTCAAGAAAAGCATGCTGATTTTCACCTGCTTCATCAAATATCATTGTCTATACACATCTTAAATCAAATGGAGGCTTCAAGAAATTTGTTTCTTTTTATTTCATTTAAATTATAAAGTTGAAGACGTGATACGTGAAGAGGATTTTGAAACATTGCTTCTGATTTGATAGACAACAATAAAGCAACAAATTTCAATGAGAAATTTCTCATAAAGATAAAACTTGTCTTTGAAAAGTCGTGAATCGCTTGAATTCGCTAAAAGCATCAGATGAATTTGAGCAGAGACAAGCATGCTTCAATTCAAAAAATGGTTTTTATGAGTGCGTGCTCCTTTAAACACATGGCCATAGGAAGACCACCTCTATGAGAGATGAATCAGCAAAAATATGGATGGCCTAGCCTTCGTCGTTCCAGGGAGACCATGCGTGATAGTGTTTTCGTTTAATACGCATGCGCTTTCACAGCAAAGATGAAGGATGGATTATTTTTACTTGCTCGTCTCACTAAAATTACAGCGATGCAGATTCAGTTGTATAAATGATCAATAAAAAATGGGACGAACCTGCTTCAGCTGACTTATTCTTGATGCAGGTGATCCAATAGGCTGTTGAGAAATACAGAGAATAATCAAGTGGCGTCCAAAAACGCAGCGAGATTCGTGCTTTAATTAAGTTGTCGAAAAAGCATCCGAAATTGTACTTATAACACTTTACTTTGACTTGCTATTGGCTATTGGTATTTACTTGCTTGTCAAGGGAGTTCACTAAAAGGAGGAAATTTATACGTGGGAAGATACGGTTTTAATATAAAAACAAGTTATCAGTTAAAAATGAAAATTATTGAAGCAGACTTCTAGCCGTATATCCCTAAAAGCAAACTGGGTTTAATAAGTGCGGTTTTGTTAGCAACAGTGTTGAAAACCTGAAAACTGTTTATAATGCCCCAAGTCTATGAGAAACACATCTCCATAAACTTTATGGTCCTAAGTTCTTTGAGCCTGATTTCGACAACTCGTCTGTTTAGCTTATTGGGATTTATTGTAGTGCTCATGAAGGCTATTTGGGAATTGCCAAGACTATCCTGGTTCTGCAATACTCCGTTAAAAAACGATGTCATAAAGTCATGTGAATGGATAACAGTTGGCAGTATGTTGAGGCAAGTTGAAAAGCTTTTGATGCCATGAACATCGATGGGCATATGCGAGCAATAAACCCCTTGACAATGCAGTGCCAAAACCGACCTTAGGTACAGCCTACGCCAGAAAGGTGTCTATCCTCGTTTGAGCATTACCCTTAAGCTCCCAAAACCTTTCTCTAAAAAAAGATGAAGAAGGTGGGATTTGGTTTTGACACTTCAGACCCTTGGCTACTTTTGGCCATCTCACGATCACCTGTGTCAGCTATATTTCCCGGTCTTTTGCCTCATTTCATTTCACAATCCTTGGCCTCATTGATTTAAGGTATCAAAGCCTCCCCCCTTCGCCTAGCAATTGCCAACCTGTGAACTAGGAATATCTCTCCGCATAGAAATTTCGTAAAATAATATGGAAAGCAGCCCATGGAGATTACGATAACGAGGTCTTTCTTGGAGAAAGGTAGTTTGCTGTTTGTGTTAATAACCAAGGGTGCAGCAGTTGCAACTGCTTAGAGTGGAGAATCTGCACTGAAGACTAATGCTTTCACGTTGGTAATTCGTCAGCCCTTAACCCGTGGCCTTTTGTCTTTAGCCTGCTTCACATCAACTTAATGTCCCCTTTTGTCTAATCACCTTTATATCAGAAAAAGTAAAAATAAATTAAGGGACCAGTCATAATTAATGTTGGGGAGTGGGGCGGAAGATGGAAGAGTGCAGTCCTTTCCTTGGCCCCCCTCAAATTAATTTAGCTACAATCCCCGCAAATCTAAAAATAATTTCTAAGCCCCCCCCCCCCTGCACAACATCGAAAGACAACACATTTTCTGTTAAAAATAGCACAGAGAGAATTGAGGTGGAGACTACAACAGAAAACTGATGCATATGAGGCTCGGTTTTCAGAGGCAAAAGATGGCAACTGACAGAACGTAAAAAAATTTTTGGGCAGTAGGGGATCATGGGCAGCTTTCAGTGAAAGACCAGTACCAGCTGAAAAACCCCTGCAGTTCCTTGAAAATGTTTTGAGCAAAGTCGAGATCTTCATGGCAGAAATCAAAACATTGAAAGCAAAACTTTTTGAGAAAGACATTAACATTCAGCCATGGAAAGCAAATGAGTTATCCTTCTATTGTAGTTTGATAAAGAGGTCTGATTTTTTGCAAGGGAAGTTTATTAAAGGTAAAGGGTCATGTTGTCTTAAACCTAGCCATGCTAGAAAAAAGAGCTGGATTTAGTGTGCTCGGCTAAAAATTTGACAATGCCAAAGCACAATGCTGTACAATGGAGAACAAGAGAAAGAGCAAGAAAAGAATAGTTGTACATGCTCTGAGAAGCTATTTGTCGTTAATTGGTGTCATGCCATTCTTCCAGGAGAGAAAAGTGAAGAAGTCAAGATGAAAATTGAGATAGGAGATTTTTCACTCAATATTACAACAGTACAGACTAGTTCATTGAGCAGCAAAATACACATAGCTGGCCTCAGGTTTTTGCTAGGAAAGGGTGTGATGACAGATCAGGCAAAATTATTTGCAGAAGATCAATTGTGAAAGATGGTGTGTGTAACAGTGGCAAGAAAGGAAAGCTGTACAAAGAAGGGAAAGGGGGAAAGCAGCTGACAATCCTTGCAGCTTTTGGGGCAAACAAAACTCAGCAGTCAGATTCAAGCTCTGAATCAAGTGACAATGACATAGATTCATAACTGATTAACCACAACTGTTATAACTCTAATTATGAATGTTCACTAGAAGTATGTTTTCAATTTTTATAGTTATGACCGTTAATAGCTTAATCGATTTCATTGACTAAAATTTTTCATGCTCCCCTCTTTTTTACTATTAATTTATTTAGCCCCCCCCTTGAAAGTAGCAAGATTATAGATGGCCCCCTCAATATCTTCTGCCCCACCCCCACCATTAATAAGACTGGTCCCTAAAATAAAAAATAGATAATAATTGTGATTGATGCTATACGAGAAATCTAGCTAGCTATAAATTTGCCTTTCTGAGCCAAATTTGCTCAGAAGTGGGTTGGGGGTGGGGGTGTGGTGGGTGGTGTTGGTTGTAACTTCAATAGGCAGTAAATGGGGGTGTGCCAAATTGAAATAAGAAAACATACCCTAAATTTAAATCTAAATACATACTCTTAAATTGAATTCAAATTTGCAAAAATCAAACAACTCAATCAAAAAATGAAAACATTTTACCTTTCTTATAAAAATGATACCCCAAAATTTAAGGCCATGCTAAAAATCATACCCAAAATAAACCCATGTTTGATTTTACCAAAACCGATACCCCCAAAATTCCTTTTTTTTCTTGAAAAATGGTACCCCACAAAACGGCACACCCCCTATCAAGGAGAAGAACACACATTGGTGACACATGCTTCATTGAAACAGAGAAAATAGGCTGGAAGAGTTCTAGGGAATTGTGTCATATCTAAAAAGTTGGAAAACCTCTAAAACAACATAAATGTTCCGATGGCCTGTAACTCTTTCTTACAAAGCTTTCAAAAGCTTGCCAAAAAGTCTATTTACTCTCACATGGTTTAGAAGACTTGACTAAAAGATAGACAAAGGTTTGTACACTTCTTTGGTTTTTCAGGAAAACCCCTTGACCACATCTATTTGTATTGTAATTTCCATCCCGCCAAGTAAAGTTATAAATATAACTTTCATATAACAATCATGCTAAATTTATCTTAGAGCTGCCTTACTTTGTAACATATTTAAGAAAAATCAGCCTGGCAATGATGCCAACACTGCCATGCATTTTCATGTCAGGGGAGAACCGTCAACAAATCAAGACTATTTTCTACCATAGGCACCTAACTTTATGATTAATCTAAAAAGCAAAATCATCTAGCAACACAACAGAGCAAGAAAAGCTTTTTTAACAGAAGGTCATGATGTTTTCATGTCACAGAAGGTGATGGGCTAACATGGTGTGATTTCGTTTTCAAAAACTTCAGTAACCAAAATTTAAAGCCTGCTGCTAGCAAACTGTCATGTTTATGATTCACAGAAGAGCTCATACTGAAAAACCAGAAAATGGATAATAAATATACCAAGAATCCATCACATAAAAACAGAGAGTATGGAGGTTTTGGCTTGTCCATTTGAGCTTGAATTTTTTATGGCAAGCTGCATACTTTTGTTAATGCCTTACGTAAATAGTTCTTCAATTGTAACACCATAAACAAGCAAATGATACAAGTAAGTCAGTTGTGGCTATCAAAAATAACAGAATAAAAGAAGTGAAATTAATATAACCAGATATGTTTAGCTGATCATTTTATCTTTGTGTAAAAAAATGAATAAATTAATGAATCACATTAATAGAAAAAAGCTGAAAGATGCCTTTTTAATTGGTCCTCCTTTCTGGGATCTCCAAGTTTTATCAACACATGATAACATTTCACCTTTACTATATACAAATACAAAGCTGTTTTCTGGATAAGGTAGGGATGTTTAAGCCTTAATGACCATGTGTTTTATTGTTGGTGTGAGTTTCTACGGAAATTCATTCTGCCCCACTAGAAATTGATGAAAGCCATAGAATTCAATTTGATACTGATGCGGTTGAATGCACAAAACGGTGATTTTGATATAAATGAATGTAAGCCTTAGTTCAGAGAGGTTCAAAAGGTCTTATAGTGAGCAAATAAGAAAAAAGCAAAACATCTAGTTATGTTGAAGAAAATTGGACCTAATGGTAATTTTGTGATAAAAATGAAGACAAGCAACATCAAGCAATAAAAAGTCCATGAGTAAACCATAAAAGATAAAACATATTAAAATCTCAGATCCATCTTAATCTCTAAACAATGATTACCAAATATGTTGACTCAAAAGATGAACAAAGATTAGTTTTTGAAACTAAATCAAAACAAAAAACCTTCAACTTGTTTTTCTACACAAAACATGTTCAAATCATGAAAGACAAAAATTTTGTGACAATTTCTCTTGCAGGAATTAAATTTGCAACAGAGTAATGTTTAGATAGGACTGCATTACTGGAATCGAGTCAGAGGAAAATGACAATGAGGGAGAACCCCAGAAGAATCTTTGATGCATTTCGTCAAGCAAACTGAAATATTTTTGACCAGATTGAAGCAAATTTGAAAAAAGGGATTCATGGGCTAGGTTGTCCTGCATTAACAAGGAAGGAATGGTTAATGTTCGACTGTCCTAGCAATCAACATCAGCTTATTTTGGGAATTAAGCAAATTTTTCAGCCATGGTTCTCTGGCAGCTGATATGCAATTTTGGTCAACCAAACTGATGCCGAGTGCACTTTGGAGAGCAATAAATGTGCACTGACAAGCGTTGTAATAGATGTGAAAATAACATGTTAACATGAAACTTTTTTAGCAGTAATGGAAAGGATGCAATGGATAAAACAAGAAACAGCACTTCAAAGGATGATGAGTATAAATGAAGGATATGGTTGGCTTTTCCTAGGAATAAAGCCTGATCTAAATTCAACAAAGATGGGCATCATTGGTTATATCAAAGAGACTAGGTTACTGAAACTCTTGGCTACATGTCGATAAAATGTTAATATTTCAAAAACATATCAAACCGATAACAGATCATAGACAGTTTTCATTCATTTCAGTTGATGGAGGATTTGAAAGGAGGAAAACGAACTTATGTCACGATGATCCTTAATATGGTATGAGCTGTTATCTGTAAAGATGTTATAAAGGCAGAATGGAGAAACTTGAAACAAGACAAAATTGATAAGGATTTGAGAAATACGCTCCATGGTGCTCCGAAAGTTTTTTGCCGATTGAAAAACGGACCCAATTACAAACTCCATCATGTTTTGATTTCAATTTTCGAATTTTTACCCACAAAACCATACACTTAGAAAGTGGCAACAACAAGTTTGTTCCATATGCAGAGATCAACTCCGTCCTTCACGTACCTGCTGAAGCCAATTGGACGGATTGCCAGGGTGACTTTTCCATCAGAAAAAAGTATTAGGCCGATGTGCGCAGATATAAAATTGAAAATTAAACTATAAAGGGCTTTTTCTAGAGAGGCATAGATGTTGAAATCACTGCTAGATTTGCGTCACTTAAAATAAAATATAAAGAGAGATATTTCGAAAAAACGTACGGTAATTACGTGTGGGGATCGATCCAGTGTAGCTTGATTGTACATGGAAGCTGAGAATGTTCGGGTCCTTCCTGTCCTTGGTTTCTCGATTGCTATGCTATAGTCAACTGATTTGACATTATTAATCATTGGAGATGAGTTCCATCTTCTAAGACTAGTATTTGAGCAATGAGAGCCGACTGAATCTTCATCTGTTTCCATTTTGGAAAACCTTGTCCCTTCTTCGAACGCCATTCTAATTTTCTCTGTTTTGTTAGGAAGCCTGCAACGCAGCCTTAAATTTGTGCTACTGCGGAGGACATTTATCAGCAGCGTTTAGGGAGGTCTGAAGAGGAAAGAGATTTTAAATTTTTTCATTTAAAACGCCATTAAAACCTGAGAGGAACATAAAAATATAAAAATGAGATATCTATACAATTAAAGGAGCTTAACCAAAAGAAGAAAAATACTTGTAATACTTTTTTAAAGCTTCTAAAAGTTTTAATTTATTCCTGCTTCAAGCTTCCAGCGGAAAAATATTAAAAATATTGCTTCCATGAAGATAAACTTTTCCTGGGATATACTGTTTTAATTCTTGGCAATTTAATCATCTTTTTTGTTGTTTCTCATGTTTGTATAATGTGAGGACAAAGTAAAGTATTATTTTTAGTTTCGACTAGCAACGATTTGAAATATACAGGACGCCATGATGTCGAGGCGGTTGTCTTGCTAACGAAGATGTCTTCTTGCAAAAAGCGTGAACATGTTTTTAATTAAAAAGTGAGCTTGTGTACAAAGGCACTTCTCCCGGACCAGGATCATCGCAGCCGAACAAAGTTTCCAAGCGATTAAGAGATCTATACATCATTGTTATGAATAACATAGGTTCACAACACGATCGAGGATTAATGTAGTTCGGCGTCTTGTACGTCGAGTAAGTAATAAAAACAAATTAATATGGAAAAAGTACAACTTCGTACATGAAATTGTAATATTATTGCGACTTTTAGAACATTAATCTTCATCAGGTCACAATTAAAGTACAACTTTCAGTTTTTAATAGTACATTGATCGTTTGCATTCCTAAAGCTTGAGATGTTGTTTAATGGTGGACGATAAAATTGGATCTCCTGGAAATTTTGTTGGTGCTCAGGGCACAGCAGCGGCTTAAAGTGCAGAATAAATTCCGAAATTTAAATTTTCCGTATCGATCCGAAAAAACACCAAATTGGCTAAAATCGCTAAAATATGGCGACGCAAAAAAGTCGGCCTAAGATGTAAACAGAAGACACATTCAGATATCTGCATGTCAAACATATTGTTGCAGATAACAGTGCCGTTTAATGTTAAAAACTACTTTGAGTGAATTTGCAAAATAAAACAGCAATTTAAAAAAGTTTCTCAGCTTTTTAAATTCATGTAGGTTGCCCCTATGGTTTCCTTGAAGATGTTCTTTTAAAAAATGGATTGGATCTCCTGGAAAGTTTGTCTGGAAAGGGCACAACCTGTAGTGAAAAAGACAAATATACATTGAAGATGGGAAGGAATCGTCAAGCTTTTTTTCTTTAACTACAGATACAATTGTCCAACAGTGGCTTTAAATGCAGAATATTTTTCCCGAACACAAATGTCAAAAATATATAATGGCTTAAGTCGCAAACTTTGCATGTAAAGTTTTTAAAGTTAAAGTAGCACCAAAAATTCAACAATGTTACTTACAACTTAAGTATTGGGCTTATAAAAACAGAAATTATGAAAACAGAAAAATGAAACTTTGCTAGAAAAATGGCCCGACAATTAAAGAAACTGCCTGCCAGCCACAGACCTTGGTTTCTTAAAAATGTTTCGTGTATTCAATGCTGAGTTTACGGCTGGTGGGGTAGGGCGTTGTGTTGTTTTTTCAGCAAAGAGTAAATGAGTGACAAGACACTTAGCTGTCATCATTAAAACCCCAAAGAAATTTAGCAAAATCTCTTTTATTGTGAGGGGTCGTATTTCAGTTTTGCAGCATCGTTATAACACCTGGTAAGTCTCCTTAACCTTGAACACCTGCCCGGTCATTCAATTTGCTATTAAAAAAAGGAAAGGCTGTTAAAGATGTCCATTAATGTCTTCTGTCCAAATTCGTTGGTATATGTTGGCGATTAAATGTAGATAATAATGGCTTATATTGCTCGTATACTTAGTTGGAACTGTTGTGTCTATCTTTTTTCAGGTTTTTATGTCTTAATGAATCACATTCCAGCATCCTTAAATTTCACCAGCCTTTTTTTCATCTTCGCTTGTTATGGATGCTAAATATTTAAATTTTTTTTGCCTTATGATAATAGAAAATTTGTGTCATATTCATTGCTTGTTTAAACTTCAAATAACTCAACCTCTGGTTTTCAGCTGTTAACCGTCAAATTAAAACTTTTGGAAGTTTTTAACTCTTGTGTTTGATGATCAGAGCAAGCTCGTAATTCTGTTTTTCCCACTTAGTTTTATTTTTTTATTTTTAACCAAATGGATCCCGTGTGTCAGGCCCGTTTTCTGAAATATATAAAAAATTTCAAAAGCCTGAAACAGCCCCTGTACCAAATGAATGATACTAAGAATATTGAAGCTGCCTGTTGAAGTTCTGTTTTTCCTTAGCCACATTTCGGGTGAAGAAAGAGCGTTTGATACCAAAATTACAGTTGAACCCCGTACCTCATACCCCTAGATAACACCCGACTTTCACCAAATCGGAATGGTTTTCAATTCCCATTGGATTTTCTCGCCTGACTCAAGTGAGCATTCGTACCCTGAATCAGTCCCACATTCGTTTAGTCACAACGTTTTCTTACACCCCTTTGAAGCTCTGGTGTAATGGCAGTTATTTCTGTTTTTATAAGCCCAACACTTAAGTTGTAAGTAACATTGTTGAATATTTGGTGCTACTTTAACTTTAAAAACGTGACATACAAAGTTTGCGACTTAAGCCATTATATATTTTTGACATTTGTGTTCGGGCAAAATATACTGCATTTAAAGCCACTGTTGGACAATTGTATCTGTAGTTAAAGAAAAAAAGCTTGACAATCTTTTAAAAATTTTCAAAATTAATAATTTAGATAATGTGTATCAAAGGTACATTAAATAGCTAGATCTTAAAGAAAGAACCTTAGGCCAACTTTTTGCGTTAGCTAAATTTAATGATGGGCACAGATTTGGCGCAATCTTAATGTAGCAAATGACAGCTTCATTAGCGAGGAGGGATGACAGATTTGCCCAAAGGTAAAAAATTAGGTTTTACCTGAAGACTCAACATATCCCTATTTTTTTTTCTTTTTTATAATTTAAAATTTTAAACTACAACAAAGCTACTCAAATACATGTCACTCACAATAGTGAAGGACGCAAGGTCATCTAGTCTCCATTATGAGTGACATTTACAATTTCAATTACATCTAAATATAAACACAATAAAGGGAGAGAAGTAAAGAAACTAAATCAGGAAAAGTAAGGTACCTCTAGAAAAATTTACATACACAATTTTTACATAATTTACATGTTTCAGAGGTAGATCAAGAAAAGAAAAAAAATAAGAAAAGGAGTTGCTGCTATTGTGTTTTTCAATTAAAAGAATCTCCTAGTGTTTTTGATGAATTGAGGTATGGCCTCCATAAGAAGTCTATTGGCAAGTACATTTAATTCGGAACTTCCATAAAGTATTAATTCACAAATTTCAGTTGCAGAGAGGTTTGAAATTTTGAGTCCAGGGACTTCAGAAAGCCGATCAAAGAGCTCGTTCCGCATTGCTTGGAACAAATGGCAGTGCAGGAAAAAGTGCTCCTTGTCTTCATCACCTACGCCACAAACACACAAGGGGCTCAGGCAATCAAAGTTGTGTCTAAAACGGTGTTCGTTTAAAGGACTGAATCGTATTCGAAGTTGGGTTAAGTATCTTGTTACCGTTACTGTATAATTTACAAAGACTGGTTTTTTGTGGGTCTTATTACAGACAATAATTTGCGTTTAAATTCTGAAATTGATTTTGAATTTCTTATTTCGCTATCGAGAAGATTAAATTCATAAATTGTATTTATAAAATAGCTATTAGAAAAACGATATGTCCTACAAAAATTTGGGTCATAATATCGTGGGTTTCGAATCATGTAAGGTATCTGTCGCTCAGGAGGAATTTTGTTAAACAGATATTCTGGTGTTTTTGATTGTCTTAACTGGAAAAATGGTATAATCTTCGATAACATCTTCTGTCATTCATAGACTCCCATCCAAGTTCCTCATACATTTTTTGCCTGCTGGTCTCTTTCCAGGCACCTGTGACAGCCAGAGCCGCCGTATACTGAGCTTGCTCAATGTTTTTTGTGACAGTGCTTCTCATATCTGGGTCAAACTTGTGGTATATTATGTCTCCATAGTCTAGGTGAGGCCTAACATAAAGCTTGTAAACTTGATCTACAACATCTATATAAAATATCCCTATAATACCCTTTTCAAAAATAAAAATATATTACACAAATTGGTCCTTTGGAGGAAGTGCCTCCGTTTTTAGTACCACTCTTTCCAGCCATTTAGAACGGATATTTTTCTCTGCTGATGTTCTTATAAAAAAATGAACTTAACATCATGACTGACAGCTGGCAAACACCGGAAATTTACACGAAGAGCATTTAGGTGATTCTTCATAATACCCCCCCCCCCCCATTTATAGAAGATATTAAAACTTTTCCACACCACCCATGAGACAGCTCGGAAATAATAATAAACTTTCGATGCTGAAAGGTGTAATAATTGCCTATGATTTGGTCTTCACTGCCAACTTTGGCACTGTAAAAATTGCAAATAGATACCCAAATGATTTCCTTGTAACAAGAAAAGTGTCTTGATCTTATCTGTAAATTAGACAGTCGTGACTAATACAGGTAAATATCGACATGTCAGACTATGTAAGCACTAACAAAGAGAATAAAGTTGTAGTTATGTATGCGGGAGCCGAAAAAATTAAAAACAGTCAAAACACGATGGTTGTCAAATTATTTTAGGTTTTGCACGAATAGTAATTTTTAGGAAAGGGAATCTCGAAGCGGGATGTGGTACTTCTATCGACATCCCCGAGATACGACGCTTCTGTGATTAAGTTGAGGCAAATCCTAAAATAATAAGTGCCAGAAAAACATCCTGATATAAATTATAAACTACCAACACTGTAATAAAAATCAACGGACTGATGTAGTAATTGGATTTTGCAATATAAATATACATAAACAGATAGTAGAAAATCCACCAAACTTTAGATTGAGGCGCAGTGTTTTGCTGTTATAATTGAGATCATTGCAAGGATAAATGAGACACAAGAGCTGCAACATGTTTTTCAAGGCTGGACAATCTCACGGCATTTAGACACGCCGCTTCCTGGCACAATTCACAGACAAGCAAACTTCACTAACATAAGATAAAAAAATCGAATTTCCCTTCAATAATTACAGATTTTACACAACAGAAGTTTAGATCCTTGGCTCGGAAATCTTGCATAAAGCAATGCTGTTATGTTTACAAAAACTATGCAAAAACTGCATGTTGCTGCCCTGCGATAAGCGCGAAACTAAGTAGGCAAACATGTACTATCACCTTGAACAATGGGACCGAGCAATCAAGGTCACACTTAAAGAACGACACCCGCGATAAGGTCTTGAAACCCGCGTTAACAGCAATTAACTACATGCTCTTTTGAAATGTGTTCACAATTTAAGTCAATTGCACATTCATAAAGTGCAGAAAACAGGTTGCAACGAATATCAAACCAATCTACCGTTGGCATTTCTAATAGAAAAACAATAAACAACTATCCTAACTTTGGATTTCGTTTTGTTGAAAACGAAAACATTTAAATCATGCTGAACGGTAATACTAAGCTCTTTTACGGACTTTGACTGTGTATAACTAAAGAAAATATCAAATAACCTAACCTAATAAAAATTGAGCAACAGAATATATCTTTTAAATTACTGGCAAAAAAGTTCCGTTTTCTAGAGAACGTCCAAAATCTCATGGAAAGCATTATTTTTATCAGAAAATATTGATAGGTACAATAATTGAATGCTACTGATTAGCATTAAGAATAAAAAGTACCACGTCCCACTCTTTCCCCTCGCTTATCTTCATTGCATATGATCAAACAGACGCCTTGGTTAAAAAGAAATACACAGAAATACAAAATCATACTAAATAAGAAGGTCAAATAAAATTGTTCTATACTTTTTTTATTCACTCCTCTGACCCTAATCCCAACCTTACTCCATACTTTTCTAAAGAACCAAACATAACAGCATATTTTTATCAGCAAGAAAGCTCCTTACATTTTAGATGGAGAACACCATACGTGACAAATGTGACACGATGTGACAAAATGATAAATATGTTGAGACGCACTGTTCCAATTTCAAATGAAAGAAAGAAATTTAAGTATTGTTGCAATAAAAAATGGCCTGGTTCTGAAGCTCAGCAAACAGCATAGAGAAGCATTTTAGCTATGTCCATGAACAAAAAAGCTGCAAAAAGTTATTGGTTACAGGCTGGCACAAAAAAAAGATACTCTTGTATAAAAGATAACTCAGTGTAAACTTTGAGGTAACTTCAATGAGACTTTGCAGTCTTTTGTCCATATACAAATTCCAGTCCTTGGAAACTTTTGTTACATTAACTTGAAAAGTCAATAACTCTTTGATGACAAGTTGATGATAAGTTTATGAATACAACATTATCCATAGTCATTTCTCTGCATAAGTATAATAAGATGGAAAACCTGCTGATTAAATGGAGAAATGTGTGCTTGCTTCACTGCTGCTTGATCAAATCCAACTGATAAATAAATAAACCCCATTTCTTTAGTCTGACACAGTTGATTCAAATGTCCAATTATATCCAAAAACCAGTTGTTATTTCACATACTTTTCCATAAACCGTTTGTGAAAATCAGATCGAATGGTATCATTGATGAATCCTTTGGACTAGATAAAAGGGGAAAATGCCAAAATAAGATAATACATTAAGCCAGTAAAGCAGTATTCTGAATTTTAAATGTCTGCTTCTGTTGTAATATAATCTTAAAGGAAGCTTCTTTTCAAACAAGCATCATTGATGCTAAACTTTAATGAAAAAATTGAAGGACTTTAAGAGTTAAAGAATTCTTAAATTATATAAACTGGAAGAAGTAGATGTACCTTGATTTTATCATCATCTTTAGCACAGTTTTTGAAGACAACATCATCATCCCACCTTGGAATAGAGAATATCCATCATACAATAATTAAAATAATGCAAATGCATAAATAGAAAGTCCTTTTCACTCTTCTTAACACTGAAAATCCACTGGTAGCCAAAGAAAAAAGTGGAAACTTTCATATATGAAGTTGAGTTGTAAAAATGAAAAATGCAACCAAAATAAGAAAATAGATAGAAAACTGAATCAAACAACTGCAGAGTTACAAAGTACTTCAGTGATAAATTATGGGCAAATACTTAATCAAACAGAATAAGAAGGCTTAAGCCTAAATAACAGGGAGTCTAGATATTTACAGGAGTTTTTTCAATAGTTTTTTAATCATCTGATTGGTCAGTTTTGAGGGTGTATCCCAGCATAAGCTGAATCTTGTGCCTGTAAATACTTGAATCTTTATTTGTTTGTGCTTTATACTCTTCAATCACCAAATAAAGGGACTAACTTGATGACCTCTATACATTTCTTTGAGGAAAAAATTGAAATTGGAGCCCGAAAGATAATGGGATGTATAACCAATTAGAAAAACGGCCTAACTCTATCTCTATGTAAAAAATTCTTAAGATTTACTCAAGGTGCTGATTTTACCAGAGTAAATAAAGAAAAAAGACAAACCTCCTTTTTACTTTATGATCAGCTGGTCCATTTAATAATGGGTTACCAGCAATAATATTTTCTGTTCTAATTCTCTCTTCCTCCACTTTCTTCTCTGCTTCCTAGAAAAACAGAGTTTACCAGAAAAACAGTTTTTGAAATGATACATTTACCTTCCACTATACTCGAGGAAACCATACACAGAACACAAAATTTAAGCAATAATTAGTACATTTTTTTGATAATTTGTTGATGATTTAACATTGGTTCCAGGGGTCAGTATTGAAGTTGATTCTGAAGTCAGAAATTTTCCTCTCCTGCTGCTTTAATGTCTTTCCCCATGTTCATTTTGAAATGAAATTTTTGACTTATTTGCCATCAAACCCCAAGTTGGTAAAACAACTCTTGCCAAAACTCACCTTGTTAGATAATAATTACCAAAAAATATAAAATAAACAATAAAAATGAATGACAAGGAAGTCTAATTTTGCCTTTTCTTTTTTCATTTTCATTTGACCATCAATCTATATATATTACATTTGAGTTCTTGATTCACAAAAATTAAATCTGGACAACATCAAATACAACAAAACAATTGATTGTTTGGACTGATTTAATTAGAAAAGTTTTGTGAGACAAAGCAGCTTAGCAATTATAAAAACGGCTAGCTTTTCCATAGCAATTCTTCAACATAGACAACCATCTAGTTCCAAAAAGATTGCTATTTTCACCCCTGATTTTCTAACAAAACAATGCAGTTTTTAAGGTTTTCAGGAAAATCTATCTGGTAGGTCTTAAGAGCAATTTGTTAGTAATATCTTAGCCAAGCTTTAAATCATCATCACCTTTCTTGATTGTTCCTCTGCTCTTTCTCTTTTTATTTTTTGTAACTCTGCAAGGAGTTCGGCAGTATCATCTTCATCATCACTAGTGATAAAAAGTATTAGGAATTTTAAAGATGAGCATGATAAAGATATGTTAGCTTGCAAATAAAAATGTGTTAACTAGACTATAAATGGAAATATGTTCTTACCATTTGTCTTTTCTAACAGGCAATGAAACACAATCATAAGTTGTTTATGGGCATAAATTGCTCTGAAAAAATGCACATCCATTCTTTATCAACTCTCTCAGTAAGTTTTTGTTTTGACCCTGGAGGACCTCATGGGTAAAGATTATTTTGCTTTCTATTAACATCCAGACTTTCTATATTATGATGACAAATACAGGAGAATGACTCACTTGCTTTCAAGCATTGACTTAATTCCACAAAAAGATTGACTTGCAATACTTTTACATACTTCCTTGAATCAACTTATATACATCCCCCTTTTTGGGTTCAAATTAATCCTAAAATGTTATTAGCAAAAAAATGGGACAGTCTTCAAAGGTTGTTTACCAAACTCTTACTGTTTTGCATCAAATTTCCAAAATAGGTTCAAAAATTTATCTTGTTTGAAAACCTTTTCTACTCAACTTTTTCACAACTGCTCAATCTTGCTCTGATATATTTGCCATTGCTTTGTTGATCACTGTATGGTTTCTTATGACACTTCTAAGTTTTTTATGATTTCTGCTCTAGATTGATCATTTTATTTTGGCTTATAGGAAGCATTTTGTCATAAAACAATAGGTTCACAAAACTACATATATATATTTCAGATGCCATTTAGACTTGGCTTGCAAAGTTTATCCTCTGGTAGTTTATACCCAAGAACAGTCATCAACACAAACACAAAATTATTTCCTTTTTTGTAGATGCTTTGAAATGCAAAGCTATTCAGTAAGAAAGACATCAAGATACAATGAAATTATACTATATTGGCGAACCATTCTTCCAACCAAAACCCTATCTCTTCTTAAAAACAACACATTTTCTTAATTAACTTTGAAGATTGTTGCAGATAGACACCAAAGTGCATTCTTTGTAGGTAGAAAACCTAGAGATCTTTGGAGTGGAATTATGTAATCTGATGTGGCAATGACCTGAGATAAGCATCTTCCAGTGTAGGGTTCACTGAACTTTTGGTGCAATGGTGTAGGAGTATGGCACAAATATCTTTCTGTGATTTTTTATGATTTACATCACAGGTTTTAAAAATTATGAGGGTTTGGTCTAAAAAATTTTTGGTCCATTTCTATTGCATATATACTTTGGCATACAACTGGCCGTAGCCTTGACAACCTTCAGCATGAGGTTTACATGGACAAAATACAATGAGATTGGTATTTTCTGAGACAATATACATTGGATAAAATACAAATAGTGCTTCTTGATGCTGTAAAAGAGAAATAAAATTTACCAAAATAAATATCGTTTAATTCTACAGATACATGCCTGTCATCCGAATCATCATCATCGTCATCATCAACGGGATCATCCATATCTAGATTTGAGGTGGTAAGCATTTCAAGTCTTGATTTCTTTGAAGAACTTTCTCCATGCGATCTTGATCCCTTTTCTTTGCTTTTCTCTTTAAATGCTGACCTTTCGCGATCTTCTAACTCCTTTCTGAAATCTCTTGAGCGTAATTCCTCAGTTGTGTCCTGTCCGGTTTGTCTGTTGAAAACATAAATAATCACCAGTGTTCGGTCAGAGAATCGTAACAAAAAACATTTTAGGAGCTCTTTGTGAAGTTGTGAAAAATTAACCATAAATTGCAAGCTTGATTTAACTTTAGAATATAACAGAGATTGTCAACAAGTTAACATAAATGAGCACATAACAATAAATAGTTATGAGAAATTAAAAGGCCTAAAATATAATGGCGATTACCTACCTTGACTTTAATTTGGTATGTGAGGGCAAGTCACGACTAGAGTACTGTTTGGACAATACAGATAAATCACCTTCACCCTTTCCAGACCCCCCTCTTGCAGGAGCATAGGTAGGTCTTGCTGCTGTGGTCATTTTTTTTTTGAAAAACTAATAACCACCTTGAAATCCTCGGTCTTCGATATCACACTTACAAAGCAAGCCTAGTCAGTACTCCATGTAAGCCAGTCTCATCTTCGTTCCTGAATAATCAGATGGCAAAAAATTTATGCATCACAGCGTAGCATAGTTAGTGTAATTTTTTTAAATTTTTTTATTAACTTGATGTTGCTTCTCCGAACCGTAGTGGTGTAATGGGAGCTCAGGGGGTGCTCCCATCACACTTGTAAAAATTTTCATTAAAATGCAGGGATGCAGCCCCTTTCTTGTTTTTTGCATTAACACAAAATACAAACTACATAAGTAAAATATGTAACAAAATAGTCGCCTTATCATAGGTCTGCCATCGGGATGCGTTTGTAACGTAGGGCTTGCCTATAAAAGTTAAGAGTCAGTTAGTATAGTCCTGGCTTGACATAAATTTTAATTTGAGAGGTTCTGTTCGGAAGTGACAAAGTTTAGACCCTAGCTAGTCTTCTTGTAACTTGTAACCAGTGGCGGCGCCAAGGGGTGGTATGGGGGGTTAATTACCCCCTCCTTCCACTTCTATCAAACATGGTCTACATATGTGTTTCGTCTGAAAACGGATTGAAAGCAGTAGGTAGGGGTAGATCATATTTCCTAACGAAATTTGACCAAATACAAAGCACTGAAACAAGGCCATCAGGGCGTGGTCTCATGGGCAACACCCTTTACCCTCCCACTCTGCAGTAGCTGGCGCCGCCACTGCTTGTCACTGCTTTCTTCACTGTTTTGTTTCTCGAAAGTAAAATCCTTTAGAAGACAGACGCTAATTTCATTAGATTTAGATCTTTTGAAAGATTCTGCACACATCACGTATAACATAACACAATATTATTGACGTAACATATAATGTAACAAATAAGAAACACCGCAATACGCCGAGAATAAACAACAATAAATACACGTAAATCAGTCAAGGCTAATATTTCGCACCCGGCATATGGGACTTCATCAGAGCAAAAGTTAAAGTTAACATATAATGTCTTGATCATCGTTTACCGGTTAAGCATGTATCGAGGGTGCACGAAGATGCAAATGCAAGCCTTCTACATTCGGCAGGATTTCATACGAGAACTCTAGCCAAAATTTTTGTCAGGGTTTTATACTCGTAACACAAGGATTCTCTTCTGTTTCCAAATTTGACAAAGTTTGAAAGGTGTTCCCTTTAAATTTTCTTGAAGCTCTTCCATGTTTTTTCTACCAATAAATCTGCTAATCTTTAGCGTACTGAGAATGCTTGTATAGGATATAAATCATTTGATTCAATGTTGAAAGGGTTACTGCTTCTTTTGCTACAGTATCCTTTTAAAAATGATAAACTTCTGAAAAATTTCTGTAAAAGGATAGGTATGAAATAACAAAGATTTAACCTGAGTAATACTCATACATTGAACTTTATGCATTTTCAAGGGGTGTGAGGGCAAACATGTTTAAAAGGCAACAACAAAAGTTTAAAAATTTTATAAGTATATGCAATGATAGAAAGTCCTTAAGATAAAACCTGACTGTAGGACAGGGAGGGTAAAGCGCCAAGAAAAGCAAGACAATTGCAAAAGGGGAGAAGCCTAAGTAGAGGGTTTGTGGAGCCAAACAAACTTTGATCGCGCATACGGATATTTAACGAAGCCAGCAAAAAAACTTTCAGTACCGTTTACGATATTGTACAGATTACAAGTTATTTCTTAGTTCGCGTGATAACTTTTTCGGCCCTTTCTTATCTTTTCAACAAACAAAACAAAGTAAAAGAAGGTTTATGGTCTTTTCATACATACATACATTATGTATGTATGATAGTTTGTATGTATGATAAGACCATAAAACTCCTTCATTTTGTTTTGTTTGTTAAAAAGATAAGATAGATCAGAAAAGGTTATCACGCGAACTAAGATACATACATACATACATACATACATACATACATACATGCATACATACATACATACATACATACATGCATACATACATACATACATACATACATACATGCATACATACATACATACATACATACATTAATTAATTAATTAATTAATTAATTAATTAATTAATGCATGTTTACCTAAAGGCAATTAACGTTGATGTGGACCTCCAGCTACAAACAAAAATAAGCATAATTACCTTTTTATAAATAAAAACTAAAAGAAGAGATTAAAATAGTTAAAAGTATTTACAATGTCAAAGATACTTAAAATCTTTGTTCTTATTATTAATAATACAGGCCACCTTTTCAAATGAATGCTGGTTCACGTACTTTTTGTAATCTTTTATCTTGTTTTTGAAAGTTGTAATATTTTCTTCACTCTTCAGGTTATTGTTAATTGAGTTCCAAAGGACTCCACCTCTATACTTAAATGAGTTCCGTCCAATTTCTTTCTTGTATCTTATGATTTCAACTTGAAGAGGTTTTCGCAAATTTGTTTTTCGTTCACTGCATTGTTCATAAATTTGTTTTGGGCATGTTTTGTAATAAATTCTATGCATCCACGTCAAGGATGTAGTTATTCGGTTCCCACCTAGCTTTATTCATGATTTCTTCTGTAGATCTTGCACCTTTTATTTTATGAATCGTTTTTGCCTCTCCAGCATGCAATGCATCAACAGCGTTTAATATTGCAGGTGAAGATGTGCCCCATATTGCTATACAATAAGTGGCCGCACTAATAACTGTATTGAAGCAAATCTCTCCCTTGATTTATGTTGGTAGATAACGAATTCTTTTCAACTCTTTCATTTTGCCATTGAAACTGTTTGTAACTTTAGTCAGTTGCTTTTCCCAGCTAAGTTTGTCATCAATGATTATTCCTAAGCTTGTGCTTTGCCTAACATAGCTTTTACTGAAGTACCATATAAGATGGGTCATAAAGGACCAACGAATTTCTTTGGAGATAAAATCATTGCCTCTGCCTTGCCTGCATGAACTGTTAGCTGGTTCGTGGTGCACCAGTCAAGGAGCTCCCTTGCACTTGTATTGAGGCTATCTATTACTTCTTCAATGTTATCACCTGTAAAGAATATTGTAGTGTCATCAGCAAACTTAATTAATTCCCCTCTTGTGGTAGAGTCAGGCAAGTCATTTACATGAATTGAGAACAGACGTTGACCTAGTAATAAGCCCTGAGGCACTCCAAATTCTATCTCTCTGATTGTTAATGTTCTTCCATTTACATCTGCATATTGCATCCTTTGACTTAGATAGTCACACATCCAATCATATAATCCACCACATCCAATCAATATTGCATGCATATTGATATACATTCATAGTTCCAGAATAATAAGCTGATTTGACTCAACAAATTGTTTTTCGTCAGTTTTTTGCGAAGCATTGGTATGAGAGTATTTTAATTAAAAATCATTCAGCTTTCTTAACATGACGTCTGTTTGTTTTTGTTACTGAAGCTGTTATCCCCATTTTAATGAAAATCGTCAAATATGAATTTAACACTTTAAAGGTTAACTCTGTTATCAAAATAAAGCTGAAATTCAACCAAATGGTACACTGTAATTGCTTTATAAAGACTACATTTAAACAGCTCCAGATTAGTTTTTAAGCATTGCAAAGTTTTATGCTAACTTGTCATTTGTTGGTTATTAGATTTTTTCAAGGACTACTTTATTATTGTTCGCTGGGCAAATGTTTATATTCATAAGTGTGAATGGTGCGTTAAATACTTTTAATGAACGTTGTCACTGTTGCGTCGAGTAATGATTAAAGTTTCTCGCAGGAATCAGGTTTTAATCGTTATCGTTATTCGGGCTAGAATGGGCACTATCTTAGTTACTCCAATTCATCAAAATCAAACTCTGAAATTTTTGTTTGAGTTCCCTCTCACTTATCCTGTCTTCTCTCACCTCAGTAAAGTCTGTACTGTGGTGACGCATGGACGACATGAATCCTTTTTTTCATAAATTCAAAAGAGGATAAGCCCCTCTGGCAAATGGGTATTTGGACTAGTAAATCCTTTACTTTGCAAATTTGTATACGAAACAACCGGTTCATGTTTGTGACTTTGAAACTTTGCAAATTTGTATACAGATTCGGTATATGTGAGTGGCTGAGGTTGTTGTCAAAGGCGTGACACAGTTAAGAAGCTCACCCATCCTCCTGACGTTTTCAGACGATACCTCTGGCGAGACATCTGACAACTCCAAGAAATTACTAGCATAAGTACTGAAACTCAAATGAACATTACCAAGACTAGACATAATGCAAAATATAATTTCCAAGTGCTCCTTTCACAAACACAGCTCTTAATAGTCTTAAAATGTTATAGAGACAATTCTTAACTGTTTGTGTTTGTAATTCGACAGAAAATTTGAAAAATAATTGCATTATGAGCGAATGAAGATCCTTACCAATCAAATATCCACTGGCCTTGGTTGACGAAAGGTGCATTAAAGAACACTAACAAGTGTCAAGTAACAAGTTTTCATCTGCACTATAGTCGAGGAAAAAGAAACCAAGGCGTTACATTTTCGCTATTGAAAAACCACTAGACAAAGTTTTTTCTTCTATTTTTATTTAAAGTTGGTACAATTTCAAGCCATGCTTACTCAAGCTAATTAAAACCAACTAATTTAAATTACCAACGCTAAGTATAATGTAAATCAAATATAACCGATGTTGTATACGTATTCCTTGTCCTTGTACAAGACTACGCGCCGCTACTGGGCAAAGTTTTTGCAAATTTTTGCAAAAGGATTTGTAAATTTATTGAATTTGTGGAGATCATTTGTTTATTAATGTTTGAAGCCCGTAAACATGGATGCTACACTTTTTATAGCTTTCAAATCCTATTAGCCTTTTATCCCTTTGTAGAAGAGTTTAATTTAAAAAAAAACTATTTGACTTTATTAGATTTAAAGAGACATTTGACTTATAAGCCGCTTTCTAAAATATGGTAGAGTACTTTTACAAAGAACTGATTGAATCTACTCAAAAAAATCTCAACTTTATTTCGCTTTATTTTGTGGCACTGATTATATAAATACTAAAATATCAAAATAATAATTTCAATTAATCTTTTTCTAAATATTTTCTTTAGCCACAGCTTTAGCAGGTACCAAATAAATTGCTGAAAATTAAACTATACTAAAAAATTGTATTTCATTATTTTCTAGTCATATTGCAGTCTTTGTAATACGACTTATAGTATGGATTATAAAATACTTGAAATTGTGAATTGTCAAAGTCTAAATCTGAACAACCTTTTTTGGGGTACAAAAGTGATTGTGGCTTTGAAAAGCAAACATTCTACATCATACTTAAAGCTTTTTCGTCTGACACTCCTCTTTAGAATAAGAGCCTTTATTCTGAAGTTTTCTACTCCGAGTAGTGTGAGACGAAAAAGCTTATCTTTTAATATGATATAAAATGTTTGCTTTTTTCAAAGCCATTTTCAAAACCTAAATTGCGATATCCCTTTAACTCATTTACAAAAGCAATACTTTCGAACATGAGGATAGGTTTTCTCGACACATCTTGCCTGTGTGCCATATTTGTTAATCCTACTAATGTCACTTTTGACTTTCATGGTCCCATCTCCAAAATCAAGGACAATCGCCTCAAACTTACCACCACCTGGCTTCGTTATGAATGAAACTTCATAAAGTATGTCCTTGAAAACATCCTTGTGCCATTCAACTATTTTGCAAGTTGCGCATTTTTCGTCCGAATCAGAATAATAGTATCTTTGAATGCGTTTGTTTGGTATCTTTTTGCCTATGTGTGTTATCCGGTCCAACTCAAGCCGTGCGCACATTTTTACTAGATTTTCGTCTTGGCCAATGAGATCGTTCATATAGTCAACAGCTTTGGTTGCTACTTTGGTTGCGATAGGGTCGGATACACTCACCTCTTCAAATGTTAGACAAGGACACCATAATTCAGGGACGCCAATTTCTTCACATGACCGAGAAGCGTTCAAATGCGTGAATAAACTGTTTCCAAATTTGATGTCGGTTGGTAAGGAAGGGTAGCTCAGGATGTGCTTAAGAGTGGCGTATATATCAAAGTGTGACGTAAGCAAATGGCTATTGCGTTTCATGTTTACCAGCAGGTCAGGGTACTCTTTTGCTATCCTTTCCGGGAGAGTAATACTAAGAAATGGCAACCGTTCTTCGATTTTGCCTTGAATCGTTTCACGCAAAGGTCCATAACGGGCACCGTGGTCCCCTAGAACTACTAGGATCGTATCGTTTAGGAGACCTCGTCCTTTTGTTTGTGACAGAAGTTGAACTACATCCCCATCTGCTCGTTGAACCGAAAAGAAATTATCGTGGACGAGTTTTGAAGTCATGATCAAGGTGAATTTTCTTTTCCCTGGGTGTGTCTTGTACAAGCTCATCATGTAGTCCATATTAATTCGATGAAGAGAGCGATCTCCTATGCAAAATTGCGTGTCAAGGTAGCCAATGCAGTGTGGCATCGCATCAATCCAATATGGTCTGCCGTAATGAACCGTAGGGGACTGTAAAAAGCCCCAAAACCGTAAGTTGAATGCCCCTATTGAGGGGTCGTCCTCTGCAAACTGAGTGATATATCCGTTTTGGTGAAGATCTTTAAATATGAAAGGCCAATCGTCAATATAGCCTGCTCCTTTTATATTTCTTCTCGCTTCAGGCAGGTCAGTAATTCTTTTACCCGTTAGCATGGCGATAAGTTGAGGCGACGTTGCGTCACCAACAACTGTCTGTGCTTTGAAAATTACAGTGTTCTTGTCCGATTTCATGAAACTCATCGACCTCTGCATCGACCGGTGAAAATTTGCATTTGACTGTGAGTCGAACATAACAAACGCGATGTTAGATTTGAGCCCCTTGCCTTTGTTTTTTGGATCAATTTTTGGTAATTTGTCCTCTGGAATTGGTGCTGCATATAAATGAAAGTCAACGTGGAAGGTATTGTTTCTGAACACAAATAGCACCTTGAAGCAGTCTTGTTTTACAGGCACTTCTGCCTTCACATCTAAAAAATAAAAATATTTTCTCAGAAAGGTGATCTCCAAATAAAGAGAAAATAGTTTGGTCATAAGCAAAACATCTCACAGGCGCATTGCATAATCACATAGGATCATTGCAGTGGATCACATAATTACCTAGGATCATTGCAGTGCATCACACAATCACCTATGTAGGATCATTGAAGATCATCACACAATCACCTATGTAGGATCATTGCAGTGCATCACATAATCACCTAGGATCTTTGCAGTGCATCACACAATCACCTAGGATCATTGCAGTACATCACATAATCACCTAGGATCATCGCAGTGCATCACACAATCACCTAGGATCATTGCAGTGCATCACACAATCAACCTTGATGGCAAGCATATTTTGTATTTCCTCTCAATTATTTACGGTAAAAAATTCATTAGCTTAAATTTGCCTTCATCATAAAGCAGCCAACTTTAAGTAAACTGATTACAATAATAGCAAATTACATTTTCATAGGCATTGAATGAAGAGAGCATCTAATTACCTTGATTCTGAGGTTCGATGAAGTAGAACTTTGCAGCTGTTGTATTACAGCTTGCCAACATGATCCGTTGATCATTAAGTTTTCCAGCATGGTTTTCGATTGTCAGACAAAGTCCAGTTGCTATGTGTTTTAGCGTACTATCATTTGCTATCGAAAATTGTGACTCGTTCGTTGAACACCTCTTCTCAATATCTACCTTACCATTGACTTTTGGTTCTGCAAAAAAAAACAAGAAAGTTTGTTTTATACGATAAAATTCAGTACTATCATTCCTGGTAAGTGTGCTTAAGATTGATATCATTTAAACTAGACCATCTGGTTTAGTAGCATTATGGAGAGGGGGACGGTTGCAGATGTTTTGTTGATTTCACCGGGCAGTCTGTTATTTAGGGGGAAGTGGGAGTTGTTAAATCGAGACCCATTATTACTATAGGATGTGGTCCTGGTGAGAAGATGTTGAAAAGAAAAAGACAAATAATCTGATTTACAGACAGATGAAGTACTGATGAAGATTGAAATTATAAAAGAAAAGCTAGCGCTATTTAATTTTCAACACGTGAGCATAACTTATACAGTGAAATATTTCCAAGTCTGCAAAATCAGTTGAATGTGCCATAGATTCCCTAAGATGTGGCCATCGGAACATCTTGAGTTTATTGACGGGATTGTTATTTTGGCCTGGCTCATACTATTTAGTGCCAGGGCCAAATTTGTGCTTGAGGAAAAGCCTTGACACATGTTACCATATCTCTGGCAATTTTTAACAGATCTTTGCCACTCAGAAATATTTTATGCTGATCTTTATGATGTTCGTAATCCACAATGCTAAGAATATATTTTATGTGACGTCATCCCATTGCCACTTTACTGAAAAATACTGCGATTCTTTGAAGTAAGCATACCTGATATAAAGATGCAACTTTCTTTATGAAGAACATCTATCCGACCGTCAGATTTGAAATGGAAGAAATTCTGTGCTGTGCATGGCTTGTCAGTAACTCTCAATTTGTCAGTAATGTGCATATTCGCACCAAAACCGATGCAGCCCACCTGGTTCAATGCTGTCGAAAGTTCATAAGAATTAATGCATCTTTTACTGTAATAGTTTGAAAGCAAATTAAAAAGTATATCAATGCCTGTATTTATAAAGAAATGAATTCCGTTTTAAGATTAAAATCAATCAAACACAGCAAATGTATGCCTTAAAAGAGTAAAACGCTTTAAACGATTACAAGAAATGACTGCAATAAGGAGAGAATCTGAAGGGCGTCGTAGTAAAAATTTTCTGCTCGCTCCACTAGGCCTCGTCTTTCGGTTGCGCCCCAGGGCCTCCAAAACCTCTCGGTGGTCCTGCATAAAACTGCATTGCCGCTCCTCTTTCTTTGAATATACCGGCCTGGATTTGTTTAATTATCGAAAACTAGTTATGCACTGGTTTTTGAATGATCGGATGTCTGTTTTTTTACTTTGATGGGTTGATTATAATTTTTTCATTGTGAAAGAAAATCATCGTTTCACTGGCGTCTTTTTCATGTGGCCTCAGTGCTTTTACTTTAGTGCTTATGTTGCTTTGTTGCGGTTACAGTGGACAGCAAGCAATCACAAACGTCACAAAAGTATGTTTTTAGAATTTTTGAATGTGGATACCATAACCTGAAGAAGATCATGAAATACTTCTACAACCGATCTTGCATTTTTAGAAGTAATTCATGCTACTATTTTAGATAATGTGGTCATAATTCATGGATTTAAGGATATATTTTTATGACGTCACACCTAGAACATGATTGATTCCAGCGATTGTACAACAAGGAGGCGTTTTCGGCACACAAGGCGGTCATTTTCATTGTAGCTTTCACCAAGGCGGTACTAGCTTTTGTTGCATCTCAAGGTGAACAAAGCAAGCAAATATTACCGCGATTGACCAGGCCAGTGCAACGCAGGACCAACTAGGCCACGGCCTAGAGCCAAGAGCATTGTGCCAGAGGGGTTTTGGGAATGTCACACCATACAAAATAGTAGCTTGCTAAGAAAATTATAAGTAAAAAATTTATTGCTTATTGTTTTCCGTTGCGGAACTTGTAAAGTTTTCTGACGTATTCTGAATGGGAAGGAAATTGATGTTGGATTTTTCTCCACATCCTAGTTGTTAATACCCTGGGTACCAGACTCACTATATAAAATAATAGAGTCTCTATTTTATTTTATACATAGTGAGTCTGGTACTCAGGGTAAGTTGTTAAATGGGAAGAACACAAGTTCATCTTCGATCTTCTCATCCCCTGAAGATAATTCTTCTTTTTCTAGTATACTTAATTCTCTTTCAGTCATAAAGTCTCACGCAGTCATAAAACTACCCTGGGTGCCAGAGCCTCAGAGAGTCAAAGGATGAAGAACGGGGGAAGGAATTGCGAAGGAGAATGGACGCATTTCCTTTCCCCCGTTCTTCATCCTTTGACTCTCTGAGGCTCTGGCACCCAGGGTATCATAAAGCATAAATGGCTTGGCTCTCTTCGCTTCACGAATTTCTTTATCTGCCGCATCTGCTCCAATTCGATATGTGGCACTCGAGATAATTTGTATCAGTCATAAGTCAAACACACAAATGTAGTTAGTCATTGGTCTTACGTTTCACACTAAATTTGTCATTATAGTCAGTAAGCAAAATAGTCAGTTAGTCACCTAGTAAAAACCACTTGTACCCTTTCATGTCTCGAAATAAAAAAGAATAAGACAATGGTAGTATCTGCATTAATTATTCAAAGATTTCTTTTATGCCTTTTGTGTTTGTCAAATTTCCCTAAGCTTTTGGAAGAAGCGTCAAAGGCAATTCAAATGAGCTCTTGGTCCCAGACAGACAGAATGCGACACAGACAGAATCCCGACACATAACGAGGGGTCAATCGACAACTGGTCCTGCTGGTTACCTGGCTTTAGAAGTTGCTTGCCACATTGTATTTTTAAGACCGCGGCGAAATCATACCAGTTGTTTTTTTCTGCGGCACAATCTATTAGCAAAAATAAAATGAGTTTCAGTACGATTAGGAGACTGAAGAGCTACGTTCGCAGTTCCAGGCCCTTGGGGTTTATTAGGCGATTTGCATGTTGTTGGTTGGTGAAAAGAACTTCTTTGATGGCATTGATCTTACTGAAGCAGCATTGAAATCGCCTTGAAAAAATCTACTAACTTTTCACAAGACGTCCATAATTACATAGCTTCCGACGTTATCCAGATCACCCTAGCCTACCTAGACCACCCAGGTTCAGAGATTTTGGCCTGAACTGAAGCAAATCCTTCAATGTTGCATAGCTAAAATTTATAGAAAAGACACCAGAAAATTAATTTTAACCATCAAATAGCTTTCAGCTTGTAGATATTCATTCGAAAATTGAGAGTTGGTGTCTGGAAGAACTACAGAATTAAGTACACTGGGGTCGCAAACGTATGGAAACGATGCTTACAATGGCTGCTCACAAAAGCCAAAGGCCTAAGCCGAGAAGTTTTGAAAACCAAGGTTAAGATGTAAGTGATTTAGGAGGTGACAAGAGCTTTTAAGTGAAAACAAGTTTCAATATTATTATACTGCTTTTGGGGAAAGAATCAGGGAAACATTGGACAAGTGCTTCAGAAAAGTTCTGGAAAACGTTATCAAAGGGATTATTAATCAATGCGATAAAATACAGGTAAAATTTATGAAGCATAAGATAATCAATCGAAACTTGAATCTGAACACGTGCACCTTTGTTGTCAATAATAATAATAATGATAATAATAAAGTTCTGGAAAACGTTATCAAAGGGATTATTAACCAATGCGATAAAATACAGGCGAAATTTATGAAGCATAAGATAGCAATCTAAACTTGAATCTGAACACGTGCACCTTTGTTGTCAATAATAATAATAATGATAATAATGGAAACATTTCATTTTCAATTAAACTTTAACTACAATTACAAATCTCACTATTACAAGGTAATTTGCAATTGGCTAGCCTGGTTTTACAAGAAAATACTATAACAATCGTAAGGTAAAAGGAAAAACTGAGAAAAAATAAAACAACCAAAGTTAAAAAGGATGTAATTCCGGATTTGTCCATGGCTTCTTTTGCAACAAAATATGTAGTACGTAGTACGGAAAACCCTCCTTACAAGAGATACAAAAAATTGTTCTTAATAGCACAGCACATGTACTAAGGCGAGCACTTACCATATAAACTACTTATTGTTATACTTTTTTAATTTTTTTTATAAACAAATATCTATTTTTATACACAAATTTTTATATTTTCATATTTTTCATTTTTTTAAAACTCTTCCTAACACTACCCCGCATTATCCGCAATACAAAACTTTCAATTTCACTCACCCTATGTCGCTGAGAGCCACCCGGTGTTTGATCTTACAAAATGCTAATCTAAAGAAAATACTTACAATAATAATAATACGTATAATGAAGATATTTTATAGCGCCGTATTTTCCCAGGACTCATAGGCGCTTAACAACATAAAATTACATAAAAATGATTAACATAAAAATTTAGACTAAAGAGTATAATTTACATTAGTTGATGTAATATACATGATCTTATGCGCTTAACGAAATAACCATTACTGAAATTAATATAAGTTAACCTACAGAATATCATTTATATTGAAAGTCTCTTCACTATATTTGATATCTAGAGAAATCTTACCTAGGGTAATAGGATCTAAATAGGTATGTCTTTAATGCCTGCTATAAAAATAAAAATATCACTGAGAAGCAGGGTTTTTTAAATTAAAATTTAGAGTTACACATTTTTCTCGGGAGCATAGTGTTGAAGGAACTACTATTGGTTCTTAAAAGTATAAACAAAATGTACATTAATCGCAGGGTACAGGTAACTTGTGCCCCAGACCAGTGGCGTAGCAAGGGTTGGAAGATTGGAGGGGCAAAGAGGGAAGGACAGCAGATTGTCCGGGGCTTTGCTGACCACACCCTTAAGAATTTGGGAAAACGCTCCTTTTTTCTAAATTTGCTTGGAAAAGCTATGGCAATTTTGCGCGGCAATGGTTGGCTAATCAAACACAATAACCGACACATATAGCTTTTTGTGGCTGATTCCTGTTCTATTTCTTCTATTTCTTTCGCAATTCATTATCGACTCAAAAATGATATAGCGACTATGAAGTTTCGTAAAAATTATATTTCCTCTACATCGAATATCTTCTATATTTATAATCTATATATCCCAATAGGTTGTTGTTCAATTTGAGCGCCATCTTTATTATCTTTTTTGTGTCTCATCATTTAAACTTTTGTTTGTTTTTTCTTTAAATTCTTTGTTCATTATTTAATGAACAGAACATTATTTGAACATTATCTAAAGCAAATTTTAAAACTGCACAAATTTTTCTTTAGAACTGCGCAAAAACTGCATATTTTGTGTAGAACTGCACGTTTAAAAAACCCTGCAGTGAGAAGATCATTTTGGCTAAGATATGAGGCTCTAGCTAATAATAATAATATCAGGTAAACAATTTCTAAAGCTGTCTTTTAGTGATCAACATAAATGGTTGAAACTTTCATTTCAAAGGCACAATAAAGGAAGAAAGTTTCAGTTTAATTTTTTACTGTTGTGTGCTTAGATAATGATCAAATCAGAGTTGAAGATAAAAAAGGCTTTAAAGTCAATTGAGGACTGACCCACTTTGTGAAGCTTTAAAGTCAAACATAACTGTTAAAATAGTATTCCCTCCTATAATTTCAAGCATCAAAAAAGCGACACTTCATGGTCATCTTTCGTAACTGCTCAGAAGACCATTTAAAGAATTATTTTGAGCTAGTGCATCAAATTTTTGCTGAATTTCTTCTCCAAAAACAGCAAACCAATCATTAAATATCCATCTGAAGTCGGTGTAATGGTAGCCTGCGCGCAGACTTACTGGTTTTCCCAAAGATCAATTTAGTTGAGTGGGAAAATTTTGGGTTTCTCTCTCAGTAGAGCAAACCTAAGTATTCCATTCAACTAAATTCATCTCTAGGAAAGCCAGTCGTGTCTGCGCACAGGCTAGTGGAA